GAAGCAGGGTATCATGGTTAAGACTCTACAAGAGCTGAGCTGTGTAAAGACTGATGAAAAGCAAATATGGACAGAATAGTCTGAAACACAAGGGTACATATATTGAATGAGAGACTTTTGAAAGCAGAGAACATAAACTGGTTATGGAGGAAAGGGCAGCCAGACTGGGTAAACACTAACATTGTATGTAAAGGGTGGCAAGTAGGTATTTGGAACCCAGTCCTAGAAAGTATGAAGTGGCAGTAATGAGAGACGGCATGGTAACTAGATAGGGGGAGAATGGAGGCAGGTAAGATGAGCCTTGAAACATTACTTATGTATGTGGATTTGATATAATTAGTTGATATAATTATATATAGTAATTAATTGATTTAATTATTCATACGTTTAGGTTTTTGAGCGAGACAGGTACCTAAGAAAAATCGTGAGTAGCATGATTTTCTCAGTGCAAAGGTTGGATCAGTGCTTCTCACTCAGGAGTGCTTTTGCCCTCATCCCTTGCCCTGCCCTCTGTGGGTGGGGGGTATGTGGCAATGTCAGAAGACACTGTTGGTTGTCACAACTGGGGAGGCAGGGTGCTACAGGCATCTCGTGGGAGGAGTTCAGGCATGCAGCTAAATATAATACACAGGAGAGCCTCCTACAACAGACTCATCCAGCCCCAAATGTCAATCATGTCAATCTTGAGAAACTCTGGGCTGGATTAAGGGAGAGAAGTAACGTGCTTACGTTTTGCCCCAAAATGTAAGAACTAGGTCCGAGTTCTTCAACTGATCCATTGTTTATACAATTTCTTCATCCATTGACCCCACAAAGCTAACATGAAGAGTGAAGATAAAATCATTTATGCTCAAACTTAGAAATATTCCAAAATTAATTTTACATTCTGTTCTTCAGACGTGTTTCCACCCATCAACATGGATGCATCTCAGAAACGATGAATGAAAAAGCAAGTCAAGCAAGCATATATTCAGTATGATACCATTTATATAGGGTTTGAAAACCAGTGAAACTAAACAACGCATTATTTGGGTATATATACATATAACTATATGAGGAAAATGAAGGAATGATAGCATTGAGATCTACAGGACAATATTTACGTTTGTAAAGGGGAATGAGTTTGGAGAAAAGCACAAGGGGTCCTTCAATAGATTGTTTATAGTCTATGTTTTAGGTTAGGTAGTTGGTTCTTGGGTGTTTCTTTTGTTATTGTACTTTATAATTTACATAAATGTCATATATTCTTTTGGGTGTATAAATAATCTCGTATAAAAATAATCATAAAATTCAATATGATGGGATAGTGGTCACTGAAGATTTTTTCCTTTAAGTTCTATCACCACCTGCAGGTTAAAACTAGGTGCTGCGCATACTGTTCTTCTCAAAGTCTAAATTAGTGAATATCGAAATACAGTAAATGAACTTTGCAAGGCATTTGGGCTATAAAGAACTCCCAAAGGCAGGGTTTCTGCTCTCACCATATGTAAATCCATCTGTGGATAAAGAACAAAGAACAGAGTAAGGAGATAAATAATATAGCACAAAACGTTACACTGTAAACACCCCCTGGTCAGTGTCATATTAAATATCAAACGACAGAAAAAATGCTATTTTACACAGTATGGCAACTGATTTAGTTTGCCATCAGAATCCAACTCCTTGATTCCATCTGCTACTACCGTAGGACTCAATTACTCCCTGCTAGTTAACACTTGCTTTCTTGTCACTCGCTCCTCCCTCTAGCCTGTTCTAAACATTGCCACTAGATTAAATTCCTTAAATAACTACTTCATTATATCATTGTTTTTTCCAAAGCCTCACTGTGATTGTACCCTACCGACAGAACAAAGCCCAGTCTCTTCAGATTGACATAAGATTTTCTATGGTTTATAGAAAACGTACAGATACCTGTTGATCACTCTGGCTATCTTCTCATGCCTCCGCATTCCCCAACCATTTGAATCCGCTACTTCACCCAGTCTGGTTTCTGCGTTACCCATCACGGATGCTGGATGTACCAGGTGTTTGAAATGTGCTCCTTTCCACTCATGCCTCCTCTCTTGAAGTTTAGTATGTGTATTAAGTTGTTCTTAAATGTAGGAAACTGAGATGGAGTTCCATTGTGTAACTCTGAGAGGCCACACATGGTCCCCATCTACATTTCCACCAAACTGGTGCCCCTAATTTCCTCCTACACAGAAGTCCTGGAGCCACCATTATCTTTGAAGCAATATATCAATATTCTTTCTCTGAATTCCTAAAGCGCTTATTGTCTGTATCATTTATTTGCCATATTCATACACTACTGATACTAAATCGATTCATTTGCATAAGGTTTATTTTCTGAATTAGATGTTAAGTTTTTGGAAGTCTAGAATAATTTTATAGTTTTTCAGTTTTTTTCTTCTTTTCTCTGTTCTCTGCAAAGATCAGTAATGCTCATTTTTGAGTTGGAGGATCTCTTTGGAACACAAATTTCTCAGACAACTCCCCTCACTAAACAGGCCTAATAGGATTGACATTCTTTAGAGATCATAAATTTAAAAGGCATAATGACCATCTTGATTTCTGTAATGCTTTTAAATTCATTTGGATTGTTTTAATGACAGAAGCTTCTACATATTTAAAAAATAAAAAATATGTATGAAAATAAAATGATGATGATAGGGATAATAATGATAACTAATGTTTTGCAGCCTTATCATATGCCAGTAATTTTTTCCACTCATTCTCTTATTTGATCAAAAAATCCCTCCAACGAGTTCAGTAGATGTTACTTTCACCAAAGCTCTACCACTTGGAGCTGTCAGAATTTTGGTAATTTACTTAAATTTTTGCTTGTAAAATGTAAAGAATGCAGAATCAGTCTCTTCAGGATAGTTGGGAAAATCAAGAAAATCACAACAGGAAGAATGTTTCACTTGGGCCTTTTATGAAATAAACACTACTAGAAAAAAAAAATCCCTACAAGGTAGGCAACATTATTCCTTCTTCATTTTACAGATGGGGCAATTGAGTCTTGGAAAGGATAAATAATTTGCCCAAGATCTTAGAGTGGGGGGATTAAAATGGGGCCCAGGTCACTCTGTGCTTTGGATTCCCACAGCACTTTGTTTTCTTCCAAAACAGAATTTATTTATATCACAGCCCATTTCTCCATCATTCGCTAAAATATGAGCCCTTCAAGGGCAGGGACTATGTGTTACCTAAATAATTATCAACGTTAGACACACAGAATGTATTCAAAAATATATGACAAAGTCTCACGGTAATGAGACTGAACCTGCATCTAGTTTCAGGAAGAGCTTTATTTACCTGAATTATGTATGGAGATATGGTTCTATTATTTGGCTTTTGAATAATTTTTTCTGGTTATGAGAACAATTTGTTGTTGGAACCTAAACGTCCTCTATTTCTCCTCCTCCTTTTTATTTTGCTTAAAACAAACTCATCCCACAAACTGTCTAAAAATAGAATGCCCTTGCACTCAGTAAAACAGAAGGTGTTTTAGGTCTTCAGGGAGGGACACTGAAGGCCTTAAAAGTCACTATCACATTTTGTGTGTGTATGTGTTAAGGGAGTTGAAAAGGAAACAGCAGGGGGCATCTTGGTGGCTTGGGTCATGATCATTCGGTTGGTGGGTTCAAGACCCACATGGAGCTCTGTCTGTGCTGACAGCCTGGAGCCTGCTTCGGATTCCGTGTCTCCCTCTCTCTCTGCCCCTCACCCATGTGCAGTCTGTCTCTGTTTCTTCCTCTCTCAAAAATAAACATTAAAACAAATTTAAAAAAAAAAAAAAAGGAAACTGCAGGCCCCCAATAGAATCCTGTACTAAACCCCAACTCAGAAAGCCAAGATCTAATACCTAACCTACGTGCAGTTTCAACACCCCAGAAATGTAACCTTTAACCAATCAACCTGGAATTACTTGGTCACCAGCAGGTCAATAATGCATCGGGTAGGCCTTTCCATTCCACATAGGAAAGCAACCTTCCCAGAAACCATGCACTCTTTGCTAATAATTTCCTTTTTCCACCCCCTTCCTGCCTTTAAAAAGCTACCCTTTTCTACAGCTCCAAGGAGCTCCTTTCTATTTGCTACATGAGACGCTGCTCAATACGCTAACTGAATAAAGCCAATTGGATCTTAGAATTCACTCAGCGGAATTTTGAATTTTTACAAAGGGAGAACCTAGCAATTCAACATCCTCGAAAGAGGAACCGCTGGGATAGGAGCATAAATGAGCATTCAGGGACTAGTTTTAAGACAAATTTCCCTCTACTAAATTTTGATTGAAATCCTCTGGTTCTTCTGAGCAACACACAGGACGTCAGTCCAAGGTGATGTTCATCACTAACATTTAGGAGTCTCCCCACTGACTAGCTATTCGGTTAGTGGTTTGGCCACTTAACTTCCCATGATTAATGCCCACTGAGTAAAATCAGGACTACATCGTATAGGCCCTTCTGTTTCTATCTCTTAGTAACCCAGATGTAGATGGACAGACGGGCGACTTTCGTCTTTTCTTCTCTTTCCGGCCAGAGTCCGGAGCGAACACACAGAGAAAACCAGAACCGGCGTCCTCTGTTTTCCTGCTAAAGTGGGAGCGCAATCTACTTTCGCACAGGCCCGGAGCCCCCGCTCACAGAGCAGAGCCGTGGAGCGCACAGCATGCCGGGATTTGTAGTCATCCCTCTCGCGGCGGACGCGCGGGCGTTCCGAAACCAGGGTCCAGTTGGCATTCTGGGATATGTAGTCTCTGGTTGTTCGTGTAGTCGGCGCCAGGCTAAAGGGCCCGAGGTGACACCACAGACTCCGGCGGTCACATGACTCCAGCCTAGAGCGCCGGTCGCACTGCGGCGCCCGCTCCGGCGAATTCTCGCCCCCGCGCGGCCGTTGCCGAGGAGACGGCGCAGTCTCACGGCGCGTTGCCCCCTCTGCAGTCCCCCCGCCCCTCTTCTCCCACCACAATGAGATCCTAAGATGGCGGTGGCTGCGGCGGTTGGCGCCGAGTCGCTAAGGTAGAGAAGGCGGCCATTGGGCCGTAGGCAGCAGGGAACTTGTGGGCGCTCCCTGCTGCGGTCTCTGAGGGAGGACCCCTGCCGGTGGCGGGTCGCAGGGCCTGACCGCTACTCCACCCTTGGCCGGAGGGGCTGCTTCGTTTACAGGTAATGCTGCGCGTCCCCAGCTCTTGGCAACGGCGGGCAGCGCGGCGCAGGGGCGGGAGAGCAACGGCCCTGGGACACTTGACCCTGTAGGCCCTGGCCTCGGGCCCACGCCTTCTGTGGCTTCCTGGGTCTTCACGCCCCTTTCCCCAGGGCCGGACGCCGCGGTCTCCGAGTGAGCACCTAGGGACGCGGTAACGGCTTGCAGAGCCCCCTCGTTGCCTCCGCGCGTCTCCCATTTTCTGGCCCCAGAGGGGAGGCCGCCCTGCGTCTCGTGGGATACAAGAACGTCCCTTGCAAGTGGAGGAATCGGAGCGGGGGCTGTGGTTTGGCTGCCGGGGACAGGGCTCGAGTTCTCCACAGCAAGGGGCCGTAGTGGCCTTAGTGTACGTGACTGCACCCCCTCCCACCCCAGCTCCCGCTGTGGGACTCCCAGTGTCCAGAATTTGGGGGGCCGGAGGCCGAGTGAGGAGCGACGCGACTTTCGGGCTGGGATTTTGGAGCAGCGGATTTTTGCTGTCTCGGGTATTTCTTAGAGCAAAACGGCTGGGGGTGGGGTGGGGAGGCGTTCCTGACTTCGGCGAAGAGGTGGTTTATACTTGCGAGGAATGTTAATGTAGCAGCTCTTCTCTCCCCGCTTCCCATTGCGCCCCCCCCCCCCCATTGCCCCCTAACCCTGCACGTCCGGTTAGAAAGGGTCTGAGATGGGGGGAAAACTCAGTGCCAAGTGGAATTCGGGAAACATTGCTTGCTTTGCAGAAATGTTGTTTGGGGATTGGATAGTAGGCCCTGCTAGGGAGGCGGGTCATCCAAACTTTTCATCGTTGGGCCCATTCCTCAGGAGCTCACCTTGTCTGCTTTTTTCTTCTTTATTTATTTTCTCTCTCTCTTTTTTTTTTTTTTTGACCGAGTTGAGGTCTGTGTCGTGTGCCTTATGAGTAACGGATTGCAACTTGGCGCTGGAAGAAGCGGGCTTTCTGGGCGCCCCTCTGCCTCCCGCCCCATAACTGCCTTCCAGACTCCGCCTTCTGGTAGTCTCTGGTTACCGGAGTGGGTGTTAGAGAGCTTCGGGTGCACCTGCTCTTTTCTTTCCCTATCACCTTCCTGGTGAGAGTCCTGGAAACCATTAGAATACTGAGGTTTTGAACAGAAGGTAAACCTAGGTTTGTATAGTGACAAGGTTGTTTTCTTTTAAGTAGCTAGCTTTCAAGTAAACCTTTCTTCATCTTTGGAAAGACAAAGCTCTAGAATAGGTTCACTGGCAGGAAAGTTAATGACTTGATTTTGGGATGGGTCTTTACATGAAAATTAGGGTTGACCATTTTCATTATGTACCAAAGTAGATATTAATGCATCGCATTGTTGTTTGGAAGATGTAAACATTAAGTATATCCTAGTTTTCCAGAAGGATTATGGTAACCAGTCTAAAATATCGATAAATTGGATTTTTCTTTTTCTGTTCATTTTTCTAAACGTATTTTAGGCTATAAATATAGTATTTGTTATTCTATACTTTAAGTAAAGAATTTACTAACATGACTTTTTTTAAATCACAAGCAGGCAACAGCTTTGAAGTGAAGCAGAGCAGGAGAGGAGCCGTTTCTGAACTGTAAAACTAGTCTGTAAACAGGTAATTTGACATCATATAGGTTATTATGCTTTGTGTTATAGTTGAAGACTTTATAGCTGAGCTTGCTGTCAACATACCAGTGCGTGGTGAGATTCCTGTCTATTTAGTAAACAGACATTCTGGGTTTGCTGCCCTGCGTGCCTTGCTTTTTGGCATGCCACTTTGCTCTGCTTCCATACTTTTGCTAGAAAAGAGCGATGTTATTCCTAATTATTAAATAGTAAAATAGTTTAAGCACTACATTTTGAAATGTCTTTGTCTTCACAGAATTTCCTCAGCCCCTTTGAATTTTTCTTATAACAGCTGTTGGATAGCCTCTCTTTCCAAGTCCACTTAATCATAAGGCATTTTCTATAACTTTTTTGAGCTTGTGATATATACTCTTGATTGAAGTTTTGATTTTTCTTTTTTTTTTTTTTTAAGGGGCATAAGATCACTTTAAATGTTAGTTTCTATGCTCAGTGCATTGTCAAATGCTGGTTACTTAAAGGTATTCTCTGGCCAGCAAAAAAAAAAGTCAATGAAAGTTCACCGAGGGAAAGTTAAATAATTGCTTGCTAAGGATAATTTAGAAATTAAATGACTAAAGGATGAGTGTCAGAAGAAATTTTTGTTAAAAGGCATTTTAAAAATAATTGCTTCTTTTAAGAAAAACATCAGAGCCTGAATTTAATTCCACTGTTAAATTGTAAGACAACCCAATTTAAAAATACTATATGTCCTTGCTTTCTAAGAAAGCAGGTAAGTCCTTAGTTCTCTTCTGATCTAAGCCAACTGTAGTGAGAAAATACAGATTGGCAGTTGATTTGTATCTTCATTAGAATTCTCAGTATTTTTTTAATTGGAAGACTAATAGGACAAGAAAGATTGACCCCAGGGAAGGTCAAGTCAAATGTGAGTGTGTATTCTTTAACACACTAGAATGATAGAGTAGGCATTTAGTAAATAAAAAGAATTATAAAACCACTTACAATTTTTCTTTTTAACATATTAGGGAAGATGGATGAGATGGAATAAAAATGTAGGGCTATTGTGTTAACTCATGTTAGAAGACCTTTGGTTTTCTCATTAGAGGACTGGCCCATTTGTAAGGGAGACAAGGGTATTTGAGCCTTGGGAAAAATAGAAAGGATTTGGAATATCACACTAGGGAAATAGAAGAGACTTGGAATAATCGTTATCAGTATGGAGTTAGAAGTGAACTGATTCCAGATTGATGGTGGTAGCAGGGCCTATAGATTTGAGTGTTATAAGTAATCCTTGACAAGGAAGTGATAGATTTCGAATATAGATTATAGGGAGGGAGAGGTCTTAGCAAGCAGAATTTAATTGACCTCCATGTTCTCACTTCACTGAGCAAGGGTATATTTTGTTGATATGAAATGTTCTATGCAGAACAACTGTACTGCAAGATAGACTTGATGCTGTGCTTCGTACATAGGTCTAATAAAGTTTTTGTTGATTCAAATTGTTGTATTTTGTTGCAGTCTTTTTATCCCCTTTCTCCCAGTATCTTAACAGTTTTTGTTTTAATTTGAAGAGGGTAATTACAGAGATACCTTAAGTTCTAGAAAATTACTGAAATTTTAAAAAAGTCTCAAATTGAAAGCACTATGGAAAAGATCGTGTGTGATTTTTTTTTTTAGTTACTTGACCATCGTAAGTACAGAGAAGAAATTGAGAAGTTCTTCAAATGAAACTGACTAAACAACACATAATACCAAATATTTAATGCATTATCTTCTCAGTTTCCATTAAAAGTGCTTAGTACATTTGGACACTGTATGAAGACTTTCAAAACAGTGTACCAGGTACTTTTATAATTAGTAAAAGAAATACCCCAAATAATGCAACCTTTAGAAATCTAATATAGATATGTAAAGTACCACTTTTGGTTATTTTGTGACTCCGAGTAAACATTTAGAAAAAACTTGTACCTTGTATATGTCTAAAACCTTTAATTACAGTTTTTTCCCCAGTCCTTCTGTTCCACTTCAAGTACTTTTCTAAGTAGATGACTTACAAGTCTCTCTCCAGCGTAGATTGCATCTCAAACCCAGCACTGCTGACACTGAATTTATTATCTCTCAACAAAAACCTGTTCCTTTTCTAGTCACTGGAAACATATCATCATACACCCAATTGTTCAGACTAGAAACCTGGGACTCAGCCTGTAAGAGCTTTTGCACTGCCTCATGGTCCGCATCATAGTAGTCACCGAGTCCTGTTGATTGTGCTGTTGGAAGTTTACTTGAATTGGTCTTGTCTCCATACCTATTTTGATGATTAGAAGTCTTTCCATTTCAGAGTTTAAAATAATGATAAAAATATATAAATAATAACATTAATGTGTTTACAGAACAAGATTTAGAATGCAGACACCTATTTCTAAAGACGACTTTGATGTGGTTAGAGAGGTTAGGGTGAAGAAAAGGAAAACACTTGCCTGCACTTTCTACATTTTATAGCAGGAGATACCATCTTAGATAAATCAGCTATTAATATATTGAGAATTGATCTACACACGATTATTTCTTTAGTGTCATAGTAATACTTTTACTTGTATAGGAGGGTGCCTTTCACACACATTTGGGATCATTATTATTTATTAAATATTCTTTCCTCATGTGAGTGTTTATTTCACAATATAACTGTAGACAAAGTTGTTTATTCTGTAAATTTAATGGACTTCAGTTAGTATATTGTCTTTTAGAAGATTTAAAAGGTATTTGACCTATTTTTCCCAAACTGATTGTAATTTTTTTAATTTAAAATAATTTTTTTTAGTGTTTATTTACCTTTGAGAGACAGAGACAGAGCATGAGAGGGGAAGGGACAAAGAGAGAGAGAGGGAGACAGAGAATCTGAAGCAGGCTCCAGGCTCTGAGCTGTCGGCACAGAGCCTGATGCTGTGCTGGAACCCACGAACTGTGAGGTCATGACCTGAGCCAAAGTCCTAGGCTGAGCCACCCAGGCATCCCCTGCAACTGATTTTAATGTGTAGTTTTTAAATTGTTTTAGAAGCTTAATAGTGTTCAAAGTCATTTAGCCTACAAATAGATCCTTAGAAGAAGCTTTTTATTTTAGAGGGAATTCATCATAATATAAAAATAAAAAGTAGAACATTATCTTTCCAGATATATTTTTAATTTATCTTTAAATAAACTTTATTACTCTACTAATAGAAAGCACAGCATTCACTATTTTAGGAAAACATTGATATGTAAGAGTTTTTACTTAAAAATGTTAATTATTTTCTATTATAATTAAAATTTTACAGTTAGCTTCTAGTATTTTCAAAGGTGATATTACGTGTATTGCGTATGTAGTTTTTGGAGCTCTTATTCTTTAATATTATAAATTATATTGGTACATTTAGAAAAAAGCAGTTGCAAAATGTTTCATTTTTTGTCAGTTCACTGAACATACCTCTCTGGATATCCTTTATTTTGTAAAGTTCTTAAATATATTTCTAGTATTAAAAAAATGCAAAGTATTGTAGAAAATCTATGAGAAGAGAGAAAAAAATGATCACATTCCTACCCCCACAACCAACATTTGCTTTCGTGCAACCACTTTACCACTTTAGTATGTATCCTTAGTCTTTTAAAATCTATATGCAGTTTTTGCATATTGCTTGTTTTCCTCTTTTATATACTCTATGAGGTTATAAACACAGGCAATATTTTTCAGCCTTCATAATTATATGGTTAAAGGCTACTCTTGCCTAATAGCATCCAGCCTGTTGTTTAGCATTCAGTTTGTTTTCAGTTTATCACAATTATAGCATAAGAAACAATTTCCTGCATTATAGCTTCCCTCCCGCCACATTTAAGTTTGTTTTCTTATATTAGCTGTGGAGTGATATAATTACAGGGTCAAAACTCAGTTTTAGTTCTTGATACAGTATTGCCAAAATGCTTACCAGAAAGGTTATGCCAGTTTACCCTGTCACCATAGTGACTGAGCATTCCAGTTTCCCTTTGCTGTCATCAGAATTAGAAAATATGTGTAATACAGCAAATTTAATAGTCCCTTATTTTAATTTGCAGCTGGACTTTATGATTAACATTTTCATAATTCGTTGTTTACTGACTTCTTTTTAATTGTCCTGTTTATACTTGCTTTTCTTGAGATTTTTTATTTAATGTTTTTATTTTTTTTCCATAAATTCTTATATAGTAAAGATACTGCTTTTACTTCATATTTCTTTGAGATTTTCCCCAGTTTGTCAGTTACTACTTATTCTCCGTAAACTTAGGATTTACTTTTATAGGAATAAAATCTGTTCAGCTTTTTCCTTTTTATTTCTGCAGTCCATATTTGTAAGAACTCAATTTTTAAAGCCCATCCTGTTTTCTTGTTTGTCTGTCTGATTTCTTTTTAATCTTCCTGATCTATTTTTAATCTACTTAGATACTACCTTGGTGTTACGGTATAAGGCAGCCTTTTCCACTTGTGAGAGAATTAAACTCTAAGGCATCCATTGTTCACTGAGAATTAATTTTTTTTCTTGTGTGTGAACTGGTACTGGGTAAGTACCATTCTTGGAAGAATTGAGAAAATTGTCACTTCAGTCGTTTTTCTGTTTTTGTGTTTGAGATGAAAAATCCTAGTTAAAAAATGCTGTTAAATCTCTAAATGATCTTTTTCAAAAGTGTTAGCAAATTGTCCCATCAATTGGATAATCCTACATCATCTTACACCGTACTATTTTTATGAAGAGTAAATGATAAAATGCTCATAAAATACTTATTAGCATGGTGCTTACCATATAGTGAACAAAATAGATGTTAGCTATAATTAATTTTCCTCATTACATTTTTCTAATTGAGTATAGTTTAGGATTTTGGTGTGGGGTGCTGATACTAACTTAACTCATACAGGCACTCAATATGATTGAATATCTCTTGGGGCTAGTTTTCTACTCTCCCAACTTCTATTGCTACATTTACTTGTATTTTTCAGATATATGTTTTGTCAAATTCCAAGAAGAATCCCACTGGGAATTCATTAAGCCTATATTAAAAAAAAAAATGAGATGTTTATAATATTTGTCTTCCCACTAGGGAAGATAGTTTGTTTTTGTACTTACTACATTTTCTTTTCTATTGCCTTACAGAGTTATTGGTGCTTCTTTACATATGGTGAAATTACGTTATTCCTAGGTGTTTTCTTTTAGGTCACTGTTAATAAGTGGCATCATTTTTCTCCAGGATATTTTCATTGTGATTGTTGGCGATATTTTGAAATAGATCTCTGCGTTTTCTAATGCATATTTTTAAGAACACCATCTTTTCTGTTTTCAGTATTAATATTTTTGTTTCATAATTTCCTTTTATTTTTTAAACGTTTATTTTTGAGAGAGTGCACGCATACGCATGTGCACGCATGAGCAGGGTAGGGGCAGAAAGAGAGAGAGAATCCTAAGAAGGTTCCTTGCTGTCAGCATACAGCCTAATGCCATGAGCTCGTAACCTGAGCCAAAATCAAGAGTTGGACGCTTAACTGACTGAGCTACCTAGGTGTCCCTCATATTTTTCCATTTTGTAGAACTTTGAAAACAGTGCTAAATAACTTCTATGTTATGTCATTCTTGTTTTGGTCTTTATTCTTATAGGGATGTCCTTCATGTCTTATTTTAATATTGTTGGCTGTTGATTTAAGATAGACTTCTTTCACTTCCTTAGAAAATTATTAAAGTAGGGCATCTGAGTGGCTCAGTTGGTTAATGCCCAACTTTTGATTTTGGTTCTGGTCATGATCTCACATTTGGAGGGATCGAGCTTCTCATCAGGTTCCATGCTGATAGTATGGAACCTGCTTGGGATTCTTTCTCCCTCTCTCTCTGCTCCTCCCTGACTCATAGTGTTTCTTTCTCTCTCAAGATAAATAACATTAAAATATTAGAAAGTTATTAATATGTGCTCATTGAAAAGACCCACAAACAGTATATTTATTATAAGCAAGTGTCACGGTATTTGTACTTTAAAAAAAAAAAACTTTTTTTTTTTTTTTTTTTTTAATTTTTTTTTTTTTTTTTTTAATGTTTTATTTATTTCTAGGAGAGAGAGAGAGAGAGACAGTGTGAGCAGGGGAGGGTCAGAGAGAGAGGGAGTCACAGACTGAAACAGGCTCCAGGCTCTGAGCTGGCCGTCAGCACAGAGCCCGACGCGGGGCTCGAACCCACGAACCGCGAGATCATGACCTAAGCGAAAGTCGGACGCTTAACCGACTAAGCCACCCAGGCGCCCCAAAAAACTTTCTTTAAAAAAGTTTTTTTTACTGTTTTATTTATTTCTGAGAGAGAGAGAGGCAACATCAGCAGGGGAGGGTCAGAGACAGAGGGAGACAACAGAATCCGGAGCAGGCCCTAGGCTCTGAGCTAGCTGTCATCACAGAGCCCAACGCGGGGCTCGAACCCACGAACCGTGAGATCATGACCTGAGCTGAAGTTGGACACTTAACCTACTGAGCCACCCAGACTCCCCTAAAAAAATGTCTTTTTAATGTTTGTTTATTCTTAAGAGAGCGAGAGACAGAGCATGACTGGAGGTGAGGCAAAGAGAGAGGGAGACACAGAGCCTGCTTCAGACTCTGAGCTGTCAGCACAGAGCCACAAGTGGGGCTTAAACTCCAAAATTGTGAGACCATGACCTGAGCCAAAGTCAGATGCTTAACCGACTGAGCCACCCTGGCGCCCCTGTATTTGTACTTTTAAGATTTTTCCAAATTAAGTGTTGAGTTTTATCACTACTTTTTGAGATGATAAAATTTAATCTCTCTGTAATATATATTATAGTAGATATTCCAGCAATAACACATTTATGAGATAATTCCTACTTCTCATGGATGATAATCCTTTTAATATTTTCCTCTAGTGAATGGGATAAATTAGGATCTTATAGTCAAAGTAGCTTGGATTTGTATTTCTTTTTGACATTTTTAGCTGCATGACCTTGTTGAAATTATCTAACTCTTTTGAATGTTAGTGTTATTATTTGTAAAATGAGAAACCTAATATGACCCTACTGTTTAATGCCTTTCTCTGCCCCTTGAATTCTAAATAAAGTTACCTGCTCATCTCTTTTACTCCGTCCTCCAACCTGCAAGTTCCACACTTCGTAAGGTTATGTGGAAATCTTATTTTCTCCTGATTCATCTCTTCTTTTGAACCTCTGCTTCTGCCATTGTTCTTTGTTTCTCATCTCTTTGACCCAGGTATGAAATTCAGTATCTTCTTTGATATTCACAAAATCCTCAAATTTTTTTTTTCTTCTTAGTGGGGAAAATTTATGACTTTGGTAGACTACTCAAGAGTTAGGAGAAACTAAGGTAGTAGAAATACAACTTGAAGTAAAGCAGTAGGCATCACGATTCTCAAATGTTTTAAGCCACTGGATTCTTAGCTTTTATTGGCCTTTCACCCACGTAGGCCTGCTTCCTCCCTGCCCTCTCTTTATCTTGCATACCATTACATTCCTATTAAAACCAAACCTTTCTCGGGGTGCCTGGGTGGCTTAGTTGGTTAAGCGTCCAACTTTCGCTTGAGTCATGATCTCGTGGTTCGTGGGTTCGAGCCCCGCGTCGGGCTCTGTGCTGACTGCCAGCTCAGAGCCTGGAGCCTGTTTCAGAGTCTGTCACTCCCTCTCTCTCTGACCCTTCCCTGCTCACGCTGTCTCTCTCTCTCTCCTAGAAATAAATAAAACATTTAAAAAAATTAAAAAAACAAAACAAAACAAAAAACCCAAACCTTTCTCCATGTTTCATGCAGGGCACTTCTAACCTCTGAAACTATGACACAATATCAGTACCCAGGTGTGTGGGAGTGTCAGTTTTTTTCTTTTCTTTTTTTAAAAAAGAGTAAAGGATTTGAGCAAGCATTTATTCTAACGTTTAGTTTTGAGGGAGAGAGAGCACGCGCATGAGTGAGCGAGTACGAGTGGGGGAGGGGCAGAGAGCGAGAGAAACAAAATCTTAAGGAGGCTCCAGACTCTGAGCTGTCAGCATAGAACCCGACACGGGGCTTGCGCCCATGAACCATAAGTTCATGACCTGAGCTGAAGTCAGATGCTTAACTGACTGAGCCATCTAGGAGCCCCTGGTTTTTTCCTAAAAGCAGTTTTGGTTCTAGCAATTAATAACTTTTTCCTACCTCATTGCTCTACTTTTTAGGACTGTGTTCAATTAATTAATTAAAATAGCCTGAAAGCATGCAGGCCAGGATGCCTGGTGCATATTTTGAAGTATTCCTTCCCTTTGCCACCACTACAGCTACTTAACTCATGTTAATTGTAATAGCTGTGTGGCAGCTAAATCAGTTTGTCTATGGTATGTGGTTGACGGTACCTCTTTCTATTTCATAAGATGAATTTTTCTGGATTCTTTTATATCACTAAGCCTCATGGAATGGTTTAAAAATTAAGAGTTCATTTTTATGTGTTAAAAATGTTCGTTCTCACTTGTTTTGCAGAAAATTAATTGGTAAAGCCAGGATGGCTACAGGAGGAGGTCCTTTTGAAGAAGGCATGAATGATCAGGAGTTAGCAAACTGGAGCCCTGAAGGTGTAGATGACCGACTCAACAATATGGTATGATAACTTCTCATTGATGGTGTGTCATTAACTACTAGTGTTAAAATGCATCTTTCCCCTGCCTTAGCCAAATCAAACTCAATGAGACTGTGAACACAGTTGTTCACATTAAATGACACTGGGCTATTTGTTATATTAGTTGAAGACATTAAAAAAAATTTTTTTTAATGTTTATGTATTTTTATAGGAGAGAGAGACAGAGCACAAGCAGGGAAACAGGGAAGGGGCAGAGGGAGAAGGAGACACAGAATCCAAAGTAGGCTCCAGGCTCTGTGCTGACTGAGCTGTGCTGACTGAGCTGTCAGCACAGAGCCTAACGCGGGGCTTGAACTCAAGCCATGAGTGAGATCATGGACCTGAGCCGAAGTCAGATGCTCAACTGACTGAGCCACCCAGGCGCCCCTAGTTGAAGACATTTTTGTTTGTAGTTAACAGATAGCAATTCTTGTTAGCTTAAGCCAAAAATATTTATTATAAGGATACACAGTTGTCTTATGGAAAACTACTTAAACAGATTTGAGGTCTATAGCTGGGTTTTAGGAAGAGAACTAGAAAACGGAACTAGAAAGTTGTCAAGAATTGCTTTCTCACTACCCTATTTGCTTCTGAGTGCCTTTGCTTAACACAACTTTCTTTTCGCAGACCCAGTTTTTTCTCCCCTGTGGTCCATGTGGTGTACTGTCATTGCCCCTTCATTCTAAAGTTTTCAGTTATGGCTGCAATTATGTACTGACTAGTTATTTTTTAGGTCCAATATGAAATTTTGAAGTATGATCATCCCAATTTGGATTAGATACGCATCTCTTTTCCAGTCACCTTTGGCCAGGAAGGGGTAGGGCAAGTGGGACAACAGGTTGGCAAGAAGACCCACATGTGGATTGGGGTGAAAAGACAGTTCGTAGAGAAGGGAATTGTGTTATTAATGAGGAGAACATCCTATAAAGGTTTACTGTAGTAAAACTAGACCGTTCTCCTGGTATGGCTAAGGTAGGAATTTATAGACCTTTTTGTTGAATGACTTAGGTAATGTGGGTATAACTAAATGAATAAAAATGTTTTCCCATTAAAATATGAATCATTTTTGTCATTTCATGTAAGACCTTATCATGTAGTACGTTGTGGCCTGTAAAACCTAATGTTATGTTTATTGCTTACGATATACTAGGCACTGTGCTAGATGTTTTATGAATGTTATTTTTAATCGTGTTTTAAAAGTGACACTACTTTAGAGATTAGGAAACAGACTCTGGGAAGTTAAATTGCCTAGGGTCATATAGTGGAATGTTTCTTCAGATAACAGTAATTTATTTATTTTTAAGTTTATTTATTTGTTTTGAGAGAGGGAGAGAGCATGTGAACAGGGGAGGAGCAGAAAGAGAGTGAGAGAGAAAATCCCAAGCAGGTTCTCTGCTGTTAGCACAGAGCCCGAGGTGGGGCTCGAACTCCCGAACCATGAGATCGTGACCTGGGAGAAAATCAACAGTTGGACACTTAGCTTACTGAGCCACTCAGGCGGTCCAACAGTACTTACTTTAGAATCCATGTTGATTCCAGATCTGTCTTAACGTACATATTGATTTTAAAGGAGGTCAGTAAAGGTATCTGTGATTTATTTCACTATCCAATTTATAAATAGTAGGGAACCAGTTTTAAAAATGGTTTTGAAAGTATTCATACTGAGAATTTGGGGATTTATGTTTGTTAAAGATGTGTGATAGAAAAGTAATCTCTTTTCTAAAGGACAGTCTCTGAAACTTAGGCTAGATGTAGTAGGAAAACTCATTAGTAGAAGTATATAATGGTCTCTAAGTCTGTATGCTTATGTGAAAAATGTTTTGTCATTTTTAGCTTTAAGAGTGACCAAAAGTTTTGACGCGTATCACATTACTTTCCTGGTTTGATAGAGGCCAGATTAACTTTTGCCTTTACTTTTTTAAAGGATTGGGGTGGCCAACAGAAGAAAGCAAATAGGTCATCAGAAAAGAATAAGAAAAAGTTTGGTGTAGAAAGTGATAAAAGGGTAACTAATGATATTTCTCCGGAGTCGTCACCAGGAGTTGGAAGGCGAAGAACAAAGACTGCACATACATTCCCACATAGTAGATATGTGACTCAGATGTCTGCTCCCGAGCAGGCAGAATTAGAGAAACTGAAACAGCGGATAAACTTCAGTGATTTAGATCAGGTTTGTGAATTATTTTAAAAATCTGGCTGTAACTATGAGAAATATTTAGAATGGGTTAAATAGTCTTAGGAATAAGAAGTGAGCTGTTTATTTCTTTTTTCTTAGTATCCATGGATGTAAAAAGACTTTCAATTAGTGGTGTTGGTATTAGATTCTTTGAGGGCAACAGAGACTGCTTTCTGAAGTTGCAAAGGACAAATCTTTTGTGATTTTATAACGTATACTCTGTGACTAACGTGAATAATTTCATTATGGAACTAAATTTTGTATGTTAGTAACTAAATAAGATTACAGAAAGGAAGATCCAATTTATCACTGGCTAAGGGAATGTTCTACATTACCTCAAGTTTAAAATAAAACTGTGGTTTGTCTTAAAATTACTGAAATGAAATTTGGAACTAAAAGCAAATGGAAATGATAATGAACTCTTAACAGATATTTTACTGTCACATCTGTGCTTTGGAGAAACCAACAGTTTACCAAATATTCATAAAGGTACATTCAAGTCTGGGATGATGGTGGTGGTGATCACATATCATTTAGTCATCTATATGCTAAATTTTGAACACTTGTTATATAGCAGGCACTGAACTAAGTACTCTTTTAGACAGTGCTTCATCTAGACATATCTTTGTGCTGATATTTATATTAATTAAGTTATAGTCATTGGGGCCAAAGCCCATACAAAATTCTGTGAGTAAGTTTGATTAGCAATGTGAGTTATAAATGTGGCTCGTAGTCCTAGTACTTCATTTAGATTAATCTTGCTTATATTCATCAATTGAATTAGGCCTGAGAAAATGAGGAATAGGACAAGTTAATTAAAGTGTTGGTATTTTAGTAAAAGAATTTTGTAGATTAGATAATATCTTTTGCATCTTACTACAAAGCTATTTAAGTATACTTCCTGAATTGATAGCTGATGGTGAATTGACTAAGAACATTGGAATTTTTTTTAAAATTTTTGAAAGATTAACGTTTGTGGGGTTTGGTTTCTTTCTCATATGTAGAGAAGCATTGGAAGTGACTCTCAAGGTAGAGCAACAGCTGCTAACAACAAACGTCAGCTTGGTGAAAACCGAAAGCCCTTCAACTTTTTGCCTATGCAGATTAATACCAACAAGAGCAAAGAGGCTGCCATAAGTCCTCCTAAGAGAGAAATGATCGGGTCAGCACAGTGTAAAGAGTTGTTAGCCTCTGCTTTAAGTAATGACCTTTTGCAAAACTGTCAAGTCTCTGAAGAGGATGGAAGGGGAGAGCCTGCAATGGAGAGTAGCCAGGTGGCAAAATGCTTCTTCTGCTTTATTTTAATAAACTTCGAAGTAGAAATACTAAGATTAAGTTTTATGGAGTTATGCACATAGGAATTTTAGTTGTGTAGTTGTGTGATTCTCATCATTAATCTTCCACATCTATTCAATATGGTGTAAATTTGTTTTTACCCATAATGATTGTAGAAATGCTGTATCTCGGTAAACTAAAGCTTCTATTTATCCACCAAAGGCTGTGTTGGTAGTTTTTGGTAAAGGAGGGATTTGAAACAGTGTGATTAATAGGTTATTGTAAGAAATTTTTTAAATGGTAATATATTTCTTTCAAAAACAACTTTCAAAAGTATTTATAATAGTTTTACTTATAAGTAAATTAAATATTATATAAATGTTAGAAAAATTTAATAACAGTTTAAAGGCATGTAGTTCTGGAAGTAAATTTTTTCAAGTAATGTAAATTAAAACTAATTTTGAAATTTTTAAATTCCCAATTATTAGAGTTGTTAGTTTTGCCAATTATGTTTTGATTAAATTCTAAATTTGATTCAGATCTTTTGCCTGTATGAATTCAAATGATAAAGCTTGAAGTATCTTTCGTTATTGTATTTGAAATAAAAAAATATGTAGAATTGTTGCTGTGGACTGATTTGGAGTATGTAGTTTTACATACTATTTATTTTCATGTTTTTTTTTTTTTTCCTCCAAATGTTTTCCCTGCAGATTGTAAGCAGGCTTGTTCAGATTCGTGATTATATTACTAAAGCTAGTTCCATGCGGGAAGATCTTGTAGAGAAAAATGAAAGATCTGCTAATGTTGAGCGCCTTACTCATCTAATAGATCACCTTAAAGAACAAGAAAAGTCATATATGAAATTTCTTCAAAAAATCCTTGTAAGTTTTGTACTTTTTAAATAATGTATTGGGTTATTTTTGTGGTACATCACTGTACATATGCTGATGACATTCTGATTCTACCCCAGAGGAGTTAATATATTTTCAAAAAATCGTGCCATCCATTATAACATTTTATTGCCCTTTTTAATAGTTGTATGATTTATACCACTAAAATATTTCAGGCTAGAGAAAATGAGGAGGAGGATGTTCGGACTATAGATTCAGCTGTGGGATCTGGTTCTGTAGCTGAGAGCACATCGCTAAACATAGATGTGCAGTCTGAGGCTTCAGATACCACGGTAAGCGGCTTTTTGGTAATTAAAAGTGCTGGAAATGAAGATTTAAACTTTCCCCCCATTTTTCAAGATGATATTTTTTATAGGCATTTCTTAATGAAAAGTATACTTTCAGGGAAGAAACCCTCAAATTGTTAATGCTGTATATATTTTTAAAGATGGGAGTATAAGTTTTACTTATTAAACGTTTTAATGATTGATTTGAAAATCTAATGATGTCTGATCTGCCTGCAGAAACATGGTTTCTCTATGTTTCATTAAGCACAGCTTTATGCATTTTAAGATGCTTTGGGAAAGTTAAAATTCATCATGGATATAGGAGCTGGAAGTACAAAGTACCATTATGAAGCATATTGTCTGTTGGAAACGTCTCCAAGTTCTTGTGCCACTGAGGACTCATTTGAAGGCTACTAGGATTTTCCCTTCCTAGGCTGGTTTTTGAACTGTAGTAAAACTAGATGACTGAAACACTGAAATGAAATGGGCCAGGATAGGATTTACATTATGATTTATTCTTGTAACTCTGCAAAATGAAATTTATCAAAATACTGTTTTTTGGAAAAGTAATCAGAAATTTACAGAACTTGGAGGAAAACTTTGTAAAATGAACTTATAAGGTAGTGGGCTTTGAAACTTATATGCTTTTAAGCATTTTTATTTTAACAGGCACACCTATAACCATGCATTAGTAAATTTGGAAACCTATTACAAGTAAAGCTTTTCTTATGAAAGGATAACCCTGTGTTACTATCTTCTGTTTCTGAGATACGTTCCAAAATACCATTCAGCATGAGGAATTTGAGGGTTTGTTTCCTGTTAGTATCACCTGCATAATTTCTTACTGCATCCTTTCTCTTCCCTGCCCTTCCTAATTTGAAGAGGAAATTTGAATTTTTCTTTACCTACATTATTTTCACCAGGGCTTGATCCAACCAATTGTTGAAAATAGATTCTGTTGTGGGCAAATTGTTTTTCTATTTACAGTGGTGCTAAGAATAATTTTTTTCCTTATTTTTCATTTCAGCTTAAATGGAGTTGGGGAATGTGGGTAAAGGAATTCTCTCGGGGAGGAGTGGGAGATGGTATAGTTGATTATTCTAGTTTGTATACGCATATATAATGTTCACTGTGATGAGACTTTCTTTCATAAACATAAAATGACATTATGAAAGTTGATTAATAACAGCAGAATAAATGTTAAAAATGTGCTTTAGATGTTGTATAGTTGGGAAATTGCCTAGGATATGATACTTACTTGATTACAGTAAGCATTAGTCTAGTATGCAGAAATTTAGAAGTCTTAAGTTTATGACACTTGGGGAAGTGTGGGTTGATTTTTAAAGAGATGGACTGGTAAATTTTTTGTATTTATATTCACAAGGCTGGCTTGTATGTTAAACAGGAGTTTGTGTTAAGAAATTAATATGCTACACTATTTAATAAAGGAGGCATCTTTTAGTCTGAAAATTCGGCCGTGCATTGAGGACAAACTAGGGAATTCAGCTTCACAAGAACAGGTTTCAGACTTTGACGTTACTACAAGTCCAAAAGGGAAAGGTGACAGACCTCCTCAGAATGACAGGGAACTGAGGCCTGATAGGAAATATAGCCGAAAACGTGGATTTCCCTCAAAGGTATATTTCACAATATTAATTTGGGAAGTCTTTAAATGAGCACCTCTTTTGTTCACATTTCCTCTTCCTTATTTGCCTTTCTCTTGTTGCTATCACTCTTAAATATATAAGTTATTAACATGGATAATTATACCGTAAATTGCTTTGATAAAGTGTTGTCCCTTAGTGTTTTTATTCTTTTCTGCTTTCTTATCTGTTCTCCATGGATTTTATGTGACAGCTGTATTTAATTTGCATTAACAAAGGACTCGAAACTTAATCCATTTTCTTCTTTTGCTGTTGAGAACTCAGAATAGAATATTCTTAAACCTTAACCATTAGTTGCTGTTTGTTTCTGATATTTGTATTTATGGATGAACATAGTGCTTTTAAGTTTTGTCTTAATTCCTGTAGTCATTCATTAAAGAAAAAGAAAATGGAGTAAGCTATAACCTTTCCTTTCTTTCCAAGAATGAAGTATTTTTATGGTGCCTTTTTTTTTTTTGGTTTTTATTTTTGTTCTTGTTCGAAACCTGTTCCATTCTTTTTTTTTTTTTAAGAAAAATACTTCATAGTTTGAAAAAGCAAAAAAAAAAAGTTATAATGTTTTTACTGGTTTTTTCCTCCAGTGTTTGCCCTAAATGTTAATTTTGCATGATCAGCAAAAAGGCACTGAGGAAAGGTTTAAAAACAACTGTGTAGTTCCACTTAAAACAAGTTTCAATATAAAAGAGCATTTATAAAATGTTTGCATCCTTTTGGCAAGAATAAAATACTATTTTAGTAATTAAGTATAGATTAGACTAATTCCTTATGTTTTATTAGTAGCTTATATTAACTTGGATTGGTCTTTATTTTGTTTTGTACATTTTCTTTTTCTAGTTGTTTGAAAATGACAAAACCTCTATTTTGGCAGTTGATTCTGTTTTTTTGTATTTTTTCCTGGCTCCCATAATAATCTGAGGATTTAGTTTGAAATCAGCTAGGATGATCTTTATAAAGTGTTAAGCAGAAGGTGCCCCAGTATAACAGTAGAGTAAATTAAGTAACTGATTTTTTTTTTTAAAGATTTAAAAAAAAATTTTTTCTGTTTCCTAGAAAGTGAGCACACATGCGTGCGGGAGAGGGGTGGAGGGAGAGATAATCTTAAGCAGGCTTCTCATGGAGTCTCATGTGGGGCTAGATCCCATGACCCTGGGGTCATGATCTGAGCTGAAATCAAGAGTTGGACACTCAACCAACTGAGCCACCAGGTGCCCCAGTAGCTGTTTAATTGTACAACTAGGACCATTGGAGAAGAGAATGAGACATAATAAATATCTTTCAAAACTCACTGCTTTTTAAGTCTTCTGAATAGTGAGAAAACTTAAGGAATTGACAGTTGTTATAGCATAGTGTCTGCCAGTTTTTCTTTTTTTCCTGAAGTAGTAAATATTTTCTTTTAAAAACCATTTTCCTGGCTTTTAGTTCTTTTGAATAATATCCTTGTAAGTGAATATTACTCTCTATTGAAATCTCGGAGTTTATTCTAATATGATTCTCTTTAATCTTTTTATTCTCAGGGCCATCCTAGGGTAGTTCTATCATACTCTGCTCATAATATTTTATTAGGAAAAAACCCTAATTCTCACCAACTGACTTGGTTTTTCCTCTGCTATGTAGAATTGTGTTCTCCCCACCTCACCTTCATTTCCTACTTAACATCCTTACAAGATGTCCTATGCTGTTAAACAAGTAGGAAAAAAGTGGAATTCTTAACTAAGATTCAGAGCTTTAAGCAACCTTGTAAATTACAGCTTGGTAGGAAATGGTTGATATTCTCCTGCTGCTTACAAGGACAGAATCCATTTTATGGAATATTTCACAGACATGATGACACTTTGCATAATTTTTGAAAAGAAGCCTTCTACAAGTGCCCATGCCTCATTATTTGCCCATACTTCTCTTTCCTTTGTATTCATTATCAGCTTTTAGAGACTTTGTAAGCTTTTAAAAATAGTATCTACACCTTTGCTGCTATCATTTTCATCACTTCTAGTGATTTCATGTAGGCTAACTTTGTCTCCCAAACCAGACTATGCTTCCTCTGACCACTGTGTCTTAGACTTTTGTATTTAAAACTGTCTAAGCACATAATTTGGGGGCAGACAGTGTGGTCTGGAAAATACTTGCCTGGATCTTAGGAACCTGACTTGCCCTAATTGTGATGTTGGATAAATCACAGCTTTATCTTCTTTGGGCTTATAGTTCCCTTTCGCATGAGAAAATTGGGACATATATTATCTGAAGTACCTTTCAGCATTAAAAATGTATTTGGATCCATCAAGAGTTATTGGAGGAACTTCAGTTGACTAGAGGAAATAATTTTCTGAATTTGAACTTGTATGCATCTTTGAAGTTCATGCATAAGTTATTTTTTTTTTATCTCTAACCTAAAAATGTACTTGCTGAGAGTGACTCAAAAAGTTAAAGTAAATATGTGTTAGAAGAGTGAATATATTCTTTGCTTCCCTTTTGGATTCTCTTTTGGATAGCATCCGCTTGGTATGTTCTAATCCTTAGGTATTTTTATTTCCTTTTTCTCATCTTCCCTTTCTTTATTGTTTGACTGTGGTTCCTGTCTGCTTCCCTCAGCTTAGATTTTCTGAGTATTGGTTTGAATATTGTTCATATGGATGCAGAACTTATTAAGCAGTGTTAAAACTCTAATTTCAAAAATTGTTAGGAAATCATTTTTGGATTAGTGAATAATCTGAAGGTATTTGTGTTTACTTTCATGAATAGTTCAGAATCTTTATAATTATTGGTCAGAGTTTTGCAAATAAATCTAGCAAGAATTAAAGTTCTTTTAAAAAGTTCGCTTTTAAAGGGGAAAAACCCAGAATGTTATTTATTTAGTAAACTCTTTAAAATTAGATACCTTTAAGGTTACCTTGAGGTCTAAGTAGTTTAGATACAGTGTTTAGATACTTTAGTAGTATTTTTGAGAGATGGGAGGATTATAAATTGAAATAAGCCAGAACTAAGGAGATGAATTTTGACAGGAGCGAATGTAAATGTTAGTAGCTTAACTCCACTTGTATATGTTGGGAGAGAGAACTGAATAAACAGTTAATGTGGAAAGGAAATTCATGACAACAGAAAATCTTCAATAAGTACTGGTTTGTTCAAGATAGACTGGTATCTCTTCCATGTTCATGAAATCTGATCAGTCAATACAGGATAGAGACAGCACTGACTGTCCTGGCTTCTCTGATATGTATATCACATATTCCACCCATAGTCTTTCTACTTCCTTATTTGATCCTACTTCCTTCAGAGTATTTAATTCATAGCCATGTACTTACTCACTTGGTAATTTATTGCTTGCCAAGTCCACAGTGTAAAACTTATTCATAATACTGATGACTTCTGCCTGGAAGGTAATGAGAAGGGATTTTTGCATAGTTATTGATAAGGGACGTCACCGAACAGGGAATCTCTCTGGAGCCATATGTTTTCCCATAATTTCTACAGGAATCACATAGAGAAAGTAGATCAGTGCATTTTTACTTTCAAATGAAATTATTGAACTTTTATTCTCCTTAATAACTTTGGTAGTGGGGGGGATTATTCATTTAAAATCTCCATAATTCCAACCAAAATTTGGTAGCAGTGCAAGTTTAAAATTGACTAAATGTTTTCAAGTTAATAGAAATATTCTGTGTAAATATTTGGTAAAATCATTAAACTTTTAAAATACAAGATTTTTAAAAAGGCAAATCAATGATGAAAAATATCAATATGCTGTATATCTACAGTTCATATGTAATTTGGCTTGTTTTTTCTAAATTGTATTTAACTTGGTCTCTTTGCTTAATTGACTTTCAGTTTTTCTTGTTGGGTTACATTTCAGTGGTTTTAGATTTAATATTTAAGATTCTGTAATTTCTTATAAGTGGCACCTATTTAATCTTGTTCCTCCTCTACTTGCAGGCAAAATGGTAGCATTTTTGGGGAATTTCAAAGTACCTAATATTCTCAGACTCTGCTGAGCATATTCTAAAATAAAACATAATAATGTTATCTTTGATACGAAATATAAAGATTCTGTCTTATGCTTATAAAATGAGATACAAGTAAATCAAACCCTTTCGTCTGATTATTAAATAATAAAAAGTGTTTCTAAAAATTCTTTCCTTGGTTAGAAAATAATGGGTTTTGCTTTTGTCTTATTAGTGTTTTTTAACATCACTTCCAGAAGTGAGGTAGAATGTTTTTTAGCCTGATCTTCTCCAGGGGCATTTTTTTAGGGTATTCACCTGGTATCTGTTTGTTCTTCCTTTTCTGTAAGATCTGGATCCCTCGTGTGTGTGTGTGTGTGTGTGTGTGTGTGTGTGTGTGTGTGTGTGTGTGTGTTTAGCCCTTTGTGACCTTTTTTGTATCCCTTTTTCCCCATTGGTTAATTCTTCAAGCTAAGCCATTGATTATGCTCTTTTACTGTGAAATTACCTAACTACCTAGCTCTTAACCTGGCAGGCTATCTCTGTGTCATCATTTTTTTTCTTAATTCTTTTTTCTTCAAGTCTGCTAAAACTGTATCAAGGGTTGTATATTGAATACTAATTTATCATCTACATATGTACTTTGCCATTAGTATTTGAAACAGGAACATGAATTTTAATAATCAGATGTAAGTATTATTGATCTTATTTTCTAGGCCAGAGATCCTCAGCAGGAGCCTATGGAAGAGATAGAAAATTTGAAGAAACAGCATGACTTATTAAAGAGGATGTTACAGCAGCAGGAGCAGCTGCGAGCCCTGCAGGGACGACAGGCCACTCTTCTCGCTCTGCAGCACAAAGCCGAGCAAGCTATTGCTGTGATGGATGATTCTGGTATGCTGCAGTCTAGCATATTGATAAAAGCAAGGCTCGATTAATAATGGTCTTGCAGGGTGGATGCTGGTTGCTAGGTAATCATATCTTGATTGTTGACTAGTTGAGAAACCTACGTAGGCTTACCGAGTCCTGTGCTTTCTCTGATTACGCAGAAAAGACTGCAGGGACAGCTCCTGACCGACATACTGTACCGGGCCGACAGCCAGCCTGCTCTCCTTTTCATCAGAGAGCGCCCTCAAGAGGTAAAAGGGACAGTCTGCAGTTTTGTTTTTGTACCTTACACTCATAGGGCTCTTGATGGGTTTTTTCCACCTTTTGTATTTTATTCACCTGGGATTGCTATACTTTTCTTGCCTTCCAAGAAAAGGTCAAAACCTTAAAAGTGGCAGTGAATAAATGTGTAGAGCTTCTTTAAGCTTCTGATGTTGGTAGTAGCTCTGTTATGTCAGTTAGATAGATACCCAGTAGTGTTCCTTTTTACTGAATTTATATCCTGTATAGTGTTCCTGAGACTCAGAAACATTTTTTTCATTTCCCCTTCTCTCATAGCCTTGTATCTGTCATTTAGGTGGAAATTGTATTGAATTGTTAGTATTGAGTCTAATTTTATAGTTTTTTGTCATCTTCAAACCTCTTGAGTTTCTCATTATGTTGAAAACATCTTGTTACCTGTTAAAACTCTTTGTTTTACTAACTAAGGTATATTTTCTAGTCTGTTATCCCAGTCTAATAATTTATTTTCTTTGGGTTTTCTGTGTTAGGTCTTCACTGAGGTTACCCTGTTATTACTCATTTTATGCTACTATCCATAGCTAGCCCAGTGGCTGAGCCCTCAGATCACTATTACATATAATTCTGCATTTTCATAAGGAACTTTATGCCTTGCGAGCAGCTTACTCCTATGTGATAATTACATAACTGTATATCATGTATGTAGTATAGTATATACCAATAATTAATACACATTTTGAACTCTTTTTTCTCTTGTAAAGTTCAGAGTATCATTAGCTCTGATATTTATATTTCAGGAAGTAGATAATTTAGAATGAAAACAAAATACTTAAACAATGACTAATACTAGTTAAAGGCTAATGACTAACGCTGTAAATACTTTAAATATTTTCCAAGTTTTAGATTTCAGAGACTTGCCTCTGATAGTTATGTTATTTCAAATAGTTACATTTATATCATCTCATTTGATTATCACAAAATTGTGTGTTAGTCACTAGAGCATTTATTTCTTTGTTGTAGAAAAGGAGCTCTAACAGAGTTTGTGATTTGTCTATGCTTATATGGAATATTAGTAAAATCAGATCTCTTGAATTCTAGGTCAGAGGTCTTCTTTTTATGAGTATGGGAACTTTTTTCTTTAAAGTGTACTATGAGGTAGGCACCAGGAATAGAATGAACAAGGGTTTAAGAGTAATTTATTTTACTATTTCAAAAATAATTCTAGTTAGTAGTTTTTAAACATTTTCTCTTGTATTTCTGAGATTATGATGAAAAACCAGAATGATGATATTTAATCTTCTGGTATATAAGTGAGGCAAAGTAATTGTTAAAGGAAAGAGTCATTTTTTAATTACTGAACTAGCAAGTGTATGCTAGTTAAGTGTGTGTTAGTTATCGATATTGTAATTTCTTTGTTTTCAAAATAGAGTTTGTACTAGATACTTGGGATCCTATTTAGCCCTGAAGTTCTAATTTTTCATTGAGAAAGCTAGTATTTTCCTTTAAAACAGAAACAGTTTATAGCCAGTGTTTCTCTTAGAGCTAGCAAGGATAAGCACAGGGTGGTTGGGTAGTAGAGCAGTGACCGTTATTGAAATTACCATCTGAATACTACCTCAGGGATACTGCCATAGGAAGATAAGAACTATGGTCTTGTAGTATGACTTGTATCATAAGCAACTACTTCTCTAAATTACCTCTTCTGTTGCAGGGGTCAGCAAGCTATGGCCAGCTGGATTTGTTCCACTGCATAAAATAAAGTTTCATGGAACATATCCATGTCTATTTATGTATTGTCTGTGGTTACTTTTTCCCTGCAGTGGCATAATTGTGTACTTGAGACAAAAACTGTATTTCCACAAAACCTAACATGTAATGTCTGAATCTTTATGAAATGTTTGCCTCCCTGTATTAGATCACTGATTCTGTTTGGGGAGGTGGGAATTGAGACCTGACCGTATTAGCTACGCTTTTTGAGATTAACCACTTCCCCTGCTGGTTCCCCAGCCCAGTCTGATTGGCCTGTCCTTTCCCTACTCCATTGAGGAAGTATTCTCCTCAATGTAGGAGTATTTCTCCTTAAATGATGGGATAGAAAAAGATGAATCACTATACTAGAGTTTTCTGGGTCTTTTTATTTTCAGGTGAGATGGAAATTTCTATTAAAATGATTGGTTGGGAGATAAATCTGAGAGTTATAAATTAGGTTGGTTTTTTTTTTTTTAATTCCTATTTTTCTCCCAGAATTTAGTTTTGCCTTCTCAAATTGAAATTTTAAATTCAATTGAATTTTAATTTATTTGTTTTGTTGAATAATTTTCTTTCCAGTTGTAACAGAAACTACAGGTAGCTTATCTGGAGTTAGTATCACATCTGAACTAAATGAAGAATTGAATGATTTGATTCAGCGTTTTCATAATCAGCTTCGTGATTCTCAGGTAACTTAATTTTTTTAGTATAGTTGAGTTTAAAATCATTATTACTTAAACTAGTGGTTCCCAGACTTCACGGAGTATAAATATCACTGGGCATGATTGTTTTAAAAAAAAAAAATGTAGTTTTCTGATTAGTGGAATCCCCTCACGTCCAAAAGTATGTGTGACTCATTCATTTGAGGTGGGCTTTCTCACCATGTGATTCTACTGCTGGTAGTCTGGGGACTATACTTTGAGAAACACTAAATTAGAAGAACACCTACTTTGTGAATGGAGTGACAAGTGAAATTTAAGAATTTAAACTTAAATCTAAAACTTTAAGAGTTTAAGAAGGATACTGCTTGGCTGATGTTTATAAATGCATAAAGGATGTGTATTTTCTATAGGTGTAACAAAATGTAAACATATGTGAGGATGGTAGAAACCTATTATATCTAGAGAGAGTAATGAGGGTGGGGGTTGGTATGTGTTGGTATGTCTGGAGCTTTAGCTATCTCTGTAATTTTATATTTCTCTTAAAAAAATTGATGCAAATGTGGCAGAATGTTAAAATTTAAGCTTAATGGTGGCTTATTCGTTTTATGATTTCCTAAGCCTTAGTGGAAAGAAGTGATAGGAAAAACTGATAGGTTAAGAAGTTAAAGTTTATGATGGTGATTCTAAAAAGATGGCAAGAGAGAAAATGAGATTTTTGAAAGATTTTATATTTCTCGTACTTAATTTAGTTATTTGTGTCCATAAAACCATATATGTGTTATAGTGGCACATCAGGGAAATAGTATGGAAAGACATATACTCACCCACCAGCACAATCGAGGTAGATATTTATCACTTTTTATAAAGACTATTTATGCTTTTATAAAATGAGAATGAAACCTTTAACTGTTTTGGTCTTCTTTTTTTATTTTTAAATAAGCCTCCAACTGTTCCAGACAATAGAAGACAGGCAGAAAGTCTTTCATTAACTAGGGAGGTTTCCCAAAGCAGGAATCCATCAGTTTCAGAACACTTACCTGATGAGAAAGTACAGCTTTTTAGCAAAATGAGAGTATTACAGGAAAAGAAACAAAAAATGGACAAACTGCTTGGAGAACTTCATACACTTCGAGATCAGCATCTGAACAACTCGTCATGTAAGTAAATCTGGCTCAGCAAGGTTAGGTGGAGGACACAAGAGCGTATGTGCTGGCATCTAGTAGTTATTTATTAAATATCCGGTGAACGAATGTACTCATAGTTTCTCAAGAAAATGACAGTATTTGAGGGGAGATAGGACTTGGATGGGGAAAGTTTTTAACTAATAAGGCAATCTATGAAGATAGCCAGATAGATGGTTGATCTGTTCTATAATTCAGTAAAGGGAAAGAATAAAGTTGGGCTTTGAAAAATTGGTAGGATTGTAATTTAAGGGAAACAAAAAGAGAAGGTAAACCGTTAGATATTTGGACATTTAATATTGGATTTTTTAGCATATTCAAGTTTTCCCTTAAAGGGAACTTTTTTTTTTTTTTTTAATATTTTTATTTATTTCTAGGAGAGAGAGAGAGACAGCGTGAGAAGGGGAGGGTCAGAGAGAGGGGTCAGAGAGAGGGTCTGAGAACACAGACTCTGAAACAGGCTCCAGACTCCGAGCTGGCAGTCAGCACAGAGCCCGATGTGGGGCTCGAACCCACGAACCGCGAGATCATGACCTAAGCGAAAGTCGGACGCTTAACCGACTAAGCCACCCAGGCGCCCCCCTTAAATGGAACTCTTATCCAAATTAGTACTTTGATTTAAAAACTACGAAACAGATTTAGAAAGTATGCAAAAAAATGAGATGTGAAAAACTTATGTAGTACATATGGTTTAGTGAAGAAAACCTGTAACTTACATAGTTTATAATGTATAGGCTACATAAACTATAAAAATGAATAACTTTCTTGAAGTAGAAGCCATCTTAGGTGGGAATAGAAGAGCATAGTTGTACTAGTTATACTATGAGAACCATGTTTTCTGCTTCACAGATGCCTTTCTTGGCCTCTGTTGAATAGTCCGCAGTTGCTCTCTTGACACCTTCTCAAGCCTGGTCCCTTTCTTTTACCTAAACAGTCAGTAATAGGAGCTCTAGCAAGAGAAACTGATTACTAGTAGGATCAACCCCAGCTGGTCAAAATTCTTCAACATTCCTGCTGCGCTCTCATTAAAGACAGGGATAGAAAAAACATCTCTGGAGTCCCTGTTCCTTATTCTTTTCCCATCTCCTATTTGTTTGCCACCCTCCCCCCCAAAAAACCTTAATATTTCTGCCTGAAACATCCTTCTTTCTTTTCCCTGACCTCTGCCGGTCTCTCCTTCTCCTGAGTATCATCTAATCCCAGTGCTTATCCTTCCTGTACAGATGAATACAACTAAGAAAAACTTAAAATTCGAAAGTTGTACTCAAGGCCTTGTGGTCACTTTTAAATAGATTAAAAAAAAAAGTAGCACTCTGCTACTGATGACTCTAAAAACGTGATTTTTTTTTCACACGTTTACGTGTGAAACAAAGCAGCAGCAAAAGGTAGAACAGTCAAGGAGTAGAGCAAAGAGACTGCTGGAAACCAGCTGTAGCAGTTGATAATGTGAGCAACAAATAATGATGGTCATCCCTGTGAGAAAGATAGATGACAATAGTCTTAAAGTGATGGAGATAGAAAAGTGCAAAGATTCTTAATCTTCATTTATTGCCCTTGAAGGCATAAGGTGTCTTTGATCCATGTGGACAGAAAAGTAATTAGCATATAGTTCAAGAACTGCGGAAGGTTAGCCATCATCTAGTTGGAAAATTTTATTGCTGGCCTGTATTTCATGGTATGAATGTACTACACTTGCTTTAACAGTTTGTCTTTTGGAACAAGGAAAGTTCCATCTTGGAGACCAGATGTAATTCCTGTGAGCTGTGGATCTGGAACACTCTTAGGGACCTTATCCACCAGGGCTGTAAGGATTTGTAGATGGTTTACTGAACATCATCCACATTTACCCTATTTAACTTAACCTAGAATCAGGTTTATTGGGAGAGTATACTGGTTACTTTTTAAAGTAGAATATCCTGGTTCTGGTCAGTGTCCACCTTGTCTTTGCTTACAGTTTTCTTCCTGTTTTGAGTCTGTGGTATTTGGTTGAGGAACATCTTAATGAACAAGTGGTCTGGCTGTTCTATTCTTAAGTTTCTAAAATTTAAATCCGCAAAATTGAAGATGTTAATGATTTTTTTACTTTTTACTTTTATACGTAAATAAACTGAGTGTTATTTGATGCCATATTTGTTTATTTATGGTAGCTGATCCTTTTTTTTTGTTAGTTGTGCCTTCTTCAGCCTCTCCTCGAAGTGTGGATCAGAGAAGTGCAGCTGCAGCTCCTTCTGCCCCCATAGGCGTGGCACCAGTCAATGGAGAACCCAGTAGCCTCACGTCATCTGTTCCTTATCCAGCTGCTTCTCTAGTTTCTCAGAATGAGACTGAAAATGAAGGACATCTAAATCCAACCGAAAAACTCCAGTAAAACATTTTTACAAACATTATTTACATAGATTAGAATTGAATAATGAAGATAAATTATGGTTTTTGTTCTTGGATTGTTGAAAACTCTGGAAAAACTGAGTTTATTTAATATGATAGATTAGAATTCTTAAGAGGTGGTAGAAAAAGGGTCTGTGTTTGTTATATTTCGTTCTTTGAGTTGTCCAAGAGAAATGAGACATTGTAGTACAGATAGTTTTTGTGAGCAAATGCATTCCCATTTTCCAACAAAAAGTTTTGAAATAGCTGGGATTGCATTAAAATATTTTTATATTCAAATGGTTCTAAATTCAGAGTTCAGGCTCTAGAATCAGAAAGCCTTGAAATTGTATTTCACAAGGCTGTGTGATGTGGACAAATAACTTACCCTCGCTAGGCCTGTTTCTTCATCTGCAAAATAAAGATAATAATAGGCCTATTCAAAAGGTATTTTACAGATTAAAAAACATTGGGATAGTTTCTGGCACTTAATGGAAACTCAAACTTATTATTTTGGGTAAACCTATTCTACACGTATAGATCTCTATATGTTATAAATGAGGAGCCTTCTGTAAATGCTTAGTAATGTCTACATTACTGATTTGCCTGAGAGGTAGGATTTAAATTGAATATTTACTACTTCACTGTTTATTAAGGAACCAAATCTGCTTCAGGTGAACCCTTGAAACTTTTTGTTTTAAAGCTTTTATCCCTAACATGACATAAGAAAATAGAGTGGTGAGTTACTGAGTAAGAAAGATACCCTTGAAATTCGTTACTTTATAGTCACACCGCCTGGGTGTTTGACTAGGGTTAAATTTTGTTTGTACTGGCTGCTTGTATATGAAAATACCGCATGCTTTGTTTTGCTAAAATGGGTATTATATTTTGTTTGTTTATCAGGAAGTTAAATGAAGTTCGAAAGAGATTGAATGAACTAAGAGAATTAGTTCATTATTATGAACAAACATCAGATATGATGACGGATGCTGTAAATGAAAACACAAAAGATGAAGAAACTGAAGAGTCAGAATATGATTCTGAACATGAAAACTCTGAGCCTGTTACTAACCTTCGGTAACAACTTTTTCTGACATGTTCCTTCTACTTGGATATTTCTAATATGCAACAAAAAAACCCTCAATAGATTGCTGTTTGCTTTTTATTTAAGCTTTTCTCCTGTAAAGCTGTTTGAGTGTACTATTTTGGCCAGTGTAATCTTACTTGCCCTGTAAAGATAAACAAATAGAGAAGCAGTGAGTGCAGTAGTTTAGCAAATTTGCTTTTTGTTAGATCAAATGCAGGTAAACTATAAGAAGTATCTTAACATTTTCCTACCTCTCTATTTTTAGGTATAATTTTGATTTTTTTGGATGTTTTTCTTCCTAAATTTCCAAATAGCAGACATTTACAAAAAGCAAGAGCCACTTATTCAAAGTATGAATTTAAGGGGTCCTTGGGTGGCTCAGTCGGTTGAGCGTCCAACCTTGGCTCAGGTCACGATCTCACGGCTCGTGGGTTTGAGCCCCACATCGGGCTCTGTGCTGACAGCTCAGAGCCTGGAGCCTGTTTCAGATTCTGTGTCTTTCTCTCTCTCAGAAATAAACATTAAAAAATTTTTTTTTAAATTGCAGTTTGAGTTTAAATGGAGAAATAGCCAGTGATGTTCATAGTTGGGAATTATCAGCAGTTCTAAAACTTTGAAAATTCATTCATTCATTCATTCATTTAAATAACATCAGGCTGTTTTCTTTCTTTTAGAAATCCACAAGTAGCTGCCACTTGGAATGAAGTAATTAGTAATTCTAATGCACAGTGTGTTTCTAATAATAGAGAGGGGAGATCAGTCAATTCTAATTGTGAAATTAACAACAGATCTGCTACCAACATGAGGGCTCTAAACATGCCTCCTTCTTTAGGTATGATTGGCTCCTGACCATAATTTTGACATATTGTTTTTTTCTAAGTGGATTTTATTTCATTAGTACTGTTTTTAAGCTAATTCAGTTACTGATTTCAATGATACATGCTTCCAGCAGATTGTCACTATAATAGAGAAGGAGAACAGGGGATTCATGTTGCACAAGGTGAAGATGATGAGGAAGAGGAGGAAGAAGCAGAAGACGAGGGAGTCAGTGGGGCTTCGTTAACTAGTCATAGGAGCAGTCTGGTTGATGAGGCTCCAGAAGATGCTGAATTTGAACAGAAGATCAGTAGACTTATGGCTGCAAAACAGAAACTTAGACAGTTACAGGATCTTGTTGCCATGGTACAGGTAAATACTGCTTGATTTGTTTTAAAAGAATTGTGTGTGAAAACAATAATTCTTGAAATAATTCTTGAGTCAGTTACTTACTTTTAGTGTTGAAGTTGATGTCATTCAGTTGTTCAGGCGCCCTCTCATGGCCTTCTAAGATTTCCGGCAGTTTTGTACTTTTTCCTGAACTTTAATTTTTCCACTTTTTATTATGTGGAAGGCCTATGATGCAGCTTCTCTGTTCTTGTGTCCCAACTCAGTTTCTTTGAAGTCTTCTTATCCGTACTAGTAATGAATTAGGTTAGTTTTTAGATGAATGAGAAGACCAGATAACACCCATCTACAAACTTAAAATTGACTAGCCAGTTTTGTAATTGAGCTGACTCAATTTATAGTCAGCACTAACTCTTTAAGGTTTTATTAAAACGATACTTCCAAAGATTAAAGTTTCAGTTGAGGTCTTCAGAGAAAACATGGGTAAGTATAAAAATATGTAGAATTAAATGTTTTTTAAGAAAATGCAGTAGTTCACCCCCAGAAACCACACCCCCCCATGCCTTAATAAGTACATTGATTTAAATGTGAGTTGTTTTTCCAGTAGTTAATGACAGATGTGAGATATTCTCCTTAGTTTTTGTATTATGGCCTATTGGCCCTCGTTTGGCAAACTAAATACTAAAGTGAGGGAATAGAAAATTTTAAACTAGTGACAGTGGACATTGATTATGTGAAATTGTTAATGTAAAAGTTACATTTTTTAAGAAAAATTATCTAGTATTAAGAGTTCCAGATCTGATAGTGTGTTTTTGATCTTTTTCATATTCTTTGCAAAGCTTTTCTTTGATAGCTCAGTATCTGGTCAAAATAAGAAAAGGCAATTTAATGTTTGTCATTACTGGGTAATTGGCAATTCACATTATGAGTGTACTTTTTTGTTGTTCACATTATGAGTGTACTTTTTTGTTGTTTTAGTACTTCTTTTCTTGCAATTGGTACAGGATGAACTTCAGTTTTCTCTAAAAATCATGTACTTAACCTACTGCTTTAATTTTTATATTACGTAGATTTTACAGAATAGTGTTATTTAAGGTACGCATTGGATAATGTTTTTATAGATATCAAGATTATTTTAATGATGTTTTTTAGGATGATGATGCAACAGATCAAGGGGTTATCTCTGCCAGTACTTCAAATTTGGATGATTTCTACCCAACAGAAGAAGACAACAAACAAAATGCAAATAACACTAGAGGAAATACCAATAAAACACAGAAAGATGCTGGCATAAATGAAAAGGCAAGGTATGTTAAGCTCAGGGCCTTCACTTAATAAAAATTTAGTTCTTTTTATAGAGAAGGCACTTGGCTAGGTACTGTATTACATCATGCTTAATGCTATCATCAGATTTATTGGAGTCTGCAAATATAATGTCAATTTAATTACAGAGAGAAATTTTATGAGGCTAAACTACAGCAGCAACAGAGAGAGCTCAAACAGTTGCAGGAAGAAAGAAAGAAACTGATTGAGATTCAAGAGAAAATTCAAGCATTGCAAAAGGCATGTCCTGACCTACAGGTAATTGAGAACTTTTTTTCCCCATTTGTGTGAAAAAAGATGTTTAAAACCTAATGTCATTTGAAAGTACTCTGTCTTTTTCTGGTACTGATGTGGTAACATTTATATCAGTTTTTTGATAAATGAAATGGATGAACTAATGAAAGGGGTTAAGGGTCTACAATTACACTGTGAAAGATAGCACATAGGAGTTGACTTCGATTACTTTGATTTTTTTCATTTGGGTTAGGCAGCTTTAGATTCAGAACGTGAGTGTTAATAACTCTTACATTATTCTGGTTTGAGCTTTGCCTTTAAGGGATTAGCGTTTACATCTTTTCTTGCCTTAAATTATATAATAAAGCCCTTAAACCATCATGATTATCTAAGGAAATTAATTAAAATACTTTATCTGTAGTTTGCTTATTAAATAGTATATGTATGGATCTTTGAACTAGAATGGAGAATGAGCAAACTTTGACCAGGTAATCAGGAGTGGGAATAAGGTTGATGCAAAAAGGGAGTACCAGTTCTTTTGAGATTTTTCTTAAAATGTTTTGGTTACCTTTATTTAGTCAGGCTTGTTTTCATAGAAAGGGAAACACATCAAATGATGTTTCTTTGTAACTTTATTTTCTAACCTCTTCTACCTTATCTAATCATGTTTCCCTTCTCCATCATCTAAATAAGAAAGGGAAACATATCAAATGATGTTTATTTATAACTGTTTATTTCCTAACCTTTTCCACCTTACCTCATCCTTTTTCCCTTCTTCATAGTCTAAATAATATCCAGAGAGATACATCCTGGAGTTGGGTTGAGTATATGAAATTTTTACGGTAACATTTTATCCTTGTTTCTGTTGTTCCTGAGGGTTGGCTGCTACTCATCAGCTTTATCCTGTGTTTTCATCTTTGTTTTCTTTGGATCATGATGTCATTTGAGGTCTGATAATAACAAATTAAATATAGCACTAGAGCCCCAGTGGAATGGTAAAATAACTGCTTTTATGAAATTAACACAGTTGCTTTAATTCCTCATAATAGTTTTTAATAATCCTTTTTTAGCTGTCAGCCACTAGTTCGGGTAATTGTCCCACAAAAAAATATATCCCAGCTGTTACTTCAACCCCAGCTGTTAATGGAAATGAAACCAGTACAAGCAGATCTGGTTTTGAGCCTGAAGATCCTTCAATAGTAGATAATGAGGTATCGTATATTGTACCTGTTCCCAAGTCTTACATCACGTCTTACAGAAAACTGAATATCTGTGGAACATGTTTTTAAAAGCAGCCTGTTTTTGTCTTTTGGTGTTTTTTCCCCCAAAAGTAATTAAGTTGGGATTTTTTCAAAATAATCTTGTTCTTTATTAGCAAATATTTAGCAGAATTATATTTAAGGGGTAGTTGCATTGAACAGTAATCATTTCAGTTAGAAAGACCTATTCTTTTCCATTTTATTTATATGCGATTTGTAGAAAACATCGTAACTTTAAATAGTTGACAAAGTGTATTTGGCTACTACTTGTTTTCATTAAGGATTAATGATAATAATAAGAAAGTTTTTTCTTATCACAAAAGTATATTTTAACTGTGGATATCTTAGTGTAAAAAGGATAGGGGGAGAATAGAACTCTTTGTCTTCTATTCTTTAAGGCTAAAACAAATCCAAGTATATGATACTAACTTGACTGTGACTTTTAAAATAACAGCTGTGGTCAGAAATGCGAAGACATGAGATGTTAAGGGAAGAGCTAAGACAGAGAAGAAAGCAGCTTGAAGCTCTGATGGCCGAACATCAGAGGAGGCAAGGGCTAACTGACACTACATCTCCAGTGGCTGTTTCACTGAGAAGTGATGGATCTGAGAACCTGTGCACTCCTCAGCAGAGTAGAACAGAAAAGTAAGAGCGGTGTTTTAGTTTTTTATTTAACTTTACCTGCCTAGGGCAGCTTCATTTCCCCTCTCAGCACACATCTACGGTTTCCTGGAGGCTAGTGTTTAAGCATCACCTAAGTGGTTCGGTTTAACTAAATCCAGCTGTTTCCTGTTCTAACTTCTCATAGCATCACTTCTTTTTTTGTAAATAACTAAGGCACTTGGTCAAATAGTGATACAGATTTTCTTGAGCGTGTAAGCCTTATTTTTTTAGTTAACATTTTAGGCTTATAAAAGTGAAATGTTTGTTACTTATCAGGCTAGAAATGAGCACATTTTTACTTAAAAATCTCCTGTCTGTAAATTTCCTAAGGATTAGGAAAGGTTTTATTATATGAAACATTTAGATTTTAGGGTTTACATTTGAAATTTCCATATTTAGAATATTTCTTAAAATATCAGCTATCTGTAAGATGGGTTAGTTATCATATAGGAGTATTCAGATCCAACTTTTTTTTAATTTATTTATCTTAAAATTTATTACTTATTTATTTATTTAATTTTTTGAGAGCAAGCAGGGGATGGTTAGAGAGGGAGAGAGAGAATTCCAAGCAGACTCCACACAGTCAGAGTAGAGCTTGATGTGGGTCTCAAACTCACAAACCATGAGATCGCAACCAGAGCTGAAATCAAGAGTCAGATGCTTAATTGACTGAGCCACCCAGGTGCCCCTCAGAACTAACATTTTGAAATTCAAGTTTGTTGGGATCTTACCTTTTGATATCCTCAGATGGCATTTCTGGAACTTTGCACCAAACCTTATTCTCTTCCTCTTAGAAGAACTTTTCCTGTTTTGAAGTCCCAAAATATACTTTATTTATCAGATTATATCTCTGGTACTTTTTTTCTGTTCTGAGTACCACACATCTGAACTTTAGAAAAGTTACTTAGATAGATTTGATAAGCATCTAGGCTTGGGAACCATGGCTCTAGAATTGTGGTCTCCAGGGTTGCCTGGATGGCTCAGTCGGTTAAGTATCTGATTCTTGATCTCCACTCAGGTCATAATCTCATGGTTCATGAGTTTGAGTCCCGTGTCGGGCTCTCTGCTGACAATGTGGAGCCTGCTTGGAATTCTCTCTCTGTCCCTCCCTGTGTGTGTTTTCTCTCTCTCCCTCTCTCTCATTCTCTTTCTCTTTCTCTCTTAAATTAAATTAAGATTTAATTTAAGAGTAAACTTAAATTAAAAAGTATGGGGACCCCTGGGTGGCTCAGTCGGTTAACCTTGGAGCCTGTTTCAGATTCTGTATCTCCCTCTCTGACCCTCCCCTGCTCATGCTGTCTCCCTCTCTCTCTCAAAAATAAATATAACATTAAAAAATTTTTTTAAAAAATGTATAGAATTGTGCTTTACAGTATGGCAGCTGCTGCATTGCCTATACCTATGTAAATGAAAAGTAAATAAAACTAATATCTCATTTTCTCAGTCCATACCAGCCACATTTTAAATGCTCATTAGCAGTGTGTGCCTAGTGTTTACTGTACTGGATCCACGTACATAGATCATTACTGCTGTTACAGAAAGTTCTTTTGGAGAGCTCTGATCTAGAAAACTGTCACTCAAGGAAAAGTTAAAAATTGAAGGGCCTTTAATTTAGGAAAAAATATTCCAGGGGTTATGATTACTGTTTTAATTTATTTGAAGGATTGTTTTGTGGAAGGCAGAGTAAACATACTCTGTATAACAGCAGTGGAAAGAATACCACTCATCTTACTACTATGGTTAAGTGAAATTGTATAGATGAGCACTTCTGTGCTTCTATATAAGCATACACACATATGTACATATATGGTACAATGTCTGGCACATAGTAGATGGTAAGGTATTTAGCTAATCTCCAGAATGGCCTCTTATTTTTTGTCTCTTAATCTCTAGAACAATGGCAACTTGGGGAGGTTCTACTCAGTGTGCACTAGATGAAGAAGGAGATGAAGATGGTTACCTTTCTGAAGGAATTGTTCGGACAGATGAAGAGGAGGAAGAAGAAGAGCAAGATGCCAGTTCCAATGATAACTTTTCTATGTATCCTCCTAACAGCATGAATCATAACTCTTATAATGTAAAAGAAACTAAGAATAGGTTAGTTTCACGGTTTTAACTTTTTGCCTGATTCCTGACATCTCACATCTTTGTGACTCTGAGTGCTTCTCTGATTCTCTGAGCAGAGTGTCTTATAATCCAATTCAATTCTGACACTAACTACTTAGAATTAGGGTAGATGCCACAAGTCAAGGGCTCAGTCCCACAAGATGGCCCTCATTTTGGATGCCAGTTGCAATGCCAAGTCTCCATGTGCTCACACTTCTGTCTGACTTTGCCAGAAATTTGGGGGTTCCCACAAGCCCTGTCTAGGTTTCATAATTTTCTGGAACAACTCATGAACTCAGAAAAATACGTTTACTTGCATATACAAAGGGCACAACTCAGGAGTGAGCCAAATGGAAGAGATGGTGCAGGCAAGGAATGGGTGGGGCACGGGGTCAGAGCTTCCGTGTCCTCTGGGTGCGCCACCCTCCCAGCACTGCAATGTGGTCACCAGCCCAGAAGCTCTCCTAACCAGCTTGGTAAGGGGATTTTGTGGAAGTTTCCTTACATAGTTACAACTGATGAAATCATCAACCATTGCCGATTAAACTCAATCTTTAGCGCCTCCTCCCTCTCTTGAAGTTGGAGGTGGGGCTGAAAGTTCTAACCCTGTAAACACCTGGTTGATTTTTCTAGTGACTGGCCCTTATCGTAAAGCTATCTAGTGCCTGCCAAGCGTCATTAGCTATGGTTGAGTGAATAGCAAAGACCTTCCTCTCAGGAGATGCCAAGGGTTTGGGAGTTCTATGCTGGGCACCTGGGATAAAGACCAAATATATTTTTTATTGTACCATAATTGCCAGTGTAGATCCCAACTAGACCGGGTCAAGATTCATAAGCTTTGATCTTTGCTCCTGTTTGGGGGAGTTAAGCAAAACTTAAAATCATAGATTTGTTATTTCTAACAGTGAAAAATGTTTCATGAATAAAAGATGGTTAAGTAGTTCCACTTGATGGAATATCATGTGGCTAAGTTTAAAGCATGAAGAATGGAAAAATGTTTGTAATAAAATGTTCATTTTGCAGAATATAGGATTACATGGACACTTCAGTGTAAAACCTAAGTAAAAAAGGTGGAAAAAAGTTAAAAATGATAATTGCACAAGGCTAGAAATCTGAAATTCCCTTTCTCCCTCCCTCCCTCTCCCCCTCATTTTCTGTACTTTTTAGGCCCTTTGAATTTAAACTTTGATCTTAAGAAAATACTGCTCTTGATTTTTTTGCCGGATTTTAAAAACTGCACAATTACATATGATCACCTAAATGCTTTAAATCTGTGGTAGGTGGAAGAACAGTCGCCCTTTTTCAGCAGACGGAAATTACCGTCCCTTAGCCAAGACGAGACAGCAGAATATCAGCATGCAGCGCCAGGAAAACCTTCGCTGGATGTCAGAACTGTCTTATGTGGAGGAGAAAGAACAGTGGCAAGAACAAATTAATCAGCTAAAGAAACAGCTGGATTTCAGTGTCAGTATTTGTCAGACTTTGATGCAAGACCAGCAGGTAAAGGTTACTACGAAAGTCAGTTGTTTTTTTTTCTTGCTTCTAAAACAGTGCCAATTTTTCTCAAGTCATCAGTAACTGTTAGGACATTTTTTCTTTCCTTAGACGTTATCTTGTCTGCTACAGACTCTTCTTACGGGTCCTTACAGTGTTATGCCCAGCAATGTTGCATCTCCTCAAGTACACTTCATAATGCACCAGCTGAACCAGTGCTACACTCAGCTCACGTGGCAACAGAGTAATGTGCAAAGGTAATCTGTTTTTAGCAGCAGTAGATATGCATGGAAAATGCTAAAATGGAGCAAGTGTTTTCTAGTTATCTTCTGGGAGAAAAGGGCACGAGCAAAATTGGACATTCAGACATTCTCAGTATCTGAGGATTTTATAAACAGTGACTTGCGCTATGTTCCTTTTTAATACCATAGACTTGTTTTTAAAAATTTTTAGTGTTCGACTTTATACTTCTATTAGGTGAATTACATGCTGTGTAAATTATACCTCTTTGTAGCTTTCAGCATCAAAAATCTGTGAGTTTCTTAGAGTTCTACTTACTGTCTGATCGAAGTGGTAAGTGTAGTTCTTGTCCCAAAGGCCAGGTTAAGGAAGTAAGTCTGCAGGACGCCACTGTTTGCTGTCACTGTCCAAACAGTCCATTTCTTCTGCATGTTTTTGAATCACTTTTTATATGTATTATCTCTAAATGTGCTTTAAACAGAAGATAATATAACTGATTTGTAAGTTAACTGACTTCTTAAATATTTATAGGTTGAAACAAATGCTAAATGAACTTTTGCGCCAACACAATCAGCACCCAGAGAAACCCGGAAGCAAGGAGAGAGGCAGCGGTGCATCACACACGTCTTCTCCCAGTTTATTTTGTCCTTTTAGCTTTCCCTCGCAGCCTGTAAATCTGTTTAACCTTCCCGGGTTTACTAATTTGTCATCATTTGCACCAGGTAAGTGACTCCAAACTTGAAAATAAATGCCAAGTGTTCAGGAATACAGTTTGTCTCTTGCGTGGGTTTTTATCATTCTTTTTTGATGTTGCAAAGAAAGTTACGAACTCGTCTTTGTTGATTTTTTATGGTGAAAAACTTTAAATGGTTGCTAATGAAATTAAGTAAACTACGTATGAAGATTGCTTAGTCTTACACCTTTGAATTACTTAGCAACCATTTACTAAGGAGAGCGGGAATGAGGCTCTCCCATGATTGCCGCACACCAGGCACTGTGTAGAGCGTAAGGAGAATAAAGATGACTGAAGTGGTGTTCTGGTGTTCTTCTAGAGGAGCTGCATGTCTTGGTAGGGAGATTCACTCCTAGACTGAAGCTTAGCTTATGCTTGGATTGAATTTTACTTAGCTTAGCCTTTTATTCAGGCTCTTTTAATGCACCCATTATGTTTCAGATACCAAATAAATGACTGGGATTCAAATGGGTAGAACTAATGTTTTGCTTTTTTTTTTTTTTAAATGTTTTTTAAGTTTATTTATTTATTATGAGAGAGAATGCAAGTGAGGAAGGAGGGGCAGAGAGCAAGGGGAGAGAGAATCCCAAACAGTCTTCACGCTATCAGCACAGAGCCCAATGTGGGGCTTGAACTCACGAAACTGTGAGATCATTACCTGAGCCGAAACCAAGAGTCAGGTGCCTAACTGATGGAACCACCCAGGCACCCCTAGGTATAACTAATGTTTAAAGTAATTTAGAGTAGTGAGGAAGCTCGGGGTGTCAGGTGGCCAGCACAGTGCTATGTCTGCTATAGCAGTGATGCAAATGAGGTCTACTCTTCTTTGGGGCAAGAAATGGTCAACAAGTTTTGTTTGTTTTTGGTGTTTTTTTTTTTTTCTGCAGAAGGCATGTTATTTAAAGAATGAGCACCATTTATTTCCAGGGAGATTAGAGAGGAAAGGGTTTTCTAATCAGTGGGACCACTTAGAATTACAAAGCAGTGAAACAGTGGATCATGGGGGGAATTTAGAAGTCATTAAGTTTGATTCATGTTTAGGGCCATCACAGGGGAAGAGTAATTGATGTGGCTGGAGAGCAGCAGAGGCCTTCTGTGCTGTACAAAGAAGCTTGGACTTTCTGTGGCCTATCAGAAGGGCCAGGAAGGATTTTGAGCGTGGTGTTAGCATGAGATTTCTATTTTAGGAAGATTATACTAGTGATAGTGTTGCAGAAATTGGAGATAGGAGCTTAAGAGTATTGCTGGTGAATAGAAAATTGAAGGCTGTTGCAGTAATATTAGAGAAAGAATGATGGCGTGATCTAAGGCATTGGCAGGAGGGGCCCAGAACCAGGAGTACTTCAGAAGACGTTCTGGAGGTAGAATATATTAGCTTAGATGTGGTGCGTCGTGAAGGAGGTGGACTTGAAGGTGTTTGCCAGTGAATATAGAGGAGAAAAGGATTTGGAGGGCTGGAGGGCTTTGTGAATATAAATAAATAAAAACAGCAGTGTATTTTCTTAGCACGATTATAAAAACAATGGCATTAACAAATTTAACAAGTGCTTTAGTTCTTGAGTATTAATATTGGCAACAAATGTTTTTTGAGTACATTTTTAAGTAATATAATATAAAAAATTGCACATGTAAGTCCTTTGCAGTAATATCCGTCATTACCAGTGTCACCTCTGGGTGAAGACTATTCTTTCTTCACAAAGTAATTTTGCGAAGCCTTTTCTCACCACCTTTCTCTCCCCAAGTTGTTAGTATCCCCCTCAAATATATCTGATACAGCACTGTATGATAAAAATCTAGTTATATTCTACTTTCCCAGTTGAATTAGAGTGGAAAGAATAGAAGCTTTGGAGTTGTGCAGACCTGAGATCTGAACTGTTCTTTCATCTACTAGCCTTTTAATCTCTGAGCTGATTTTCTCCCTGGTAAAATTACTATAATAACCTGTCATGATGTTTTGATCATTAAACGAAGTAACAGATAAATAAATGCCTACAGTAGAGTCCAGTATCCGGTAATTTGATAAAGGTCAGGTACTATTATATCTAACTTTTAGCTCTGAAGGGTGAGGATCCTTATCCATCTTTGTATCACCAATGCAGAAAACCCCGTGGGCTGAGCTATATAAAGAGTGATTGAACAAATGAATGTTAACGTAATAGTTTTTTGTTTTGGTGGATTTGAGTGGCACATTTAACTAAAAGTGTCTTTTAATTTCATGTTAAGGTTTCCAGGCACTTTGTTGTTGTCTTATCCACTGCTTTTATTTATTAGGTATGAATTTCAGCCCTTTATTTCCTTCTAATATTGGAGATTTTTCTCAGAATATTTCTACACCTACTGAACAGCAGCAACCATTAGCCCAGAATTCTTCAGGGAAAACAGAATATATGGCTTTTCCAAAACCTTTTGAAAGCAATTCTTCTATCGGAGCAGAAAAACCAAGGTACTTGATTGTGAACATAATCCATTATTTTCTTAAATGTCGCTTTTGTGATTACATCTAATTATACATAATTTGAAAACAGAATTAGGCAGTCTGCTTCTGTTGTTTGGCTTTTTAGCATTGGGATTGTGAAACTGATAATCTTACCAGGTCATCTCTTGGGCATACATCTGCCATTATCCCTGGTATCATGGTTTTCATCAGAGTGTCCTGTGAAATCCATTTTGGAAGGATAAGATGTGACCCATACAGTGTCCTTTGCCTGGATTTGCTCTCTCTCTTTAAGTTCACTTTAGGACTAGAAACTAATATATACTACTAGATGATAGCTGTAAAGTGATAGCTCCTTGATTCATAGCTTCTAGTTAGAATAAATTCTTAAGATCTATCTAGATGTAATGTAGAGTACTATTAGATCAGTGATATATGGTGTTAGTCACAGTCAGGATATCTTTTTCTGTTTCTCAGTATTCTACATATATATTTTTTCAATGTTAATATTTTTTAATACAGTAGTCTTCGCAAATAAAACTTTTGACTCAAATAGTATAAAAGACTATACTTGGGTTGAGTCCGGTTAATCTTTCATATTTTTGTAGCTGTTTTTCATGTGTGTGTTAATCTGGAAAATGATTTTGATAGCCAGCTGGTAAAAATAGCCTTTTTATGTTACTCTTATTTATTCAGAAAAAAACTTTTTAGAAAGATGAAAACTTAGAGGTCAATTCAGCATAGTATTTTTTCTATAAAGGATCTTGGATTTTGTCTTTCTTAGCCCTTTACAACTAGAAAATTCACATTCTTTTTCAGTTATGGACTGGGGATGTCATGGGTTCTTAAATAAGTATTTTGACACTTTATTAAATCATGGATTTTTTTATGTGATTAAACAAAAACTCCTGGAATTCAACTTTTTATTAGATTCTGGGAATCCTTTGGCTGACCTACTTTTTTCTTTCCTCTGCTAACCATTTTTCCCCTTAAATGTCTTCTTGCTCTTTAAAATACCCCATCGTCAGAGCCTAACCGTGTTTAGGGCATAGTTGCCATTCGGAAATGATGGTTGAATGGATTTCCATCATAAGCAATAAATATTTACTCAAAGCTCTGGTGAATAGCTGTACTATTGGAAGGTCTTTACTTCATTACTATCCATATTTTATATATGACTGATAGTAAAAAAGGATGGATCTGGATATCTAACGTTATTTGAGATATTTGACCTACTTCAGATTAGACCTCATCTCCCAAAAGTCTCAACTATTATAGGTAGGTTCCCTGAATTAAATGGCTGGAGATAACAAGAGGTCAGATGAAACACTGTAGTCTTGAGTTGGGGTCAGGAAACTTTTCTTACTCTAAAGGGCTTGATAATAAATACTGCAGACCATATAGTGCCTGTCGTAACCATATATTTCTGCCATTTTTGCACAAAAGCAGCCCAAAACAATATGAACAAGTGACTTTGTTCCAGTAGTACTTTGTGTGTACTGAAATATGAAATTCATATAAGTTGTGTCACAAACTGTTTTTCTTGAATTTTTTTCAACTATGTAAGAATATAAGAATCATTTTTGCTCCCAGGCATACAAAAACAGGCAGCAAGCTGAATTTGGCCTGCAGAGTGTAGGTTTGCTAACTTTTGTCTGAAGTTGAATCCTGTAGTTCAGTTTCCCAAGTCACATTCTTTGGAACACTGTGATAAAAAGTTTTGGACATCCTGCTGACTGTGTTTTCTTCTAAGACATTTGTAAAGCACATTGGCATGGTAAAATTTCTGAGAATTCCCGTAGACATGTTTAACTTTGCCTATTTTTTTAAACTTAGATGATCAACGAATACCTATTAATACATTAAAGAATGCCAGTGTTTAGCACACCATTAGAACTAAATGTGTGGAGGAGTAAATTACTAGTTGCATGGACAGTTGTTTCCAGCAAATTCCAGTTCTTTTTGAACTGCTTAAAGTGACAGCAGATCCGTGTATGTTCCCAAACCTGGGAACAGCTCTTTCTCAGCTATTCCTGCACGTGTTTTGGTTTTTCCTTGTATGTCCCATCCTTTTTTTATTTTTATTTTTTATTTACTTATTTTGAGAGGATGCAAGTGAGTGAGGGGCAGAGAGAGAGAGAGAAAAAGAACAAACAGGCAAGCAAGCAAGAGGCTCAGGTGAAGGGGAACTCCTGTTCATCTGGAGAGGGACTTTTGCTTACCCGAAGCAGGCTAGTTCACCTGATGTGGGACTCGAACTCACAAACTATGAGATCATGATCTAAGCTGAAGTCAGATTGCTTAACCAGTTGAGCCACCCAGGCGCCCTTTTTATTTTTCTTTCCCACTCTTTTTCTTCATGAATGCTAGATCTTTTGTTTGAGACTTTTGCTAATGAAAAGGATTTAATGAGAAGAGTCTAATATTAAAGTTCAAAGTAATTTAGTACATTAGCCTGCATAATATTTGCATATTTAGTTTATTTCTGTAAAAATGTTTTTATAGCCTGTTGATGTATTTACCTAAATCTAGTAAACTATATCGACAGTTTTCCAGTAAACATAGAAATCTGTTGTACCTATAAAAATTTATTTTCATTGATAAGGAATCAAAAACAGCCTGAAGAGGAGGTGGAGAACAGTAGGACGCCATGGTCATACGACCAGGAAGGTGAGGTAGAAAAACCATTTATCAAGACTGGATTTCCAGTGTCTGTAGAGAAAACTACAAATAGTAATCGCAAAACTCAGTTAGAGACCAGCCGGAGAAGACGCCAGTTTGATGAAGAGTCTTTAGAAAGCTTTAGCAGTATGCCTGATCCGGTAGATCCAACAACGGTAACTAAAACATTCAAGACCAGAAAAGCATCTGCACAGGCCAGCCTGGCATCTAAAGATAAAACTCCCAAGTCAAAGAATAAGAAAAGGCATTCTACTCAGCTGAAAAGCAGAGTTAAGAATATTGGTAAGTATTAAAATTTTTGTTTTGTTTTAAATGTTTTATTTATTTTTGAGACAGAGAGCATGAGAGGAGGAGGGGCAGAGAGAGAGAGACACAGAATCCAAAGCAGGCTCCAGGCTCTGTGCTGACAGCTCAGAGCCCACGAGCATGAGATCATGACCTGAGCCGAAGTCGGAGGCTTAACCGACTGAGCCACCCAGGCGCCCCTTAAAATTTGTTGAATATGGTAACTTCTGTGACAAATGGAGAGGCACTGTTCTAAACCTACTTGAATAAAGTAACTTTTAGTCACTTTTAAATTTATAATAAAATTTATTAAGTGGTGGTTTTTTTTTTTTAATGTTTTATTTCTGAGAGAGAGAGAGAGAGAGACGGTGTGAGCAGGGGAGGGTCAGAGAGAGAGAGAGACATAGAATCCGAAACAGGCTCCAGGCTCTTGAGCTATCTGTCAGCACAGAGACTGATGCAGGGCTCAAACCTATGAACCGTGAGATCATGACCTGAGCTGAAGTCGGACACTTAACTGACTGAGCCACCCAGGGGCCCCTCAAGTAGTGTTTAATGTAGCTATTTTAAGACATGGTATTTAATCTTTTTTGTGCTTCATAAAGCTTCTTATATTTCCTGTGTATATGGTTACCATTAGCTTTTGAAGATATTGTCCATATTTTGAAAGTTACTAAAAATTGCCAACATGCCCTACTAAAAATTGCTGAAATGCCCAAGTTTTACTGTTACTCTTTTTTAAATACTGCATCTTTTGTAGGATGGTGTCCCACATCCACCACTTTAGTTACGTTATGACTTGTGGTTACATCCTTGATTGATTCGTTTAAAGAAATTTGGACTTGTAACTACATTGCATTCTTTGAATATCATGGATGAAACCACTTTTAAAACAAGTTTGCTCTTCATCCTTTAGGAAATTACCCCTAGTTAATAAGGTAAAACATTAACCTCTGTTGATTGAATCTTGGTCATTGAGTACTAAAGTTATTAAAGTTATAGTGGTATTAAAGTTATTAAAGTTATAGTGGTAACTGTTCTAGTTCTAGTGGTATTAAAGTTATTAAAGTTATAGTGGTAACTGCATGCCACTTACAAAAATAGATGTTCTATGATTTTTTAAGAATTTTACTCAAGTCTAGCTCTAGAATGTGGAATATTAAAGGATACTCCTTCAAGTTTTCAGGGAATGCTTTTTGGCTGTGGCTCTGAGATGTTCTAAGTTCAAGGAGATAGTATTTGGTGCTTAAGAACAAAGTATTTAAGGCATATAATCAGAAAAGTGAAAAATCACCATGCACAGCTAACTCTGTCTCTTGGAAGCTCACAATACATGTAAGGATATGGAGGTCGTACGAAACCCTGTAGTAAAAATGCACTTGTAAACGTTCACAGCATTCTTCTTCATCCTCTTGTGGTTAATGAAACACTTGAGAACTCGGAAGAAAACTGTATGTAAGAAAGCACAGTGCTCCTTTATTTCATTTCGGTTCATCATGTGTCCTTCATGTCCTTGGCTTTTACCACTACTCCCATCTGAAGAGTCTGATTTGATGACGAAACAAGCAAATTTGAACAGGGATGATATTTTTCTCTGCGCACACGTTACCATCCTTGCAAATGTTTGCCCATTTATATAGGTTTGGTAGGAGCTGCTTTTATGTAGCATATTGGTCAGTGATTCAGGTGAATGAAATCCAACTATTCTGCTTTCTCCAAGATGATTCCTGGTGTCACTAGAGGGCATTTAAGTAGATAGATAGATAATGAGCAATGGCTGTTGTTAGAGAGTGGTCCCTCGGTTGACCCAGTGAATGTTTTACTCTTTTTTACCTTGCTCCTACAAAAATGTTTTCTGTCATATGAATAAGTGAAGAAACTTGAACGTTTATTTTCATTTTCTCATTAAGCCAGTTAATTTGAGTGTGCTAGGGCAGTGCTTCTTAAACTTTACTGTTTCTCCCTAGGAATCTTGTTTAAAAGCAGATGGATTCTGTCTGAGAGGGGACCCAAAGATCTGTATTTCTAACAAGTTCCCATGTGTTGTTGATCTTGGTTTGTGGACTTCACTTTGAGTAGCAGGTTCTTAGGGGACCCTTAAGCCAACTAGTGGCCATGTCTACCCAAGCTTAGAAATAATTGGTATATTCCTGTTTTGGAAACCCCTTTATTCTGAGGAATTAGGATTTTTGTATATGCAGTTTAGCTTTTTTGCTTTAGGGCAAAGACTGACATTCTGACCTATCTCCTCTCTTCTAAGTATAAAAATACTTGCCAAAAACATATATACACATTTGTTTGACAGGCATTTAAGACCATCTGTCAGTGAGAGCCCTACTTTAAGGCATACATACAAAAATAAGACTTGATAGTAGAATCTAACTAATACATGTAGAGTCAAACCAATAGGGAGCAAAATCAAATTAGTCAGCCAAACCCTTGCTGTTCAAAGTTTGAACCATGGACAGACATATCAGCACCACACAAATGAGTCCACATTGTTTTTCAGTTTGTCTTTTAACAAGATTCCAGATGTTTTAATATGAATATATGCCCACCAAAGTCTGAGAAGCACTGAGGTAGACCAGTGCTCTTTTATGGGGTAGGAATGGCCATGCTTTCTTAGAAAAAAAGAATATTTACTTGTCTTAAATGTAGTCAGATGAGGAGAAATATTGGAAGGCATTCCAAACTAGTAACAATGAAAAAAAGTTTAGAGGCAGGATAAGGCAAGGAAAGAAAAGGAACTGGGGGAAGAAATAGGAAATGACAGATCAGCGTGGTGGGACTTAAGCTGCTGTCTTGAGAGAGAGCACAGCTGGTTATACTGTCCCAGATTTCCTAGGCTGAACTGTTCGCTTTGTACTTGTGGACAGTTCTCAGAAGTAGCATGCTGCATCCTCAGTTAGCTTTGTTTCCAGCGATGGTCATGTATTTTCATCTTTAGCAGATCTTTGTATGTAAAGGTATATATTAACTGCATGTGAAGTGAGGTGATACAAATTCTTTAAACTTCCATTCTAATTTAGATTTTATGAATTAGGCATCATTTCTTGCCTTGCCAGATGTTTCAGGTATCACACCTGTAATTTGGCCACTCTCCACCAGGTCCATTCCCTCTTTTGATATTATTAGAGAGCGGTGGGATCCTATCTATAGTCTAGGTCTTCCCCATTCTTAGAAAATTGTATTGAATTGTTAATGTACTGTGACTATCCCTGAGTCTTTTCGTTTCTTTTCTCTTCCCTTTCCTGATGACTGGTGAAGATTGAATTGAAATACATGTCAGGCATCGGGAAGGGCAAGGCCTGACAGATGTGGCCAGCAAAGAAACAACCCTTTTTAGAGTCACTGAGTTTATTACTTACATAGGCATACAAAGTAAGAGCATCTAGAAGTCCCAGCACCCTGTGTTCTTTGTTCTATATGCCACGAGGGGACACTGAAACAGAAGAAGCCAGATGACAGTTCCAGCATGAGCAGTGGGCCCTGTTATTAAGGAGCCAGTGCCGTGTTGCAGCTACAGACCACTTTAGAGTCTGGAAATTTGTCCTCAGAGCCTGAGAAAGAAAGGTCTCCTATTTCATCAGAACCCAGGAGGAGATAAAAAAATGCTTCATGGCAGCTTTATAAGGGGGTTCGGGGAGGCAAGTAAAAAATAGCCACATAGTAGTTCCTCATAAGCCTCCCATGTTCTTGTATTCTGTGTTCCAGGAGGATCATAAGGTCTTCTGTGCAGACTTAGACTCAGCTGCAGTTCATTCCTTATCTGTGTGGCCTTTGTGGATATGTGCAAGGTCTCCAGGGTATCATGGCTGAGCTGTGTCGCTGAAGTGGAGACACAGCTAGAAATACGTTTTTTTTTTCTAGCTATGTTGCCACTCATTCTGAGAAAAACAGATCATGGGCAAGAGAAAAAGTGATAAAATGGGACAGGAGATCACGCCCTTATGCTAATGAACATTTGGTGGTCATCTACCAGCTGGCCTAGCCAATGTAACTCTGGGGTTTCAGTAACCTTCATTAATTCTCCATTTTACCTATTCCCTTTGTCAGTCGTATACCCTTATTGCTGGACCTGTTTATGTGAAGGTCAGAAATAACCAAGAGGGCTCTCTTTCCAGTAAGTTTCATGCAGAATGGATGAGAGTGTCTAGACTTTAGTCTGAGAGACCAGCGAAGAAACCAGGAGCCCAAATATGAGATGATAGAGTCCTAACTTGAATGACGGCCTTAAAAATAAAAAGGGAAGGTTAACTCCAGATTGGATGTTACAGAGAATAAGTCGACATACATTGGGGACTTACTTGCTAATAGCAGAGCAGCTGCTGTGATCTGGAGCATGTAAGTAGTAAGGCTTTAGGCTCTCTCGGCTCATTCCGAGAATGTTGGGGCAAAGATCAGACCTCTGCAGTCTTGGAGAAGACTTGGTTGGAGGATGGGCATCCCTGTACCTCCTCCTCCTCTTACACCTCCCTTCCTTCAAAGAATAGCAGTCTTTTGCCATTTGAAGGTACTAATGGGAAAGGGTGTCACTGAACAAGTAGATGGCATCCTCCCTACCTTGCCCATGGGAGAGCATTGCCTTTGCAGTTGAGGAGACAGAGTAGAGAAGTTTCCTCTTACTGTCTTGGTGAGAGACCGCCACCTTGCTAGTGATGACATTGCTTCACTCACTGTAGGAGTGAGGCTTCCAACTACTGTCAGCATGCCAGTGAAGCTACCCCACAGTTGGGTCCAGTCTTCAGGATAGATAGGAGTCCTGGCCTGGCCCAGTGAATATAACAGTGACTGCAAAAGGGACCAGCAGCCAGAGAAGCCACAGAAGCCAGTAGGGTAACACCAGAACAGGTAACACCGCAACAGGTAAAATCTAGTAAAAAGAGTTAGTGAAAGAAATACACACCTGGAACAAAATCCTAAAAACACTTAAGTGTATTGAACTAATAACAAATTCAGTAGAACTGGAAAAAAATGATTTTCACATATAATGATTAGATTATTCAAAGAGGATAACTACTATTAAGTCCCAAAAATCCTTGGCCTAGAAAATTGAGGAGACAAACCATGAAAGACTCTTAAATACAGAGCACGAACTGCAGGTTGCTGGAGGGTTGTTGGGTGGCGGGATAGGCTAAGTGGGTGAGGGTCATTAAGGACAGCACTTGTTGGGATGAGCACTGGGTGTTAAATGTGATGAATCACTGAATTCTACCCTTGAATTTAGTAGAAATTCAGCTAACTTGTCTATCTGGGAGGCAAGAGGGGAAAGTATCCACATACCCCTGTGTATATTCTGATAAAATTCCTTAATTCCAAGGGAAAAAGTAAACATCTTCAAAGCTTCCAGACTGGAAGAACAAGTTCTATACAATAAAAAAGAACCTAACTGACATCATACAACATAAGTAGAAGAACGTAAAATAATGTCCATACACAGACAAAAAAGTACTGCAATTTGAGAGTCCTGTATTCAAACTTGTCAAGATGAAGATATTGGTGTGTCCTGTGTGAGGAAAACAACAGAAACAACATATGAATCAGATTAGACACTTTTAATATAAGGAAAGGTAAAAAGAGGCAACAGTTGAGTAAAGAAAACAACAGATCAATCTCAGTTGCTAATGTAAATTGAAAAGTGAAATATTAGCAAATTTAATCTGCCCTGTGTCAAAATGAATTTTAGACTTGTCAGGGTTTATTACAGGAATGTAATCATGATCCATTATCAGGAAATCTGTCAACGTAATTTTGATATCAAATTGAAGGACAGAAGTCATATAATCATAGTGGTAGATTAGATTAACTTTGAAGTCATTCCTAATAAATATTTTAAGTAAAATGCCCCTAAGAAGACAGATATTTAATATAATGAAGGCTGTTAGCTAATCTCAATCACAACATTATAAATGAAAATACTCTGAAGTAACCTATATCAAAGTTAGAAATTAGACAAGGTTTCCTCTCTATCATCATAATTGTCTAACATTGTTTGGAAAGGATTATGACAAAAAATTAAATAATTGGAATAAATATTCAAAAAGGAGGGAAACCTTTTATATTTTTTCTGAGAGAGCTATTTTCTGAAAATAGCTACTAAAGTTAACAAATTAATAAAGGAGCTGGTTATGAAATAAATGTGCAAGTATTTTTCGCTGTTGTAGTAACAGAATGGAAGTTGGGGTGAAATCCTCTTCCCATGGTAGTATCCAGAGCTATAGGAGGGAAATCCTTAGGGATAAATTTAACAAGGAAAGTACTGCATCGATAAAAATGTAAATATTTTTGAAGAACATGAAACAAGATTGTACAAATACACGATGTTTTTAGAAGAGAATGTGTAAAATTACTAAATATCAATTCTCCTTAAATTAAGAAATGCTTTTACTGTGATTCCATTTTGAATCCCCATGGACTGTGGACTGTTTCTGAAATTAGAAAAAAAAATATCAGCGCTTATATGGAAGGACACGTCTAACAATAGCCAAGAAAATAAGAGAAGCTATATAGGACTTGTCTTACCAGATATTTAAGCATGCCGTAAAACTTTGGTGGCTAAAAGAATGAAAATGGCATTGGAATAGATAAGTCATTTAAACAGTGTCCCGAAGTAAAAATTAATAAGGAGATTTAATAATATTGACAAAGAATTTCATTGGGAAGAGGGTAGATATAACCAAGTGTCCATGTGGAACAAAATAAAGTTGAAGTCCTATCCTGTGCCATACAGCAAGGAAAATTTAGTAGAATATATAGATAACCTGTGAGTGGGTAAGACCTTATAAATCAAGTCCTATTACACACAAGTTATAATAAGAAGGCAGACAGATTTGACTAGTGCCCATTACTTCCCTCTGTTAATGGACATTTTCAGTAGACTGGACAGGATTCTTGTATTTGCTAACAATGAAAAATTGGAGTCTAGTAGAGAATTTGGGTCATATAAGGCCTGCCATATAGTTTGAGTTGGGATGTACTCGTTAAGTATCAAAGGACGATGAAATGTTAGAATATATTACTGTTACCCATGCTTTCAAAGGTTATTGCCAGACATTGTATTACTGTTGTGTATGTCTATTTATACCAGGCCTTCATAGCATTCTGAATTGGATTACATGTACTGTTTCACTTTGGAAATCAGTTTCCCTTTTAGTTTGAGTTAGTTGCAACTGATAACAGTTGTCACTTTTTTTACTCAAGGGTATGAAAGTGCCAGTATGTCTAGCACATGTGAACCTTGCAAAAGTAGGAACAGACATTCAGCCCAGACTGAAGAGCCTGTTCAAGCAAAAGTATTCAGCAGAAAGAATCATGAGCAGCTGGAAAAAATAATAAAATATAGTAGGTCTACAGAAATATCTTCAGGTATGTTATTTTTTGGTTTGCTTTAATCTAAGGACTTCTTCATCTTAGATTTGAAAAGCGGTGTGTCGCAATTTTTTGTCATGTGCAGGTTTTGTATAAGAGTAGATATATTCTTGATATCAAGAAATGTAAACTGGAAATATTTTTATTGCGATACTAGCTTTTGACATTTTGATAAAATTCTGAACAAAAAGTGTAGTTGATATTAATTTGGAACTGATTTGAAATTCTGAAAATCTTCTCTGAATAAGGATTCGATATAAAATATTATTCCCTGCTTAAAATCTTTGGCTTTACCATGCTTAACAGGGGAAAGTCCAAATGCCTTAATGTAACTTCTGGCCAGTGGAGATTTGGCTCTTTCTTGCATCTCTAGATTCTTCTCTGCCCACCCTCTGCCTTAAACTTGACTCTTTCCAAGGCACTGAATTGAAGTTTGCTCATAGCTGTCATGCCATTTCTCACCTCAGCAGGTGTCTTCTCTGCCTGAGTTCACCTTTTTGCGCTTTGTAAGCCTTTTTCTCTACTGGAGTCTTATAAAATGTTAATTCTGCAACTCTAATACTGCATCCAAATCTAAACTCAGAGAAGTTTCCCTTTCTCCTTTTTCGTTTCTGTTGTAGCCTGTGTAAATCTATTCTGTTGCCTGTATCACATTTTATAGTGATTACCTGTTAAAGTGTCTGTCACCTTTTTGAGACCCTTGGACTGCAGGTAATACCTTATCATATTTGTACCTTAAATGTTCCCATGATCCTGGACACTTGGTAGGCACTTAGTAAGTGTTGATTGAATGAATGGAATTGTATGTGTTTGCAACAGATTTACGTTAAGTAAGTACTGGTACTTTCCTGTTTCATAAAGAACAAGTACATCTCAAAGAAACATGGAGCGGGAGGCAGTAGATATAGACCCTCACTTGTCAGGTGTCAGTAAGATGCTTGGTGAAAAGCTAGAGTAGCAGCTACCATTTGTATTATGCTTTACTATTTACAAATTAAATTATTCGTCCCATTAGAGCCTCATAATGCAGTGAATTGGTTTTATTTCCATTTTGCAGATGAGGAAACATGGTCAGAGAGACCTATTCCCCCCCCACCATTGTCATAAAGAGCTCGTAACATAAATTACAATTTTTCTCGAAAGCTTCAGAAGTCATGCTCTTAACTCCATAATTGTACTTGCCTATGCTAAGGAAAACAGAAAGTGAACACAATACTGACATTTAGTGTTGTCTGAACAGTATAATTCCAACTGTTAACAAAAATATCAATGAAAAAAGACTGGAAGAAAATACATGAAAATGTTAATAGTGATTATTATCATCTTGAAACTTTTCTATATTTCCTAAACCTTTCATAACGAGTATTTATTGCTTTTGTAATCAGAAAAGAAATGTCACAGTTTGTGTTTTGAACTGACTTCCTCAAGGTCCTGTTGCTAGGAAATGGCATCGTGGAAGTTTCAGTCCTGGTCTTCTGTTAAGTCTTGGATCCTTTTGACAAAACTGTCAATTCTCCTGACCCGGCCCCAGCATTTTACCAAAATTTTATAACACTTACACTTCACTATCTTTATCAAATAGTGGTATCTTCAAAGAGTAAACAATAGAGTGGAAGTTGGTGAAGGGCATTAAATTGAAAGACTTAATTGGATTATTAAGTTACGTAAATAATGGGCATAGTTCTTCAGACCTTTTACTGTTACTTAGAAAAATAAAAGGATTGGATTTTGGTGCACTAAAAAATGCTTGAATTGTGTAAATATACACTGTGTATTTGCATTTTCACTCTCTAAAAACACTTAGTTTTAGTCATTACCCTAAAATTCTTTATAGCATGTACTAGTGGGGTTTGTTTCGTGATTTCTAGAGTGCAGCACATATGACCGCTAGTGCAGAATTGTGCTGTCCTCTCCCTAAGGAGTTAGGGGAGGTTTGCCACAATGTGTGTGCTTCTGAGAGTGAATGGCAGAAGTTTATTATGATAGTCATCATCAGTCACATTAAGTTTATATATAAGTTCATAGCAAATCTTATATTTTCCCTGATAAGATTAGTTTAAAACAAAGTAAAAACTTTACCTTGTGATAACATCTCAGTTCAGGCAAACAATTTAAAGAAATTGTTTTTTTTTTTTTTTAATTCACTTACTCCTATTATAGACCCTGTCTTTAATTCATACACATTTTATGTTCATCCTTATGTCTGCCCTTTCCTGCAGCACATGCTAGGAGAATACTACAGCAGTCTAACAGAAATGCATGCAATGAAGCGCCAGGTAACAATCTGCTTAGTTTTGGTGTCCACTTTGTGTTAATTTTTTTCCATTAGTCCTAAATATCCTTAGTTTTGCTGCTCTGATTATTTTTTTAGCTTAAGCTTAGTGTATATATGTCATTTGCCTTGTAAAAGTGAAAGAGACTTCATATTCATGAGATTCTGAAGGCTTTCATTTAGAATTCTTTACTTGGATGATAAAATTAGCTGCTTTTCTGGTTTTCATTTTCAGTTACTGTAGAGAACATAACCAGCACATTCATAAGGGTGATAGAAAGTCTTCGTAATTCAGTGCTTTATTTGAAGTTATTGATTTTGTATTTCTTAAACGCTTAAAAGCATTAATAATTTTTTGAAACAAAAAGTTATTTTTTTCTAGGTTTGATTTACAGTGTTAAGTATTATAGTGTGACTTCTGTTATTTTCCATAACTAGTCAACATCTATTTTTTAAAAATGAGCCAATACACAATTAAACAAAAAAATGACATGCATAGACCACGATAAATAAAAATGCATGGAAAATTACAAACATTCCAAAGTGCTGTTTTTATCTTTATACTATATATATATATGTTTTAAATATGGTTCTGTGTGATTTAGAATTATAAATATTCTTTAATGGCCTACTACAGTATACATGAGGGAAAAATAGAAGTCTGTTGTGAATCTGCAGGAGAATCTCGAGAAGGAAAAACAAGAATCTAGCACAGACTAAGCTTGACTTATGTCTGTGACACTTCCTAAAGAACTATGAAAATAAGACCGAATCAGAGAAACCTGACTGAGATCAAGGATTTTTCTTGCCTAAACTAATGCATTTTAGTTTAGGAGGAGAAACAGGCAAAAACTTTCTACCTCTGTTGCAGGGCCAGAGGGGTGAGGGGGAGGTGGAGTGTGTGTTCAACTTAATTCAGTATTTGGGAATAATTTCATCTTTAATGATACATAATTTAGAATGATAGTTTTTCACCTACAGAGGTGTAACAGATGTCAGTTGAATGTGCTTTGTTCTTATATTTTTGAAATAATAAACATTTTCTAAATTAATTGTGGTCAAACTGTATTATGTAAATTGGAAATTTGCATATTAAATTCATTTTCTTATCTGGATTTTTCCTTTAGATATTTCCTACAGAGACATTTTTGGTTCATGTTTATAATAAATACCGCATTTGAACATTTTAAAACTAGTCAGAGAACATAAGTATTTTATTTTGTTCTTTTAATTTTGTTTTATACTGAAAAATGTGTGAGGGATAGGGAAGTTGCATATTCATTATTATTATTTTATACTTGTAGAAATCGAGACCTGAAGATGTTAAGATAGAAGACATAAGTTAGTAGGAAATTTTATCATTAGGCTTCTTGCTTTGCATATTCTTATCCTCTGTTGTAAAAAGTGAATTAAGTCTTTATGATCTTTGCATATTTATTTAAAAGCGCAGTGTATGAAAACACTCAACATATTAAAGTCTCTGTTTTAGAAACTTGTCACTGGTATTTGTGGAACTTGAATATTTAACTATCTATGTTTCTACTATTGCTGTAGAAAGGGTACAGATTTTGATAGCCAGAAGAGCTACTTAGAGATTTTTTTTAATAGAGAACTCAAAATGGGAACCATTTAAAAACATTTTTTAAGTTTATTTATTTATTTTGAGAGAGAAAGTGGGCAGGGGAGGGGCAGTAGGAGAGGGAGAATCCATGCTGACGGTGCGGAGCCTAACACAGCACTTGAGCTCCTGAACCACCAGATGATGACCTGAGCCGAAACCAAAAGCTTCACAACCACAGGAACAGTTGTTAATTTACACTCTTAAAAATAAAAGTATGACCATATACCTCTAAGGGCGATAATTCTATGTTATCAGCAAATACAGCAGAATTGTTGCTAAGTAATAGAGTGATACCTAGAATCTGTGAAACTAAACATTTGCGTTGGGTCATACCTGGTCCAGCTTAGGCTGAGTGTGTCAGTAAGACATTAGCAAAATTGATCTATATTGTGTTGTACTTACAAACTCAATTTCCATCAATATAGAATGGTAGCTGAGATTTGAGAATTAATAGACCTACTAGATAGACCTAAAAATAGTAGCTTTTATTGGCAGCATTTAGTTCTAAACCTTAACTAAATAAATTTCCCTTTATGTAATGAAGTTCATATTAGTAAAAAAAAAAAAAAAAAAAAAACAATTATCTGCTGTTTATTTCATTCAAGTGCTGAGAGATTTCCACTGATTATTCCTGTGAAATGTGTAAAATTATCCATATGATTTTTTTGAGAAATAAATACAGTCTGAGTAATACTAGGTAATATTATCTGTACATTTAAGTATTTTTCTAATATATATCTTGATATTTTTTTAGATTATCTTTATCTCAGTAATTTTTAAGATTCTTTTTCTACTTTAAAAGCCCTGGAATAGAATTGAGTATGTTCTGATTTTGGAGTAATTTAAACAGTACTGATACAAGCCAGTAGAAATGGTCAGGAATGTATTTCATCAGTATTAACTTCCTGATCTTTTATATCTTCCAGAAACTGGGAGTGATTTTTCCATGTTTGAAGCTTTGCGGGATACTATTTATTCTGAAGTAGCTACATTAATTTCTCAAAATGAATCTCGTCCACATTTTCTTATTGAACTCTTCCATGAGCTTCAGCTACTTAATACAGACTATTTGAGACAGAGGGCTTTATATGCATTGCAGGTATCTGGTACCCACCCTCTTTTTCCTATCCTGTCTGGTGCTGCTCTTCTTCATGATTCTGTCTGGTTGCTTTCTTAGACTGAAGTACATCCTCTTCCATATGTATAATGATCCATTTTTCATGTGCTGTCTTACCATTTTATTTAAAACTTGCATAGCTTAAATAGCCTTTTCTAAAAGTCTTTTTCTGAGCAATTTTTTAGTGTTATGTCTTTAATGTTATTTCTTCCTCATAATTAACCTATGAGGTGAGGAGAATTGCATTTGTTCTTCTGTCTGCTGCTTTTAAATTTGTGATAAAAAAAAATTAATGTTTCACGTAAGTAACTATCTTATTTCCTTATTTAGGACATAGTATCCAGACATATTTCTGAAAACCATGAAAAAGAAGGGGAAAATGTAAAGTCAGTGAATTCTGGTACTTGGATAGCATCAAACTCAGAACTTACCCCCAGTGAAAGCCTTGCTACCACTGATGATGTAAGCTGATCATGATTAATGAATGTAGACATAATTTCAGTATGGAGTAAACAAAAGTTAAATAAGTTATTATAAATTGTGAGTATGCCTGGTATGTGGTTTTTAGCTTTCTTAAAAAGCTGGGTCAAACACATCATTTTGAGGTAAGGTATAAAACTCAAATTAAAATATGTCAGCAGCTAAATCCCAGAAATTATCTATAAATGATAGGTTAGTAAACCAGACTGCAGTCAGATCACAGAGCCCTTAAATACATAAATACAAGATAAATCAGGTCTTTGGGTTAGAAGAGAGAAGCCTGGACCAAAGAAAGGCTTCCAGGGAAAAAAGTTAATTTAATATATTCCAGTTTATGAAGAAAATTTTGAGTAAAGTAAAAGGAACTGGGCAAAGGAAAAGAATGGAGAGGAAAATGGTGCATTTTCAGTAAGTGATCTTCTCCAGTAGGCCCCACCTAGCCTAGAAGTGACTGAACGAGTGAATGGCAACTACTAGGATAGTGAAGAGAGCATGTGCTAGGGGTTTGGAAATCACCTAAAAGGTTTGGATCCTGATTCTGTTATAAAAGGTAACATGTGGTCCTGGGGCTAACAAATAAATTTCTTTTTTCTGCCAATTCTAGTATTTGGAAATTCATGGATAAGAGTGCCATAATTGATTAGCAAGTCATCTGCTATAGAGTAGAGTCAGAAACAGTATTACTGTGTTTCTGCCCATTATTGATATATTAACAGTGTAAGTTCTTTTGAAAAGATAGTATTTTCTCAAAAGATTTCTTGTGTTTTCTTCACCTGTAGTAGTTTCCTTACAATTACTGAGGACATTTTCTGAATTTTTCCTCTTTAACTTATACTCCTGTTTAAAACCGTACTTTCCCCAGGTCATCTTTTCCGCTTAAAACCTTAGGCTCCACCTCCTATACCTCTCTGAACACAAACTTGTACATAGTTTTAATTCACTTAACAATGTCAAATATATAATGTAATTGTTATTTGGGATTGCTGTTATAACTAATTGGAAATTGTGTGCTCTTTTTTGTGGAAAATGAAGAGTGGTCCAGCTGTATACAAAAGGAGGAGATATGCAGTTACATTAAAGTTGACTAGCCACTGACATAACGTGCTGAGAGCATGACTGATGTCTCTGCCTCCTGTAACTCCCGTTGCCTCCCCTTTAGCCAGATTTCATATACATGGTATTACTCCGTTATTTTAAAATGTTTGAGCACATTGGCCTTTACCATCAGTAGCAAATTGAAAACTGAGCTACAGTTTATGACAAAGTTAATTTAACATGACAGGATTTTAAAGTTAAATAAAATTTAAGATACTGACCTGCTTCCTAAGTAAGTGTCTCAGTTCAGGCTGGTACAACAAAATACTGTAGACTGGGTGGCTTAAACAGCAGACATTTATTTCTCACAGTTCTGGAGGCTGGGAAGTCCAAGATCATGGTGCCAGCAGATTTTGTACTGGGTTAGGGCCCTCTTCCTGGTTTGCAGATGACCACCTTCTCCATGTGTCCACACGTGGCCCCCATATCTCTTTTCTTATACGGGTACTGATGTCGCCATGGGGGCTTCAGACTCTTTACTTCTCTGAGCCTTGATTTACCTCCCAAAGGTCCACCTCCTATACACTGGGAGTTAAGGTCTTAGCATACGGATTTGGGGGGGGCGACACAGAGATTCAACCCATACCATATGGATTCGGCACAAATAACTATACTTAGTATTGTTTTTAAATAAATCAGTTCTTTAATTTTTTATTCAAAACTTCTTTTCATCATTGATGTCATTAACATCCTCCCTTTGTTAATGCGATTTAATCAGCAGCAGCACAGCATCCAGTGTTCCAGCCCACAGATCTAGAGCAGTGCTATCCAGTGGAGCTTCCTACAGTGATGGAAGTGTTTTGTACGTGCATTGTCTAACATGGGAGCTGTTAGCCTCATGGGACTATTGAGCACTTGAAATGTGGCTAATGGGACTGAGGAACTAAATTTTAATATAAATAGACACATGGCTAGTGGTTTCCATATTGGACAGATACAGACTCTGATTCTCAAAGTTTCTAGGCCAAGGTCTTTTGAGCTTCATTTATGGAGCTTGTATAGACATACTTCAGAGTATGTAAGAGCTTTTCATACCAAGGAAGGAAGTAAAAGTAGGCATGTGGGAATTATAAGTCACAAGAGAGATGAAGAATTGAAATTTAGAAAGAGGAAGAAACACTTTGTATCTTCTCTTCTAGGTGCCATAAAATGGCAAAAGCACATCTACCTTCCAATCTTAATTGAAGGAGCAACAAAATGACTCTATTCATCACTTTTTTTAATGTTTTTTTTTTTTTAACATTTATTGTTGAGTGACAGAGTGTGAGCGGGGGAGGGGCAGAAAGAGAGTGAGATACAGAATCTGAAACAGGCTCCAGGCTCTGAGCTGTCAGCACAGAGCCTGATGCAGGGCTCGAACCCACAAACCGTGAGATCATGACCTGAGCCAAAGTCGGACGCTTAACCGACTGAGCCACCCAGGTGCCCCATATTTCATAACTTAAGAGAAATTTTTAAAAAATAGGAGAAAGAACACAACTGAAACGGGTTTCTACATTCTAGTGAGACTTTCCTTAATCGCACTATATACAAAAGTTATTTTGATATTAAAGTCTTGAAAAGCCTAAAACTATAAAACTTCTAAAAGAAAATCTTCATGATTGGACATAAGCAAAGATTTCTTAGGGTGCACAAAGCATTAACTGTAAAAGAAAAAATTGATAAACATCATTAAAAATAAAATCCTTCTGCCTTTCAAAAGACACCATTAGGAGAACATAATTTAAGTATGTATATCTGACAGTGACTATATAAATAATAAATCCAGACTATATAAATAACTTTTATAATTCATTTGTAAAACCAACAACTTGGTAAAATATGGGCAAGATTTGAACAGGCACTGCATGGAAGAGGATCTGTAAATGGCCAATATCCATATTAGAATCACATGAGGTATTACCTCACACGCACTATAAAGGCTGAAATTAAAAAGGTTGACAGTAAGAAGTGTCACTGTGAATATAGAGCAGTTGGAACTTTCATACTGCTTATGGGATTGTAAAATTGTGCAAACACTTTGGAAAGCAGTTTGGCAGTTTCTTATAAACCTAAACACAAACTTGGCATGTGACCAAGCAGTTTTTCTTCTTAGGTATTCATCCAAGAGAAATGAAAACATATGTCCACAAAAATGCTTGTATTATGTTCATAGCATCTGTAGTCACAATAGCCTCAAACGAACATCAACAGATAAATGGATATATAAAATATGGTATATCCTTACAATGGAATACTGTTCGGCCATTAAGAAATAATGAACCTCTGAAACAGATTAATTTCAGAAACACTGAGCAAAAGAAGCCAGACACTGAAGAGTATATATTGAATTGGTTCCATTTACATGTCAAGTTCTAGAACAAGCAAAACTAATTTGGTGATAGAAATCATATGGGTGGAGTGTAGTGGGGACTGCAGAGGGGGTACAAAGGAACTTTTTGAGCTGATGGAAATGGTCTTTATCTTTAGGGAAGGTGGTTAGATGGGAGTTTATAGAACTCATCAAACTGTATGCTTAATGAGTGCATTGTTTTATGGAAATTATATCAATAAAATTCATTTAAAAAAGTGAATGATGCTGTCATGTTTTTCTTCTGGTAAAACCACATGTAGTAAAGTCCTAGGCATTGTTAGGGTTTAGAGATGGGAGAATTTCCCTGAGAGTGTAGAAATAATTTGAAGTGTTAATTTTCCAAGTTAAAATTAATAGCTGGCTGTGTGTATTTTTATCTACTCAATGACATATGTTCTGCAAGGTTACTTAATATTTTAACATTCTCTGTGATTATTCAGCCTTTAATAACTTTAGTGATATCACAATTTTAAGTATATAGTTTTATGCAAATAATTAGTATGTTAAATTTTTAATATATAATTTTTAAAGAAATATTAGTGATTTTTGTTTTTTTAAACTATAACTTAGGAAACTTTTGAGAAGAACTTTGAGAGAGAAACACATAAAATAAGTGAGCAAAATGCTGGTGATAATGCTAGTGTCATGTCTGTATCTTCAAATTTTGAGCCTTTTGCAACTGATGATCTAGGTAAGCAGAATGTTTTATAACCTTAGAACATGACTTTAATACAATCTTTGAATTACATCGATTAAAAACCAAAATTCCAAAAAGGCAAGATGTGGTAGAAAGACCATGGCAAAAAGTCTATCAGTCTGAAGTCAAGAATCTCCTGTTGATTCCTTAGCCTTTGGCAAATCATCTGATCATTCTGCCTCCATATTCTAAGGAAATGGGAGTCTTACCTACCTTGCTATATGTTCTTGTGAAAAATATATACAGCTTTCTAGCATGTATAATAAGAGTTTAAGAAATGTTAATTGCCTTCCCTTCAGGGAAACATTATCCTTTAAGGTTTTCTAGTTAATGGGAAAAATTGAGAGGTATCAGGGCCTCATTCAATCATATTTTCAGTAAATATGTTAACTTTATAATTTGAGATAAGAACTTTCTTAGCATAGTCTTCTGTGTGAAACCCAGATGATTCTCAATGTGCATGACACCTAGCATTTTTTTTTTTTCATCATCAGTAAAACAAGCATGGAGTCTTGTATAATCCAAAGTAAGAAGAAAATCTGGAGTCTTAGACCTGGAAAGGAGACTAGGGAAAAGAAAAATGTATAGGTATCTGATTGTTTCCCTTTCAAGAGATACTGAAGACTCAGTGATTTTAGACATCTGGGGCATTTAGTTGATAAAATAAGGTCATATTAGTCTAGTGTTTTTCCACATGAAGAGAACAAGATTTAGGAGATTCCAAAGGACTCCTACAAAGCAAAGGGCCAAGCCTTGTCCTATTATTAGATGTGCACCTTTTACCAAAGCATTAAGTCTTCGTTGACTTATCTTGACTATCAAGGACTCTAAGCCTGGTTCCCATCTGTTTAAATACCTGTCAAGTCTGAACTGAACTCTTCCCATTATAGAGAAAAATCTCTGTGTGGCCGGCCCTTTGCCCTTCAGGTTTTTTCTCCCTTTCTGAGTTACCAAGTGCTTTGTTTCATTTATTGATTTTTTTTCTTACCACTAGTTTTGTATGAAGTAGACAAAGGAAAACTGGGAAATCTTTTTCTTAGGCCTTTTCCTTACCTTATTTGCTTGTGTCCAGTTGGATCGTTTTCATCAGAATTTGAGTGACATTTGGGATATATTTTCTTTGTACTGTTTATGTGAAGCAACGTGATGTAGTGAAATCAGTATGGACTTCAGAGTCTAAGAGACTAATGTATGCCTTGTTACCCAGCTAGTATAGTATCTGGAATTTGTTGGACCTACGTTTCTTTACCTATGGTCAGACTTTTTTTTTTTTTTTAAGACTTTGTAAGGGATACATGACAAAGTTTGCTTTTATATTTTCTTGAAATATTTCCGTTCCATATGCAGGTAACACTGTGATTCACTTAGATCAGGCATTAGCCAGAATGAGAGAATATGAGCGCATGAAGACGGAGGCTGAGAGTAGCACCAACACAAGATGCACCTGCAGGATTGTTGAGGCCGAGGACGGTGCTGCTGCCGCGGCTGCGGTTACTAACTTGGAAGGTGTGTGCTTGGTTGAGTAAAAGTAAAAATCTATAGTTCCATATATTAAAAAAAATGTATAGACCCCCTTGATGTATAATAGTAGTTTTATCACCATTTTCTTTTTATTAAGGATGCTAAAACTATATAGATACTCCTTTGTGTTATTTTCCCATAAAATTATTAGATTTTAATATTTAGAATTCTGAATAAATGGACATATATAATGACATAGGCTTTAATTTGCTAATAAATCATTTTCTTTTTAAAAAATAGAAACTCCCATTGAAAATCGTAGTTCACAACAACCTGTAAGTGAAGTTTCTACTGTCCCATGTCCTAGAATTGATACTCAGCAGCTGGACCGGCAAATCAAAGCCATTATGAAAGAAGTCATTCCTTTTTTGAAGGTAAGCAATAATTTTTTTAAACATAACACTTTATGCTTTGTTTTTTTAGTCTTAAAAAAGACTTCATTATAGTAAATTCAGAAAATACACGTAAACCTAAGAAAGCTAAAAACTTTAGTCTCATCAATTCTGTGGATTTTTCTCCCATTATTTTTATGTAACTATCTCCCCAAAAAGAATATTGATATTCCTATAAATTATAAGAATATGTATATATTCTTTTTTTTAACTTTTTTTTTTTTAAATGTTTTTATTTCTGAGAGAGAGAGGCAGTGTGAGCAGGGGAGGGTCAGAGAGGGGGAGATACAGAATCTGAAGCAGCCTCCAGGCTCTGAGCTAGCTGTCAGCAGAGTCTGATGTGGGGCTCCAACCCACGAACCGTGAGATCACGACCTGAGCCGAAGTTGGGACTGACTGAGCTTAACCGACTGAGCCACCCAGGTGCCCCAAGAATATGTATATATTCTTGTAGATAGAAGGGTAGGTATTTATTTAACAGTTTGAAACCATTCCTTAGGGTGAATTGTCTTTAAGCGATTACTTGCTTTCATCTTAAACACAGATAGCCTTTTTTATTTCACATTTCTGTTTTATCATGAGTGATATAATAAATACTTTTAAACATGTCTTTCTAGGTTAAATTAGGTATATTGGTAGTAATATTTAATATGTACAGTTATTTTCTAAGGGTTTTAAAATCTGAATGATTTATCTTTATGCTTAGGGAATGCAGTCATCTGCAGTTTACCATTTTGTGTGTGATTTAAGTGATGCCCTTTCATTCACTTACTAATTTAGTGTTTCAGAGTTTTTGAGGCCAAGAAAATGAGTTGAACTAATGATCTCATTTTAACTATTATGTCTCATTTCACTTCAAATCTTGACTTTTTTGGTAGGATTATAAGAACTTCTTTGTTAATGTCAGCATTACACCCAGTCACCTAAACTAGACTTCTTGACTATCTTCCCCTGTCACCAGTGAGCCCAAAATGGATTCTCCTTCCTTCCCTCTGATAGCATAACCTTAATTCAGATGTTCATGTTTTACCTAGACTGTCATAATAGGCATGAAATGAATGTTTACCAAGCAGACTCCCCCCGACAGCCTTTGAAAGATTTTACTACTGGACCTGGTATACTTTCCTAACTTCATCTTTCCCAGTTCTCCATTTGGTACACTCACTTCAAATTGCTCAAAATGTCCTATTCCTGCCATTGCTTTTTCATATATCAGTCTTTTGTTCAAGCTGTCACTATTGAAAATATAAAGTGCCTTCCCTCTTTTCTGCTTGGCTGAAGTGTCCTTTTTTTCAGAGATAATTGTTGCTTCCAATATGCTTTTACAAATCCTTCTAGAACCTAGTGTGGTGGTTTTATGATACCTGTTTATCAGCCAGTAATGAGTTATCTCCTGTGAGCTGGCCATTGTGCTCAGTGATGAAAGAGAAATGGTCCCTATTAGTTAAAAGTATCATCTGCTGGACAGTGCATAGCATGTAGTGGTTGATTATTCATGTATCTGACTTCTCTGGTATTTGCTCCCTTGAAGACAACAGACTGTTGTCCTTTTTTTTTTTTTAATTGCCTGCTCTGACAATGAATTTTTCAAAAGAGACCTTAAGTCCTTCAGTTTAAGGAACCTTAGAAATTATCTACTTTCGTCACCTCACTTTATACATTTCTATAGAAAAAAACAAAACCAGAGCAGAAACTTACCTGAGTAAAGGTTAGAGGACCTGCCCAAGTAAGTTTAGTGGCAGAAGAGGTATTAGAGCCTTGAGGTTACTTGGTGTGGATGTTTTCATGGACTCACCTCCAAAAGCGAACCATGATTTGAATTATTAGGTGCTTGCACATGCTTCTCAAGGAAGGTGAAGGAGGAGAAACTTGCCCAAAAGTTTTCGAAACTTGTTACAAAAGTTAGGATTCTCAACTGAGGTGATTTTGGCCTTAAAAACATTTTATAATGTCTATGTACAATTTTAGTCCTTAGGACTTAGAAAGGTAAAGGGTGCTACTAGCATCTAGTGGGTAAGGGCCAGAGCACCGCTAGACATCCTACAGTGCACAGAGTATCCATAGTGCCACAACTGAGAAAGCGGAGTTAGAAAATAGGTGGAGCACGTGGGTAGCAGGTGAGTTGTGAGCTAAACTTTAAGAAAGGAAGTGATGAAATACTGAATCAGCCAGTTTCTTTTCCTGGCCGTTACCTGCTATGGTTGGTCAAAATGTATAAACCCCTTAACCTGGATAGTGTGGGAGTCTGGCTCTTCTTATGGATAAATATTTCTAAATGTGCATCTGAAAATTGAGAGGCATCTATGGAAGACAATGTCTTCCATATTAATGGGAATTAATATTTTTTAACCAATAGGTAACTTTATTTCCTAACCAACTTGGATTTTTCTCAGGAGCACATGGATGAAGTATGCTCTTCTCAACTTCTAACTTCAGTTAGACGCATGGTTTTGACCCTTACCCAGCAAAATGATGAGAGCAAAGAGTTTGTAAAGTTCTTTCATAAACAACTTGGAAGTATATTACAGGTAAGAGTTTATACTTATATGACTTATATACAATTGAGACTCTCTTTTTTTTTTTTTGCCATTTTCTGGCAATATGCAGTTTATTGAAATAAATGTCCATTCCAGCATCCATTGGGGATGACCTTTCAGTATCTTTTTAAGTTATTCCTTACCTGGTTTTGAAAAAAAATTCTATTAGGGAAAAAATACTGTGTTAGGGCCCGTGTCTTCATTTGACCCAATCATCCTGTAAGGCCTATCCAAACTAGAATAAAATTTTGTTTTGATTTTTCTCCTACTCAGTAAGAACATTTCCAGTTTGAAATGTTCAGAAAGTACTGCATGGTATTTTCTAAAATAATTTTTTACCAGTGTGGGAAATTTTAGAAGCCAGAAACCATCTATTGATTGTGGAGACTTCTTAGGCTGTAACAGTAGTTTTAAATGAATGTTAAGGTAGTGGTTCTCACCTGGGGCAGTTATGCTTGCCTGGAGAGACACTACAACCTCTACAGACATTTGTCACACAGGCGGGGAGAGGCTGGTACTAGCATCTTGTGGCATGTTAATAGTAGTAAGGTTGTGATAAGTAACCATACCTTATTTCGTATAATAAACACCTTTACAGTTAAATACATTCCTGTGTTTTCCCACTGAGATAGTTCAGTGATGTGTATTTTCACTCCACGCTGTGAAATACGTTTTTCTTTTTATCTTTATTATAAAAATTTACAAAATTTACAGAAATTTCCCATAAAACTGTTCCTTGCTGCCTATTCCTGTGTTTACATTGCTTTAGAGATGGTATTTTCACTCTATTAACTTTTGTAAAACACTACACTCGATGCACATTTTCCATCACTTTAATTTTCCATTTTGTTTTTATTAAGAGTAAAGTATTAATTCAATAATAAGTTTTAAGTTGTGCTGGCTCTGTTTAATCCAATTGTACTAACACATAATCTTTAAGAAATATAAGGCATCTGTGTTGTTATGCATGGTTTAAACATGTTTAGGATAATTTTTAGACAAATGTGTTTTTATAAATTTAGTTTATTCCTACAGAAAGAAATAATAATTCCATTGTAGAGTCAGGCTCAGAGAGAAGCTGCTTATGCTTAAGTACTTTTGTTGGTCAGAATCCATGCAGTCCTCCTTCAGTTTTGTCTACTAGTCCCATAATTGAGACAGGTGCCAAGGTATTAATTTGGAAATCAGATTTTATTCTAAGAACATTGGCTGCTTTTCTGTTATCCTATTCCTGATTTTTTTTTCACAGAGGGACCTAAAGAATAAAGGTTAGATTTACAGTAAATCTTGGCCAGAGTGCTGAACATCTTTCATGAGGTAGAGTGTAAAATACTATCTTCTACTTTTTTTCTGAAGAAACCTATTGAGTGAATTTTTTTTTTCACGAGGCAGCCACATTTGTACATTTTCCACAATTGTGCTAGATAAGGTTGTTTCTTGGAGGGAGGAGACACAAAACATAGTTGTTTGCCTGTTTTTTAAATGGCATAGTCCATATTTGTAGAAAGAAAAAGATGCAGTTCTATAAAAAATGTATAGACTATAGATGGCTGACTTGTTCGTTTGATGATGCTGTGTTTCAACGTGAATAGAACTAAAGTTTATTTTTAAACTGATTCTGAAGAAAAAGTTTAAATTAGAATGGTTGCTGGCTTAGGGGCACCTGAGTGGTTCATTCGGTTAAGTGTCCAGCTCTTGATTTCAGCTCAGGTCATGATCTCATGGTTGTGAGTTTGAGCCCTGCATCAGGCTCGGCACTTACAATGTGTAGCCTGCTTGGGATTCTCTCTGTTCTCCCTCCCTTTGCCCTTCCCCCACACTCTCTGCCCCTCCCCCCCTTAAAATAAATGAATAAACTTAAAAAAAAAAAGACTCTAAGAAATAAACGAAAAAAAAGAATGCTGGGTCATATAAAAGGAGGAAACTTGAAAAAATACTCTGTTGTTAACATTGAGAAAGGGAAGACTGCATATTTTCCTCCCTGGGCACCTTAGCTTCTCACCGTGGTAAGTATGTACCCCTAGTACTGTGTAGGAACATCCGGGGTTAGGAGTTCCCTGTTTAACTCTTTGGTGGCCACCAGTTCCACTAAGTAGGGACTAAATCTGTGGATGATCGTAGGTCCTTTTCCTCTCCTTCCATATACTCTCTAAGCAGGACGAGCACAATTCCTACTGAATTCCACTAAAGAGTTTTACTGTTTTTTTCTTAGTAATTTTAGCCATTAAACTGTCTTCATACTAAAAAGTAACAGAATTGTTTTTCCCTTGGTATTGTAATTTATTTAATTAAAAAAAAATTTTTTTTAGTTAATTTTGAGAGGCAGAGCACGAGTGGGGGAGGGCAGAGAGAGAGGGAGACACAGAATGTGAAACAGGCTCCAGGCTTGAGCTGTCAGCACAGAACCAGACCCAGGGCTCAAACCCATGAACCATGAGATCATGACCTGAGCTGAAGTCCAAAGCTTAACTGACTGAGCCACCCAGGTGCCCCTCCCTGGGTATTGTAATTTAAATTTGTTAATCCTCTGTATTGCTCTACCCACATTTGAAGTTTACTATAATCTTAGTTACTTGGTTTATCTTTGAATAGGATTCACTAGCAAAATTTGCTGGCAGAAAACTCAAAGACTGTGGAGAAGATCTTCTTGTAGAGATATCTGAAGTGTTGTTTAATGAATTGGCTTTCTTCAAGCTCATGCAAGATTTGGATAATAATAGTATAACCGTTAAACAGAGATGCAAAAGGAAAATAGAAGCAGCCGGAGTGATACAGTCTTATGCCAAAGAGGTAAATGACATTCGTTATGATTTAAGTTTTAGGAGTAGTTATAATTAGCATATAACTATAGTTCTTGATCATTAATAACTAAAATCACACTTGACCTCAGCAAACATATTTTCGAAATTATAGCAATTAATCAGATCCATAAATCAGTACATACGGTAGCCACATACTGAATCTCAGATGTAACAGCAGTGGCTACAAGATCAGGAATACAGACAGAAATTGGGGACAGGAATTGTCAGGTATCTTACATGATTGTCAGCTGCTGGAGAGAGAGGACTGGGATCCGAGCCTCAGCTGGCTAACTGCCTGCTGTGGCGGTTGCCCACCCAGGAATAGATCTCCCAGGAATATTTATCACCCCCACCAACACATATGCCTTGTTTGCAGGTTAGGGCTTGGGCTGCACATCTCTGTAGCTTCTTACGCCTTGTTAAATTAGTCTTGATCACGTATGAAACTGGAAGGTTTCTCCCCCCTCACCTTGAGGCATACCAACCCCTCATACCTCCTGTTGACGCTCTAAGCACGAGAGGGAAAGAAGGTCAAGACCCAGAAGAGAAAGAGGTAACTCTTCTCCCTGCAGTGTAAAGTAGGATAAAGTCAAGCCATCTATTTCACACTTTGCATAATATTTTCAATCTAGATACAGTTTCAGATCATTTCAGCCATTGCTTAAGAGCTTGAAGAAAATAAAACAGGACAAAACCGTAAGAAATGATAGAAGGGCTACTTTAAGATAAGTAGTCTCTTGAGGCGGTGTGAGTTGGTTTATGAAATAAGGCATGAAAGAACAGTTTAGAGAACAGGAAAAAGGTTAGGGTGGCAGGAACCCATTAAATGAGGTGAGAATGTAGATGAAGTCACCTAGGGAGGTAAGGCCCAACTGGTAAGGACCTTCTCTTTTATTTTATTCTAAGCATAATGGAAACCCATGGGAAATTTTGAAACAGAGGAGTGACATCTCCTGTGCAATTAAAAAGATTTGTCTAGATACCACATTGTATAGGAATTGTAAGAGAGAAGAGCCAGAAGCAGGGAGACTGTCGTAAGGCCACTGTAGTAGTCTGGGTGGGAAATGATGTGACTCAGCTCTGAGTGTGCACCAGCAGATCCATTTTGACAGTTGAGTCAGTGAGCAGTTCTAATGGTTTAGTTATGGATAATAAAAGTACAGCACAGGCTGGTTTCTCTTGTCTGACTTTTTCCTTGGGCACACGAAGGCCCATTTATGGAGACTGCAAAGGCTGGAGGAGGCTGGGGTTTGGAGAGGGAGTCAAGGTTTTTGTTTTGGAATTAGTAAATTTGAGATGCTCTTACATATCCAGGGAGATGTCAGGTAGGCAGGGTTGGTTTTGTTTTGCTAATTTAAAAGATTTCAGTGAAAGAGTTGAATTTACATTTCTAAGAAAGTGGTCAGTGCTTTGGATTATTACCAGAAACTGCAGCATTTGTGAAAGTTACTAAATACCTAAGTATAATATAGAAAGGTTGCTCCTCATTTCTGTTTAACTTGCTTATAGGCCAAAAGGATTCTTGAAGGAGATCATGGCTCACCTGCTGGAGAAATTGATGATGAAGACAAAGTATGTGCTAATTAATTTGTGCCTAAAGATCGTGCTTTTGAGACAGAAGATTAAATAACAGCTTTTACCGTAATATTTGTGATTCTGACAAAATTTTATTTTCTTTTAAAAACAATTATTTTTTGTATTTTTTATTAGATAATGACTTAATTTTTTTTTTTGGTAGACTTACTATATGCCTTTTTAAGAAATATTTGAAGGAATTAAGTACATTTATCTGTGACCAGGACAAGGATGAGACCGAAACGGTGAAGCGGACGCAAACATCTGTGATGTATGATGGTGATGGTCCCAAACATGTGAGATCTGAGGTTTCTGATCAAGAGGAAGATGAAGAAAGTGAAAAATGTCCGGTGTCTATTAGTAAGTGTAAAGGCTCGTACTAGGTTTATACGGGAGTTCTTTATAGGTCACTTATTCACACAGGTGTGGGGAGTATAATGAATACAGAGTTCAGTGTCCAGCCACTCTGGATTTTTCAGTGCGGCCCTGCGTAATTACCTGCCCTTTCTGCGCCTCAGCATTCTAGTGCTTACTGTTTTGAAGGTTTCCGGCGTTGTATGTAAAGGACTTGTGCAGTGCAGGAACGCAGTATGTGGGAGCTAACACAAAGATTTGGTGATGAAAATTTACTAAAAACTGTGTATTAATCAACGTAGACTTATCCAAAGCTGAAACTCAGGCTTTGACGAATTATGGAAGTGGAGAAGATGAAAATGAAGATGAAGAAATAGAAGAATTTGAGGAAGGACCTGTAGATGTTCAGACTTCCCTTCAGGCTAACACTGAAACTACGGAAGAAACTGAACAGAACGATCAGGTATTCCTGTTGGGACTAACACACCTTCCCCGAGTCTGCACCTGCTAAAGGCAGATCCTTTTTTTTTTTTTTTAAAGATATAACTTCAGGAGTATTTTTTTTTTATACAAATAGTTTATTGTCAAATTAGTTTCCACATAACACTCAGTGCTCATCCCCACAAGTGCCCTCCTCCATGCCCATCCCCCCTCCCCCCCACATCCATCAGTCCTCAGTTTTTGTCAGCATTCAAGAGTCTCTCATGGTTTGCCTCTCTCCCTTTCCCCCACCATTTCCCCCCTTCTTCTCCCCCTTGTTCCTCCGTCAAGTTTCTCCTAATCCTCCTATACGTGCAAACATATGATATTTGTCCTTCTCAAGGCAGATCCTTTTTAAGGTGTCAGAACTGACAGCTTCCCTGCTCTCACTGAGATGAGATGAGATGACTAAACAAACCTCTTTACTGTCCTTATTGAAATCCAAATCAAACACTAGTTTTACCAATGTTTACCTTTAAAGCACTTGAATTTTTTTTTTTTTTTTTTTTTTTTTTTGGTAATAAGTCCTAAAAACTATGAGATTACTGCGGAAGATCTGGATTTTTCATTTATTTCCTAGTCATATGTGGAAATCGTATGTGACAAAATAAAATCATTCCCTTTCTTCCCTCCACTTCATCCTGTTCCATAGGCAGTATTTTGTATGATTTCTTCAGCTGTTTAGCTCTATTTCTGAATAATGTGTGTGTATTTATGTATTAGACATTCTCTGTTGATTTCCTCTTCTAGTAGGTGAAGACTTTGAGGCCACTTATGACGCTTCATTTAATTATATTAATGCTGTCCTTGTTTAATCATATCTTCAGCTAACATCTGCATTTAACCATAGATTTAGTCAAACTACATAAATATTACTGAATTAATAAGCAAATACTGTTTATTGCTTAGTCTTGTACATTTTTTTCCACCTAAAATTAATAATTGTCTCAAATTTTTTTTTTTTTTTTTTACCTAATTTTCTTTGACCCAAACCCAGTCAAATCTTCACTCTGCCCACCAAGAGCTCAGTACACTTCTCAGTATAATTTTCTACAAGAACCAGTCTGTCAGTTTTGTTCTTCCTACTCCGTCCTGGGTTTGGCTCTTCATTAGACGTGCTCATGAGCTAGCAGCCTGGAAATCCCCTCTGTCATTCTTTATTCTGTGTTTCTAGAATTTCGTCTTATCCTTTTACCTCATTTTGGTGGAGCACATTTGTAGGATCTCTCAGAAAAAGAGTGCATTAAATATAAATACTTTTAGACTTTATATGTCTGAGAAAATCATAAATTATTCCATGCTACACATACTTTCCTTCAGGTCTTTGAGAGACACTGCTCTGTCTTCCAGTGTCTCCCAGTTTTCAGTGTTGCTGCTGAGATGGCCAGCGCCTTTTTTTGTTGTGATTCTTTGTATTTTTTCTTTCCCACACTGGAGCTTCCCCTGGACTTTTGTGGAAGTTTTATAGTGATACACATTGTTGTGGGTCTTTTTTAGTCACTATACTGGGTACATGGCAGGTCTGTGAGCAATCATTATCATTTCCTTTATTTTGGTAAATTTTCTTTTTTTATATTTCCTTCCCATCATTTTCTCTTTACATTCCTCCTAGAGTTAATATTATCAGATATTATCGGCCCTCATGGTTTAATTTCTTTTAATGTTTTATTTATTTTTGAGAGAGACAAATTGGGAACAGGGGAGGGGCAGAGAGAGAGGGAGACACAGAATCTAAAGTAGGCTCTAGGCTGTGAGCTGTTAGCACAGAGCCCGACGTGGGGCTCGAACTCACAGACTGAGATCATGCCCTCTCAGCTGACTGAGCCGCCCAGGTGCCCCTGGTTTAATTGTCTAACTTCTCATCTCCTCTCTTCTTTATATTGTCCAATTAGTCTTTCTGCTTTACTTTCTGGGAGACTCCTATGGACCTTAACACTTATATGAATGTCATATTTTTAATCTGTTTTCTGATTACTTTTTTATAGCATGCTGTTAAATCAGGGAAGCGCTGTCTTCTCTTACTCATCTGCAGGCTTTCTTCAAATGTCTGCAGTACCTTTGGTGTTTATATTAAAAAACAACACTCCAAAAAGCTGATTGGGGTTGTTGTGGGCGTCACTGGAGGGCATTTGGACAGATAGTTAGCTTTTTGATAGAAAATCCCAAATGTCAGTGACTATTGGATTTCCTCTGGGGTGGTTTAGTTTCTCCCCAGAAGGGTCTTCCATTCTCCTCCTGCCGGGGAGGAAGTATATATCCTCTTGGCTGCTGCTGCTCTGGACTGGGACGTGGAAACCATGCCGAGCATCCCATCACGGCACACACTCTGCTGAGTTCTTGTTTTCGGCACATCTTATCCTGTCCCTATTTGTGCTTTCTGCACCCCCCCTTACCCCTGGCAGCCCCAGGGCTGAGGCCCACTAGTTCCATTTACCCAAAATATAATCTCCCATTTTCTGTGTGAGTTTGGGGAGGGAACCTCAGTGTTTGTGTTTTCTTTAAACGGCTTTAGGGAACCACCAGCAACCCCCTCTTTTCATCCACAGTGTATTCCTTCCTTCCTAGAATCTGGTACTTCCAAGCATGAGGTGAATCTGTTTTTTGTTCTCTCCTCTTGCTGAAGGCACTTGACTTCATCTTTTCTCCCTCCTGCTCACTTCCTCTTCCATTCCCTGAACATCTATATACAGATGCCTTTTAGTGTCATTCATGATTGAATCTGATTTAAAAAATAAAGAGTGGAATCCATAACACTCTAGTTTTCTATTATTTTGAAGAAGAAAAGGAAACCTTTTTATTTATCTATCCCTTCTCCAAACACTTTTGAGAAGATTTTTTTAAATTCTCTTGTATGAAGGTCTCATGTTGGACAAAAACCTTACATTAACCCATCTCCTATATAGTGACCCTATTATTTCAGGCCCCGCTATTAAGACATCACTTTTTCCTTCTAGGTACTACAACATGACTTTGAAAAATCAGGAGAAAGCAAAAATGTCCCATCAGAACAAGAACCCACTACTAGTAAAGGCAAGAAATCTAAAGTGTTCGATGTTAAGATTATCTCAAGTGGCGTTTATGTGCTTAAAACTTAAAATAATTAAATTCTTAGCTGACATAACTTTGAAGATAATTTGGACCTGATGTCTGTCTTTTTTCTTCCCCTAAATCCTTTGTAGAAAACATGAGGGCTTTGTTTCTGCAAACACTTGTTAAATAAGAGTTGACAAATAATTAAACACACAGAAAAAAGTCTTTAAAGAAGACATCTTTAGCTACCAATGTGGGGGATTTTTTAGAATGCCCATTTCTGGGTATTACTCATGAATATCCTACTTTATTAGAAATTGGGTGGATTTCAGGCATCTAATTTTTAAAACATCCCCAGATGAATCTGATCAACTAATTTTAGGAATCATTGATATGGAAAATTTGCAGTAGCCTCTTCTTTTGGATTTTAAATATCTTGGTTACTTATTCATATATACTACTATTTGGTATAACAGTAAAGCTTAATAGCTGTTGCAATACATTAATGTTATCTTTTGATGACAGATGACCAAGACAGCACTCCTGTGAAACCCTGTTACCTCAACATCTTGGAAAATGAGCAACCTTTAAATAGCGCTGTCCAAAAGGACTCTCTCACTACCATTGATTCATCTAAACAGCCTAACCCTTTGCCTTTAACTGAAATTGAAACCTTGGTGCCTGCAGTCAAAGAAGTTAAGTCTGCTCAGGAAACTCCTGAGAGCTCTTTGGCCGGAAGTCCTGATACTGAATCTCCAGTGTTAGTGAATGACTATGTACGTATCATTTACATTTCATTTCTGTGGGTATTTCTCCATTTCCAGGTTACCCCTTACAGTCTGTACACACGAGTATCCTTTGTGTTTAGGCTTAGAAATTGCTAAAACTTTTTTTTTTTTATTCAAAGTGATTTTAAACTTGAACAGCAGGGTGATAGTGAATTAAGAGGACTGTCTGAAAACCTAAAAGCTATTCTTCTAATTTTGAGCTGTAGGTGGCAATCTTCAGAGTGCATTCCAAGTTTAGATTTGGGCAGATGATACCTGGGTCACCGTTAATCTCTTACAGTACCCGTGCCTAACATCAAGTATTTTAGAGCATTTCATAAATCTTTGATAAACCTGAAAGTTCACAGTTTGACAGCAGTAGACGCCTCATCTCTATACTGTAAACGAAAGAAATATAGTAGCAAATCTATACTTAGGATGTAAGTAGATGAGTTTTTACCTTGGACATTTTTGTTTCAATTTAATTTTTATAGTAGATTATTTTTTAGATCTCTGTGTTTTATAAACATTTCTTGTCAGTAGGAATTAAGCGATTTATAACAATACTTTTAGGCCTACAGAATATGTTTCACTTTTTTTTGATACCAACTTTCTTAATAGAGGTATTTACAATTAAGATTTCATAATTTCTCATAATATTCCAGAAATATAAGTAGAAAGAGTATCTTAAGGGTTTTGATTGCTTTACCACTAGTAAAATTATGTATTTTAAACTTTGAAAGTTACCTGTTAGGCTTATTCTTACTATAATTTGCTGAGTGCACAGAGTTGCTATAGGAGGCAGTCAGTTGAAATTAATGTTTGATTATAGAGGGGACTTGAATTTGAAATTTAGGCAGGGGCCACTACTGAAAGTTCTTGCGCAAGAAAGTCAGATGGCCAAAGTCCTGCTTTTTGAAGATGAATCTGGTGACTGCGTACGATCTGTTGTCAAGGAAGCAATGTTAAGAAACTCCCTTACCATGCATAGAGATACCAAGTTCGAGCTGAACGAGGGAGAGATGGGTGAGGAATGTTGAAAGAAGAAGAAAATTTTAAGGTTTCCACTTGTGTAATTGGTACAGTGATACCATCAAAAATCAGAAACGGAGAACTAGGAGAATAAAAGAATTCAAGTTCCAAAGAAACACTGAAGAGATCACAAAAATGAGTTATTAGATTCATACCTCCTCTTTCTCAGCTTCCACAGAGCTGCTACTGAAAGCCTGTACGTGTTTACTGATACCCTGCTGGATACAGTTGTTGTTCTTCTCATTACTTTTGCCCTCAGTGTAACTGCTATGTCTTCTTTGAACCTATATAAACTGGCTCTTTACCAAATGAGGACAGAAATGCTTGACAGTATGTCCACAGCTGCCAGTGCATGGCCCTTCCTGTGCACCCCAGCTTTGTTCTATTCATAGAGTTGAACACAGGAAAAAACCAAATAGAATGGGATTACTGATGTGTACTTATATGTAAGAATCCACTTTATCTCTTGGCATGGATGACTTTAAAGACTTAGATCCAGAGATAGAGTGGATTGCCTTCATTAAATATAATTTATCTTACAGGAAGCAGAGTCTGGTAACATAAGTCAAAAATCGGATGAAGAAGACTTTGTGAAAGTTGAAGATTTACCACTTAAACTGACAATATATTCAGAGGTATTTTCCTTTAATTAATTAAACTTATCCTTATGTAACAAATGCTACTGAAATGAAAACTGATTTTGAGGCTTTTTTGGTTTTTCATTCCAAAGGCAGATCTAAGGAAGAAAATGGTAGAGGAAGAACAGAAAAACCACTTATCTGGTGAAGTATTACGTGAAATGCAGACTGAAGAATTAGCTGGGAATTCTCAGACACTTAAAGAACCTGGTAAGAGTTTCCAATTTCAACCAACTCATATTGAAAAATTACTGAATCTTGATGCCATCATTTTATTTTTCAAATCTACTCCTAGTACTTGGAAGATTTAAGTGAAATACTGGGAGGGAGGCATAATTCTATAGAAAGTCAAGACCCATTGCCTAATTTAGAAATTAGGTATAAAATGGTGTTATCAGATAATTTTCTATTTTTAAAATCGTAAGTTTTAGCAAGGTAGTAGATGCATATTGTTTAAGAAGGAAAAGTACAAAAGAATTAAGGGTAATTGGAGGAGCCCATATGTTTTAATTCTTGTTTTTTAGTTCTTTTGGATAAGATACTGTTTATCTTTAAATAATATTGTTAGAATTAATTTTTTAAATTAAAAAATTCAGACATCTCTTATCTTCCCTACCAGAAGTGAGTATTTGGACCTACCTCCCCTTTTACTATTATTTTTGTTTTTTCTGTTTGATACTTTTGTTATTTTAAGTATATGTGGTTGGTTGCTGGTTCTGTCAACTTTGGTCATTACTCAGCCAGTGGCCTCCCCCCCCTTTTCTTCTGCTGTCTTTTCAGTTTTACTCATCTTCTTACATTAAGGTTATAAAAGCAAACATTTTAATTTTGTAACTATAATAGTTAAAACTTCTGTACTTTTCCTGAAGGCTATTCTCTGTAAGTAGGCCTCACTGCAGAACCAGGGAATAAATCCCGGATTTCCTTATATGGATCTAATAGCACAGCCCCTGGGCCACTCAGAGGAGAATGTGTCTTGCATCAAAATCAAAGGATTTTCTTGTTATTCTCTATCAATTCATTAATCAATCAGTTAAAATGAAGACTTTTTATTTTTGTTCTCCCTGAAATACTAAATATCAAACCTTTAACTGATTTCCCAGTGGCTTAGCCCAGTGTTACTAGTTGGTGTCTCAATGCTGCCCCTGCTCAGGGGCCTGGGCTGAGCCCCTCTCGCCCGGCACTGCACCTCCACCTGCTTTGAGTGTCCTGGGGACCTGTCCCCCCGTCCTGCTTTCCCTCACAGCCACTTTTCCTGGTCAGGATTTAATCAGTTTTACATTTTTTCCCCAGTGGAGTGTTATAATCTGACGTCCTCAAACAGAAACTCTTAACCCATTTTTAAACTGCATTAGTATTTCCTTTGTAGTAACTTTATGCTCTAAGTTTTAATGTAAGAGAACAATAAATTCTAGTAGGTCTTTCAGTAATTTATAATGCATTCATTCTTTTTTTCAGAAACAGTGGGAGCCCAAAGTGTGTGAGAGGTCTTCAGAGGCTCATCTAACTTGCTTTATAGAGTCAATGCACATATGAACATGGCACTAAATAAACATCTGTTTTGATCTGTATAAAAATGTAAATTAGTTTGACACTGCATTCTTGATAGGTGTGCTAATTTCTGCCCGTGGCAGTTTAAAACATCAGAACTGAATTCTGGACAGATTTCAAGCCTTGATACACTGTGGGGTGGTTTTTCCTTTCTTTCTTTTTGGCCTTGATTTTTTTTTCCCCCTCTCCCATTGTGATGTTTAGTATCGTTAAATTTAAGATGTAGTTTTGAATAAAGTTTGGACTTATCTGTAAAGTATCTTTTTTGGAAATGATGTTGAATTCTATACAGGAAGTCACTGTTCTATACAGTTAGGATAGTCAGAGAAGAACAACAGTCAACAGTTAGAGAAATAGACTAGTGAATGCCAAGACCAGCCATTAGGCCAGGCTTGGGTCTGATGTTGTTTTAAATGCCTGCAAGACTAGGGAAAGTTATGAAGGTACCCAGGATACTGGTGAAGTTATTATAAAATGTATATTAATATTCAAATTGGATTAAATTTACAACACATGTCTTTAGTACTTAGAACTTATCTACTTGTCAGATAAATATTTTCCAGAATTCAATTCCTATCTATGTTGCTACAGCCTAAAAAAAAAGTTTTATATAATTAGGGAGTATTTCTGCACAAACAAGTAACATGATTAATTTTAAATGAAAAACCAAATCCTTTCAAGTAGGGATTACAGAACTAAATTTTGTGTAGCAGAATGTGAACGCTCTGTATGCCTTTAGACAAACTTGCCTTTTAAGATAGATCTATGAGATTTCTTCATCACTAAGTAAATCAGCTTTTAAAAGGTGAATCACCTTTAGATTCCAAACTTAACATATACCCAAGTAAGGCCTCACAGAGCCCGTTAACAATTTAGCCAGTCTTACAGGTTTCTCATTGAACTAAATAGGAAGAATTAGTTTCAATTAGTAGTCTCTAAAACTTACTAAGAATTTACTGAAATTTATTTCCCCATAAGAAAATAATTTCATTAGTATTCCTCAAATTCTTAGTTGCCTGGTACTTCACTGTAAAATTACAGTGCCCATCAGGGAGTTTGTTAAGTGAGGGTTTTCTCTGAGGATATTTACTGTATTGCTACTTACTCTAAATTATGTGAGGCACAGATCTCTAATATTAATAAAACCTATCCCAGAAAGAAAATAAAAACCTATTCAGAAAACTATCATTCCCGAATCAGGAATTCTTATCCAGTTGGCCTGACTTCTGGGAAACTAAAACAACAGATTATATGTATACTCAAGTTCTATATTTATATGTTTTCTAGACTCTGAACAGAAAGGAGAGAATTTCATATTGGCACTCAAGCCAAGCCATCGTGTTACAGCTGTGTCTCTCTCGACATGCATATGAAAGATCGGTACAGTGGAAGAAGTGTACTTAGTTATTACTCTAGTACCTGTGGACCTTATCTAACTTATCTGACTTGTGTTATAGCTGCTGTAACTAGTCTGTTGTTTTCTATTTTAGAAGATAATTCAGTTTTAAAATATGTGGGGCTTAAGATCAGATAACTTGTTTTCCATTTTCCTTAGTAACTACTGCTTCAAAGGCTAGGCATTCAGTATTCCTGTTTGTTCATTTTTAAGTTGAAAATCTGGTTGTAGATAAGAGAGAGAGAAAGGTCAAAATGAGTGAGACAGAATCCTATGCAGGTTGAGATAATGCTGAAACTAGTGAGCTCACCGGACTGTGCAGGTTCTCTTTGTATTTTGTAACATTCATTTTGGGTAAATGCTTTTTCACTGTTAATAAATGTATATCCTCCATACAGCCCTGAATTGCATTTTCATTTCACATGACATACTCACTTATGCTTTAGAATTTATTCCAGAATCATGGCTTATTTGGTCATTTTAGATGCTACAACAAAACATAAAAGACATGAAAAACTGACATTATCAACTAGCCAGAGACTTACATTTGAGGCCATTTTTCTTTCACTGTCGCTGTACTCTTTTTTCTTAATTCTATGTATTTTATACACTATGTAGAGGACATTTTCATATTGAAAGTTAGACTGGCATGTTTCTTGTTTATTGCCCAATTTTATTTAATACATACAACTGGCTCTGGATTTCACATATTTCATTGTGTAAATAAATATGTTTGCCCAGTTGCCTTGCCTGGGAGAGCTCCATTTCCCTCTGGTTCTGGCCATACTTGACCGTTGGCCATCTTTACCACATCTGCTTTCTTCCTCAGATTCACTGGCGTCACTGCTTGGCTCATTTCCCATTAAGGAGCAGAGGGGAATCCTATGCCTTTAAATAACTTTGATTCATATATGAAGAATTTTAATTATCAGTTCATTTTTATCTGCATAGACTAACTTTATCTGCCCAGAACAAACTCTGGGCCAGCAATTTATAAAAAGTTCTTGATTTGGATATTTTGAAAACAAATCACATTATAAAGCCTGAGTTAGAGTTCTCTCTTAACATAGCTATTGTGTAGACAGTCCCCAACTTAATAATGGTTCAAATTAGGGTTTTTCAGTTTTACAATGGAGCAAAAGTAATACAGCCATACATTGGTTGCACCTTGGGCACCCAGTCGGTTAAGTGTCTGACTCTTGGTTGCAGCTCAGGTCATGATCTCAAGGTTGGTAAGTTCTAGCCCCACACTGAGCTCTGCAGGATTCTCTTTGTCTCCTTCTTAATAAATAAATTAAAAAAAAAAAAATACAAGCATACACTGGAGATATTACAGATTTGACTCCAGACCAGTAAATAAAGCAAGTATTGCAACAAGGAGTCAGGTTTTTGGTTTCCCAGGGCATATAAAAGTTTATGTTTACACTACACTATACTCTTACCTATGCAATGGCATTATGGCTGAAAAAACAATGTTCATACCTTAATTAGAAAGTATTTTAGTGCTAAAAACTGCTAACCGTCATCCGAGCTTTCAGCAAGTTGTAATCATTTTGCTGGTAAAGGGTCTTGCCTCAGTGTTGATGGCTGCTGAAGGCTGGGGTGGCTGTGGCAATTTCTTACAGGTTGCCATCATCTTGATTTCTTTTCAGAGATTTCTCCCTAGCATGCTATGCTGTTTGATAGCATTTTACCAACAGTAGAACTTCTTCCAAAATTAGAGTCAATCCTCTCAAGCTGTCCTGCTGTTTTATCAATTAAGCTTAATTCTTTTCTTGTCATTTCAACAGTCTTCACAGCATCTTCCCCAGGAGTAGATTCCATCTCCAGGAACTGCTTTCTCTGCGCATCCGTAAGAAGCAACCCCTCATTCCATTCAAGTTTTATGAGAAGGCAGCAGTTCAGTCACATCGTTAAGCTCCCTAATTCTAGTTCTCCTGTTTCTACCACATCTGCAGTTACTTCCTCCACTTAAGTCTGGAATCCTTCACAGTTAGCCTTGAGTGTTGGAATCCACTTCTTTCAAACTCTGTTAACATTGATGTTTTGACCTCTCTCCCCTTGAATCAGAAGTGTTCTTCGTGGCATCTAGAATGGTGGATCCTTTCCAAGTTTAGTTTATGTTGTCCAGATTCACCTCAGGATTCACTCTTACGGCAGTTAGAGCTGTACAAAAGTTTTTTTTTTTTTTTAATGTTTTTTATTTACTTTTGAGAGTCAGAGAGAGAGAGAGAGAGCATGATTAGGGGAAGATCAGAGAGAGAGAGAGAGACAGAATCTGAAGACAGGCTCCAGGCTCTAAGCTAGCTGTCAGCACAGAGCCCAACATAGGGCTCAAATCCGTGAACTGTGAGATCATGACCTGAGCCGACGTCGGACACTTAACCCACTGAGCCACCCAGGCGCCCCAAAAGGTATTTCTTAAAAACTAAGATTCAAAAGTCAAAAATACTCCTTGATCCATGGGCTGCAGAAAGGATGTTGTGTTAGCAGGCATGAAAGCAACATAAATCGTGTTGTACATCTCCATCCGAGTTCTTTGGTAGAATGTTAATGAGCAGTAATATTTTGAAAGAAATTTTTTCCTGAGCTGTTAGGTCTCAGTCATGGGCTTAAAATAGTAAACTATGTTGTAAACAGATGTGCTTTCTTTACCGAACGGTTAATGAGCACTGGCTTCAACTTAAAGTCACTAGCTGCATTAGCCCCTAACAGAGTCAGCCTGTCTTTGAAACGCTGAAGCTAGGTAATGACTTCTCCTTTCTAGCTATGAATGTCCTAGATGGCATCTTCCAAAAGAAAGGTGTTTCACCCGCATTGAAAATTTATTGCTTAGGGGCACATGTGTGGCTCATTTGGTTAAGTGTCCCGACTCTTGATTACCGCCTAGGTCATGATCCTAGCTAGGGTCGTGGGATCAAGCCCCATGTCAGGCTCCTTAAGATTTTCTCTCTCCCTTTGCCCCTCTCCCTCACTCAGGCATGCTCTCTCTCAAAAAAAAAAAAAAAAAAATTATTTAGACACATTCGTCGTCGTCGTCTGGATAACTTGTTACATCTAATACATCAGCACTCCCTACTTCATCCTGTACTTTCATATTATGGAGAAGGCTTCTTGCCTCAAATCTCATGAACCAATCTTTGCTGGGTTTCAACTTTTCTAATGCAGCTTCCTCCCATCTCTGAGCCTTCACACGACTGAAAAGAGTAGGGCCTTGCTCTAGATTAGGCTTTGGCTTAAGGTAATGTTGTGGCTGGTGTGGTGATCTATCCAGAGCACTAAAACTCTCCCTATCAGCAATTAGGCTCTTTCACTTTATCATTCATGTGCTCACCAGAATACCACATTCAGTTTCCTTGAAGAACTTCTTTATATTCACAACTTGGCCTGCCAGTTTGGCAGAAGAGGCCCAGCTTTCAGTCTTTCTTGCCTTTCTGTGCACCTTCCTCGCCGAGCTGAGTCATTGTGAGCTTCTGATTTAAAGTGACGGACATGGCAACCTACTAAATGGGAGATATGTCAATGATGTATCCAGTAAAGAGTTAATATCCAAAATATATGTAAAACTCCTAAAACCCAATAGTAAAAAAAAAAAGATTAAAAATGGGTAGAAGACTCAAAAAGACATTTTTCCAATAAAGATATACAGATGCTCACCCTCACTAACCATGAGGGAAATGCAAGTAAAAACCACAATGAGATAGCACTTCACACTAGTCACAATGATTAGTATCAGAAAGGCAAGATCTAACGCGCTGGCGAGGATGTGTAGGCAAGGGAACCCTTGTGCACTGCTGGGAATGCAAACTGGTGCAGCCACTGTGGAAAACAGCATGAAGGTTCCTCAGAAAGTTAAAACAGAATTACCACAGGATCCAGTAATTCTGCTACTGGCTATTTACCCAAAGAAAACGACAACACTAATTCAAAAACGTACACCCCTATGTTTACTGCAGTATTATTTATAATAAGCTAAGATATGGAAGCTACACAGTATCCACTGATGGTGAATGGATAAAGATGTGGTATAGGTGTGTATATGTATATAGCTATCTCTATATATACATACACAACGGAATATTACTCAGCTATAAAAAAAGAATGAGATCTTAACATTTGCAATAACAAGGATGGACATAGAGGGTATTCTACTAAATGGATTAAGAGAAAGATAAATAACATATGATTTCATTCGTGCATGGAATCTAAAATCAGCCTCTCCAGATTTGTAAATACAGAGAATCTCTGGCTGCCAGAGGAATTGGGGGTGGTGATGAAATAAGGAGATTATAAGAGGTACAGACTTTCAAAGGAAAAAAGAGATGTATGGTTGACCTAGCATTGGAACACTTCGAAGCCACTGTCAGGTGATTAAGTGGCCTAATTTCAATACTGTTGTGTCCAGCGGGGGATAGGGAGGCCCAGGGGGAGGGAGAGAGATGGAGGAATGGGCGGTGGGTGGATCACCACATCAAATACAGTAACAATGAAAAAGTGTGCAATACGGTGTTGTGTGAATTATTAAAAGGACACAGCGCACAGTGAACAAACGCTGTTGGAAAATGGCACCAATAGACCTGCTTGACACGGGGTCGCCACAGACCTCTTTGTGAAAACACTCTGTGAAGGACAGTGAAGCGACACACAGTAAAACCGGGTGTGCCTGCAATCCCGTTCGCTGTCCTCTCCAAGTTAACTCAGCAGTGGGGACACTGTCACCACGTTGGCAAACACCTTGCAGTCCTCTTTCTACACTGGAGACCTAAGGACAGACTCAAGTAGGCTTGTACTCTGTATCCTGTGACTGCTCTGTAGCCACCAAACATTACTGCCTAAAATCTCAATGCCAGTACTTCCCTCCACACTGGTGAGTCCTGAGGAACTGGGTCTGAAAAACAGCATCTTCCCTATTATGAGTATCAAAGGCTATTGCTTAGGAAAAATACAAATTTACCTCACTTTATTTTTATAAGGGGCAAAATCTAAGGGTTTTTTTTTTTTTTAAATCTTATTTTAATGCAAATCTGCTTATGATTCCTCTTGCTTCACTAAGCTAATACTAGCATGACTACAGTTTCGTGGAAGCACCTCCAACCAGGAAAAAAGCAGCCTCTGGACACCCGCACACTGCGGACACCGGTGGGTCGAGAGGCCGCAAGGACTGGTCACGTAAGCCAGTGACCTGTGAGTTCTGAGTTGAAGAACCCATCACGTAAGCCTTGTAACTGAATTCCAGTATGTTCAGCTTGCTTTTCTCCGTCATCACCCCGACCCTCAGACCAGCACGTAGGTCCACACTGAATCAGCACATGTGCCTGCCGACACTACTTCCAGTGACTGTTTATTATAAAGTCATGAATACAAGTGACATTATACAAAATGAAGTGGATACAGTCTCACCCGAGTGGCATGCACTTCACAGTTAACTGTGTGAAAGGTTAACATGTTCTATCAGCACTTCTCATCAACAGATTCCTGAAAAACACTGTTAGTAACGTTTTCAATAAATACATATTGATCAGAAAGACAAACTAAAGTTGTATTAAGTGAATGATATTTATGAGAGTTTTTGGATTCACCTCTCGATTTCCACAAGGCTTGGACCTTAATACTGCTCACTCACAGAACCTGGGTCTCAGATTCTGAAGCTGACAAGTGCCTGGAGTTACCGGGAGGTAGACTAATGATGAAAAAGGGAACATACAGATTACTCTATGGACCCAAAAAAGTACTTCTATTCAGGGTCAAAGACTCTAGTATTATTGCCTGTTAAGAGAACTACACAGGTGAATGTCTGTCCCATCCCTCTCCAACCAAAACTTGTGAAATCACATTGCTGTCAAAAACAGCGAAGACCACGGTGGGCTAATTTTAATCGTAGTCAGTATCAAAGGGGGAAAGACTGCTGTTCGAAAAACCATACAAATATGTGGATTAAAGTGAAAAACAGGACGGTGTACAGATGTGCTGCAGTCCGTGCCCACCGGGACTCTGGCTTTATTCTGTGGAGGTGGGCCCCACAACGTCCCTATCCCCAAATGTCCGAGTGAAGTGAAGCGGCAAATTCTAGGGGATTGGTTTCTGTTATGAAATTATCCGTAAAGGAGAACCATCAACTTTTACGGCAAAAACAGTCTGTGAACTTTGGTAAGAAAGACAAGTTCATGCCTCACAGAGAAAATGCCCTGTCTTTGGAAGGAGATCAGACGCTGCGCTATTCGGACATGGGTGAGTTTCCATCTTCATGCCACACAGAGAGCATTCTAGAAGCCAGGTTTGTGCTCACCAACCTATGCAAGGGTCTGGGCAGTCCCGCAGGAAAGATTCAAATTGACCTTTGGTAACATCCATCAGGGTTGTGTATACAGTCAGCTGAAAGAAAAGTGACTTTTAAGGATGTTTCCAATTCTAAAATGTCCTGACTTATATTAACATTTCTATACATGTCAAGCTGCTTTATGAAGCTACTTAGTATAAAACAGTATATAAATTGTATGTATCAAAGATATAAAAATAAATATACAAAGAACCAAACAGTTAAGAAGTTAATAATAATATTTCACCATTTAAGAATACAACAGCAAAAAAACAATAATGAGAACTCAAACAACTGACTTCAATAGAACCATTGCTCCAGATCATGAATATGAATATGCTCTGGAAAGAAGCCCTTTAACTCCTTACAAGATCCTGTTCCTGAGTAGTGCGCTGCTTCACCACCAGTGCGCTAACACCCCCCACCGCCCTGCCCCCAGCTCGTGCAGAGCCTAATGGGGCACTGCAGAGTATAAAGGCAGAGTATAAAGGGCCGAGCGACGGCCATTCTGAGCCTTAACGCACTTCTAACACGGAGGGCGGGGGGCGGGGGACACGGGACCACAGGCAAAAAGCTCCCTCTGAAAATAGACTTCAGACTTCGTTGAGTTTTAGGTGTTCACTGTAGTGGACAGCGTGATTTCTGACAGGAAGAAGTCAAAAGAAAAAGGCTACATTTAACTGAAACGGCATGGAAGTAAAACCGGAAACAATACTCTGGCCAGAGTGGCTCAAACCACACTAACACTTTGTCATACCGCAGGAGTTACCGTTATAGTCCCACAAAAACATTTTTAAAAATCAACCTTAAGCAGAATGTGACTTGGCGGTTTTATAGCTCTGACTAATCCACAGTAACAGGGAAATATAACACAGGCCCAGATTATTTCCCTAAAAGTAAATTTTATGGATATATATATTAAAAACATAAAATTATAATTAAAATTTATTAATTTTAAATTATAAATATATAAATATAGATTTAAAAAAAATACCTTGTTGAGGACAGGTTTTGTTGACAGGACATCGTATATGGTCGCAAATGAGATATTCTAAAACACAGAAGTAATTTTGTTCATTACGTTAAATGCCCATGTCGGCAGGTTTATCCACTCAATGGGTCATTAGCAACAAAGACATTCTTCAGTCAACCTCCTGAAGCCCCTAAAAGAATTTCCCTTGGGGTCACTGTTAGAAAGAGTTAATGGTTCTAATACATCACTTTTTCTCTCTCTCCCTGCCCTCTTTAATTCGTCATTCAGCTTAAGAGTGGTGTCCAGCATTAGAGTAAGAAAGGCAAGTACTGGAAAATTCTACCCTTTCAATTCAAAACAAAACAAAAACTCAGTACAGATTGTCCAGAGATACTGAATAATGGGAAGTTTATAAGTTTCCCAAAGGCCAAGGAAAAATGCCACAAGTAAGATAATTTTCAAAGGACCATTTCTTTCTACATAGGAAGGACACCGTGACTGTACCTCTTGAGTTGTCCGGTTTAGACACTTCTTTGCAGATGTTCTGCGATCATCGAGAAAGAAAGGACTTTTCCAACGGTCATAATTTGTTTCTAGCACATACCATATATCCTGCTTGGGGTTGAGTCTAAATACAAAAGGAGAGATTCTGACTAGTTTTCATGCCTTAAACCTGTAAATATGTCAGTCTGTGCTTTAGTTTCTGTTTATTTTCTTTGAACAAATGCACTTACTCATATATATCCAAAGCTTGTTTTCTGTCTCGCGTAATCACACAACCTTCCCCAGACTTGTTGCCTCCCAAGATAAAGTATGCTGGGGCCAGTAACTTAGTTTTGGTTAATATATTCTTGGCGTCTTCATAACTACATAGAAACAAAACAAAACAAAAAAAAAAGCAAACCTTTTTAGTTGACTTGGAATGAAAAATATTTAGTTGTGGAAACTAAGGGAAAATCAAAGTACCTGAGAAACATGTTCTTTTCTTTCTTTTTTTTTTAAACGTTATTTTTGAGAGAGCGAGAGACAGAGCATGAGTGGGGAAGGGGCATTATTCCAGGGGTACAAAAACAGACAGACATCTACATATCAATGTGATCCACCACATTAACAAAATGAAGGATAAAAAAATATGATCATTTCAACAGATTCGTGGGGAAAATATCCGACAGAATTCAACATCCTTTCATTATAACAACTCAACAAAGCGGGTCTAAGGGGAACATATCTCAACATAATAAAGGCCATACAGGACAAGCCCACAACATCATAGTCAATGGTGAAAAGCTCAACATTCCTCTAACATTAGGAACAAGACAAAGATGCCTACTCTCAACCATTTTTATTCAGAAGTACTGACAACCCCAGCCAGAGCAGGTAGGCAAGAAGAATAAAAGGCATTTACATCAGAAAAGAGGGAGGGCGCCTGTGTGGCTAAAGTCAGTTAAGTGGAAGATTTTGGCTCAGGTCATGATCTCTGAGTTCATGAGTTCGAGCCCCACCTGGGGCTGTGCTGACAGCTCAGAGCCTGGAGCTGCTTCAGATTCTGTGTCTCCCTCTCTCTCTGACCCTCCCCTGCTCACGTTGTCTCTGTCATTAATAAATAAACATTAAACACACACACACACACACACACACACACACAAAGAAAGGAGTAAAACTATCACTATTCAGACAATATGACACTCTACACAAAAACTCTGAAGATTCCACCAAAACACTGTTAGAATAAATGAATTCAGCAATGTTACAGGATACAAAATCAATATACAAAAATCAGTTGGATTTTATACACTAATAACAACTATCAGAAAGAGAAATTAAGGACAAAATCCCATTTACAAGTGCAACAGAATAAACAAAATACCCAAGAAGAAACTTAATCAAGGCGGTGAAAGCCCTGTATACTGAAAACTATAGGACACTGGGAAAATACTCTGTGCTCATGGAATACTGTTAAACTGTCCATACCATCCAAAGCAAGCTACAGATTCAGTGAAATCTCTGTTGAAATTCAAACAGCATTCTTCACAGAAACAGAACAAATAATCCTAAAATTTAACCACAGGAATACCAAATACCCAAAGCAATCTTGAGAAGGAAGGACAAAGCTGGATTTCTGATGTCCTCCTGATTTCAAACTACATTTCAAAGCTATAGTAATCAAAACAGTAGGATATTGTCATAAAGGAGACACACAAACCCATGCATATATGGTCAATCAATTTACATCAACAGAGCAAAGAATATAATTGGGAAAGGGCAGTAACATGCAAAAGAATGAAACTAGACCACTACCTTATACCATATACAAAACTCAACTCAAAATGTATTAAAGACCTGAACCTAAAGCCATAAAACTAGAAAAAAAAAAAATAGGCTATGAAGTCCTTGACATTAGCCTTGGTGATGAGTTTTTGGTTTTGACACCAAAAGCAGAGTCAACAAACACAAGTCGAACTATATCAAACTAAAAAGCCTCTGCATAGCAAGAAAACCATCAACAAAATGAAAAGGCAATCTAGTGAAAGGAAGAAAGTATTTGCAAATTGTGTATCTGACAGAGTTAATATACAAAATATGTAGAGAACTCATTCTTTTATGATTCTTGGACCCAACCCTAACATCATGGGGTGGTTCCCTATACATAACACCCGACAATTCTTGGACATCCTCAACTGTACAAGAATTTGACTCAATTCTGACACTATCTATACAGAGATAACACTGGATTCAGTGGGTTAGGGATTCAGACTTAGAAGACTGTAATCCATCCCCCACTTCAGAGGTCAGTCCTAAGCCCCATCAAGCCAACTGTAAGCATTACCTGTGCTTCTAGCTGACTGGCTAAGACTGGAGATTGCAACAAGGTCCTCCGTAGCTTCCATTAATTTCCTACAGTTACTCATAGAACTCAAGTAATCATGTGTCCCAGTTTATTAAAAGATATGATAAAGGATACGAAACAACAGCCATATAAAGAGACACAGAGGGCAAGGCATGTGAGAAGGGCACAGGGCTTCCATGTGCTAAGAGTATGCCACTCTCCCCAAATTTCTATGTGTTCACCAACCCAGAAGCTCTCCGAACCCTTTCCTTCTGGGGTTCTATGGAGGCTCCATTACATCAGCATGACTCATTAAGTCACTGGCCACTGGCAACTGATGCAACCTCAGGCCCCTCTTCCCTTCCGGGGTGTCCTGTGGCTCTGAAAGTTCCAATCCGGTAATGGGTGGTTGCCTCCACAGGCTACCAACCCGCAACCTTAGGTGCTTTCCAAAAGTTGCCTCATTAACATGACAAAAAACACCTTTTATCACTCTCAACACTTAGGAAATTCAAGGGTTTTGGGAGCTGTGAACTAGAAATGAAAAAGAAAAGCAAATACCTCTTGGTAAAAAAAATTACAGTATCGCACTCATACAACTCAACAGCATAAGAAAATGTGATTTAAAAATGGGTAGAGGATCTGAGTAGGCATTTTTCCAAAGATGATGCAGATAGATGGCCAACAAGTACATGAAAATGTGCTCACGAGGCAAATGCAAATCAAAACCATAACGAGTTAGCACCTCACATGTTAGAATAGCTATTACCAAAATGGTAAGAAAAAAGCACTGGCGAGGATGTGGAGAAAAGTGATCCTTGCACTGCTGGTGGGAATGCAACTGGTGCAGCCACTGTGGAAAACTGTTTGCAGGGTCCTCAGAAAAATAAAAATAGAAATACCAGATGATTCAGCCATTCCACTCTGGCGATACATCCAAAGGAAACAGAAACACTAACTTTAAAAGATAACCTGCAGCCCCATGTTCACTGAAGCATTAGTCACCATAGCCAAGATATGGACACAACCCAAGTGACCACTGAGGGGTGAGTGGATGAAGAAGTTGTGGTGTGTCTACACAACGAATATTACTCGGCCATAGAAAAGAAGGAAATCTTGCCATTTGTGACAACATGGATGGACCCTGAGGGCATTATGCTCAGTGAAATAAGGGAAACGGAGAAAGACAAAATACCGCACGGTATCACGTACATGTAGAATCTAAGAAAACCTTGTAAATGCAGAGGACAGCGTGGTCATCGCTATAGGTGGAGAATGCAGGGTGGGCAAAATGGATGAAGGGGGTCGAAAGGTACAAAGTGCCAATTCTAAAAGAAGTCGGTCCTGGGGATGTCATGTGGAACACGGTGGTGCTAGTTAATAATACTGTAGTGTATGCTGGAGGGATGCTATGAGTAAATCTTAAAAGTTCTCAACTCAAAGAAAACAATTTCTGCAGCAACATGTGGCTATGGATGTTAGCTACACTGACTGTGGGGATCATTTCACCGTATACTCAGATATCAAAACATTCTGGCGCACCCTGAAACTAAGAAAATGTTTTCTGTCCCTTTTTATCTCCAACAAAAATATAATTTTAAAATGAATATTAAATTTGATAATAAAGCAATCAAACATATTACCTTGTGCCATTTTCCAGAACTGATCTAGTGATAAACCCTATCCACATGGCATCTTTCTTTCCCCAAATCCATTCTATGATACCTGGAAGAAATCAAACGTGCACAGTGTCACAGGCCTGGAATGAGGTTAGGCTGTGGACCGGAATATACAGTCCAGCCTTCCCCTGAAAACATCTATGAAATTCCCATTTAAGAACACACTACTCACCCAAATAACCGCCATTTAAACTGAAACGTTCATTTAACGTGAGACTAAAGAGTCCCTGTAAACAAGACAAAGCAACGAGATCAGCAACCTGAAGCCTCCTGCTGGAGGCCCTCTCACTGTACGCCGGTGGGCCAGGTCCCGGAATGGGAGGTGGGGGGTGCAGGACGAGACAACACTTTATCATCACGTTCTACGAACAGTTTGCAGAAGCTGAGAGCATCTTCGCGTGCACTGTGTGACACGAGGAGGTGGAATGTTACTGGCCGCGCTTTCGGACAAGGAAAGCGAACTGCGGAGAATGAATGCCTATCTTGTTTGCGGGGCAGACTACGGACCAGACGCAGATTCATCTTATACCCCCGTCCTCAGCGTCCGGCCCCGCGCGCCTTCCTCCTAACGGTCTCGTCTCAGAAACAAGCCTCCATCCCCGTTCTACTCTCCGCCAACGTCCAACGTCCAGCTACGGCGCTGACCAGAAGTACAAAGGGAGGAACTGGGGCTTCATATCCGTTTTAGGTCCTCATTTCCTCACACTCCCTCCACCGGTCACAGGCAGTAACAGCAGGACCCAGAGCTACCTGTAAAATTACGTCACAGTAGATTTCTTACTGGTCTGAATCCTGTTAAGATGCCCACATAGCCGGCGAAGGTTGAAGCCTTGAAAACAGTTCTATTGTTTCTTCGGAAGTCCAAATTCACAGTTAAAGGTTTTAGTTCCTCAGCTACGACCCAGGTATTGTTATTTACATTCCACCTACAAAAGACAAATTTCAGTGACGTTAAGAACAGTGATGGTAATAAGGATGAAGCTGAAGCTGTAGGCCAGGCACTCACTTAGGTCTCCATGCAGCCCATCCGTAAGGCTCACGCCTCACAACTCTGCAAGAGGAGTGCTCGTACCCCAAGTTTTCCACAGGAGAAAGCTGAGGCCCAGAGAAGTGAAATAACCCAACCGAACACAGCCTACTAAAGAGCAAACCCCAGATTCAAATTTAGGTCTGTAATTACAGAGCCCTGTTGTATTTTTTTCAGGAAGGTTAAGACATAAAATGGAATATGCTATTTTTCCTTTCTGTGCGGTAAGCCGGATGTGCATGGGGGCCTTCAGTCCTCCACAGGCTGTTCGGACGTGTGTTCACCAGGTGCAACTCTGTTACCCGAATGGGGTGCCCATCGGGTCTCAAAACTAAGGAATCCAGGATCTTTACTTCTGGGCATATTTGGGGCATGATTTGGGATTTACTTTTCATCAACATAATACAACCTACTCTTCTGAAGGGTTGATACTCACTGCATTCTTTACTTACCCAAGAAATATTCCAAAATCCAAGTTTCGCCCATGTAGTAAGTGACCTAATATAAAGAAGGAAGACACATGTCGTAGCAGTTATGACAGGATCACTGACTCTTACTCAAAGCTGGACACGTAGGTCTGGCTCCCTGATACAACTATTCGGTCCAACAGTAAGAATCAAGCAGCATCCTAGTATCCGAAGCCTTAAAATGACGGAAGGGCTGTCCGTGTCACACTGGCCAGCTCCCCTCCCAGCCACCTGAGCGCAGGGTTCCAGGAAGTTAGGGCATAGGAAGACGACGAGGGGTCCTTCTTTGGTCCACTGTGTCAGCTTCCTGGACACAGCCATCCCAGCCTCAGCTCCTGTGACCTGCCACCGGGCTTCCCGTCAGGAAATGTCACCTACAGCTGAACACCTCGAGGGTCAGGTACGGGCAGACTTTCTACCCGTAGTAGAGGTCAAAAATTAAAGTGAGTCCGGGGACACCATCCTGTGCCTTGCATCCTGGGTAGCGGCCAGAACAAAGCACAGGAAAGCGCGGTCCCTGGGCTGGGAAGCAATGCGACGAGGTTTGTCCTGGGCTCTGGGGGAAGGCCAGGGTCACCATGTACATAAAGATAATGAAGTACCCGTGAGTACTTACACGAAAACAGGACTAAGAGTATAAGGAAACTAAGAGGAAGGGTAAGAAGGTTTACAGTCCTGAAACACTTCTCCCTTCCAAGTTTTTTGCATACCTGAATTAAACTTTAAAGGCATTACAATGGTCTCAACGTAATGACAGTTTTAAATTCATCTTTAAAATTTTACTGAGATCTTTTATAATACTATATGCAACAGGGGTGCCTGGGTGGCTCAGTTGGTTAAATGTCCAACTTCGGCTCAGGTCATGATCTCACAGTCCGTGGGTTCGAGCCGCGCATCGAGCTCTGTGCTGACTGCTCAGAGGCCGGAGCCTGCTTCAGATTCTGTGTCTCCCTCTTTCTCTGACCCTCCCCACTCGCTCTCTCTCTCAAAATAAAATAAAGATATAAAAAAATTAAACAACAACAGAAAACTATATGCAACATACACAGAATTGGAAGAGTAAGCCTGGATATTACAAGTTGTAATTCCATTTACATTTTCTTTTACTTTTTACATTGCTCTGCCCACCCTCCCTTAGCATACATTTACCTTGTTTATCTTCTGTGATTATTGAAGTACAAATGGTAAAAATTTCATAGAAGATATTGTACGAAATAATCTCGCCTATGAGAAAAGATAGGACATTTCTTGGTCAATATATAGAACCATGAGATGATTAGAAAATTCTTTTTTAAGAAAAAGTTTAACAATCATCACTGTGTGACTTTTTGCCTCGGCATACGTGTCCGCACACAGTTTAAACATGCCTAAAGAGCTGGTCACCAGCCTGTACGCTACAGACACAAAATAAAACAAGCCCCCAACGGGTCAGCTATGTGGGCGCGTTAGAATTGTATTATAATAGGATGTCCCAATTTTCCATCAATTTGCTTCATTTTACTTTGGTTTGAGGGTAACTTAATACACCTGGAAGTATGGTAACTTAATACATCTGGTTCTTGGTTATATACTGAAGATGGATTTTGCTCATGTTTTTTAATTATTTATTTACTATATTTATTTTTAAATATTCATTTTTGAGAGAGAAAGAGAGCACGAGCGAGCGTGCGAGCATGAGCAGGGGAGGGGTAGAGAAAGAGGGAGACAAAGAATCTGAAACAGGGTCCAGGCTCTGAACTGTCACCAAAGAGCCTGACCAGGGCTCAAACTCATGGGCGGTAAGATCATGACCTGAGCGGAAGTTGGATGCTTAACTGACTAAGCCACCCTGGTGCCCCTTGCTCATATTTTTAGAAGTGACAATATTTCTTTTCTCTTTTTTTTAATGTTTATTTTTGAGACAGAGAGATAGAGTATGAGCAGGGGAGGGACAGAGAGAGAGATACACACACAGAATCTGAAGCAGGCTCCAGCCTCTGAGCTGTCAGCACAGAGCCCAACATGGGACTCAAACTCATGAACTGAGAGATCATGATTTGAGCTGAAGTCGGAAGCTTAACCAACTAAGCCACCCAAGTGCCCCTAGAAGTGACAATATTTCTAAGGTGAGGAACTACTGAGTAAAATAATAAAATTAGAGCAAAGCTACCATTTTATTTTTTTAATTTATTTCTGAGAGAGAGAGAGATAGAGCGTGAGCAGGGGAGGGTCAGAGAGAAAGGGAGACACAGAATCCGAAGCAGGCTCCAGGCTCTGAGCTAGGTGTCTGCAGACAGCCAGACATGGGGCTCGAACCCATGAACAATGAGATCATGACCTGAGCTGAAGTCGGACACTTAACCGACTGAGCCACTCAGGTGCCCCTTAAAAATCCATTTTAAAACATTTTAATTTTTGAATAATTCTCCAAAACTGTATAATAGTAACACTTTAAGCACTTAATTAAAGGGCATACATCCTGGGAGTAAAAGTCACAGCATAAAGAATATAGCCAGTGGTAGTGTCACAGCGCTGTATGAGGAATGTAGAGGCTACATTTGTGCTGAGCACATAGAACTACTGCATCACTAACTGTAAACCTGAAAGTAACATAACAATGTGCTTCAACTATACTCAAACAAAAACAATTATTTCAATTAAATACTTAAAGATATACGGCACTTTTTTTTTTTATCTCCATTGCATTTGATGTTAACGTGTAAAGCTTATCATTTTTTTCCCATCCTAACCTAACGTTCATTTTCATTTTGGCAAGATTCTGCTGTTATTTTCCATTATTACAAATCATCTGTTAATCTTTATAATCCATTTTTCTCTCCAGATATTTATATGTGGTATTTACTTTCTGGAGTTCTTTACATAATAAAGGAATTAAGTACTTCTCATATAGGCTGCAAGAATATATTTCTAATATGTTGACTATCTTTTTACATCATTTTTTTAAAGAAGCAAAAAGCAATAAACACTTAGCCACTTTTGCTGATAAATACTATTGATTTGGGGGGCCTGGGTGGCTCAGTTAAGTGCCCGACTTCGACCGGTGAGTTCAAGCCCTGTGTCAGGCTCTGTGCTGACAGCTCAGAGCCTGGAGCCTGTTTTGGATTCTGTGTCTCCCTCTCTCTGCCCCTCCCTCACATGTACTCTGTCTCTCTCTCTCAAATAAATAAAACATTTAAAATTTTTAAAAAATACTATTGATTTGCAGAAATTTTCATTCATCTCTCTTGTAAAACCAAGGTACTACTAGCTACTTAAAATAACAACTCTAATAGTCTGGTAGCTCAAAAATAAAATTGGGGTGGCAGGAAAAGTCTTTTTCATCAAATTAAATTGGACTTCATTAAAATTAAGAATTTCTGCTTAATAAAAGACATCAGTAAGAGAATAAAAATGCAAGCCACAGACTGGAAGAAGAGATTCAGAATCCATCTGACAAAAGGCTTGTAGCCAGAATACATATAAAGACCTCCTTACAACCATCTAGACTACCCAAAGCAGTCTACACATTCAACCTAATCTCCATCAGAACAACAACAGCAGTTTTCACAGAACCAGAACAAACAATCCTAAAATTTGTATGGAGCCACGAAGACCCTCTAGAGCCAAAGCAATTATGAAGAAGAAAAGCAAAGCTGGAGGCATCACAATTCTGGACTTCAAGGTTTATACAAAGTTGTAGTGATCAAGACAGTATGGTACTGGCTCAAAAACAGACACAGATCAGTAGAACAGAATAGAAAACCCACAAATAAATCCACAATTATATGGTCAACTAATCTTCAACCAAGCAAGAAAGAATATCCAAGAACAAGACAGTCTCAAACGGTGCTGGGAAAACTGGACAGCAACATACAAAAGAATGAAACGGGACCACTTTCTTACACCCCACACCAAAATAAATTCAAAATAAATGAAAGACCCAAATGTAAGACAGGAAACCATAAAAATCCTAGAGAAGAACACAGGCAGTAGTTTCTGATATCACCTATTGCAACTTTTTTCTAGATAGGAGGTCCCCTGAGGCAAGGGAAGAAAAAAAAATACTACTGGGACTACATCAAAATTAAAAGCTTCTGCACAATGAAGGAAACAATCAACAAAATCAGAAGACAACCTACAGAATGGGAGAAGATATCTGCAAATGACATATCTAATAAACGATTAATATCCAAAATATGTACAGAACTTATATAACTGAACACCCATAAAACCAAATAATCCAATTAAAAAATGGGCAGAAGACAGACAGACATTTCTCTAAAGAAGACACACAAAAGCCCAATAGACACATGAAAAGATGCTCACCATCACTCATCATCAGGGAAATGCAAATCACAACTAGAATGAGATATCACCTCACACCTGTCAGGATGGTTAAACTAAACAACACAAGAAACAACAGGTGCCAGGGAGGCTGTGGGGGGAAAAAGAAGGCTCCTGCACTGTTGGGAATGCACACTGGTATAGCCGCTGCAGAAAAAAATATGGAGGGGGTCTCAAAAAGATAAAAATGGAAGTTTTCTACAATCTAGCAATCACGCTACTGGGTATTTGTCCAAAGAATATAAAAACACTAGTTCAAAGAGATACATGCAGCCCTATGTTTACAGCAGCATCAGCCCACGTGTCCATCAACAGATGAACGGGTAAAGAAGATGTAGTGTATGTGTGTATATATATGGAAAAAAAAAAAGAGAGAGAGAGAGAGAGGGAAAAATCAATAAACTGCCTCTGAACTACAGAGAACAAACTGATGATTACCAGAGGGGAGGTCAAGTGGGGGAGGTATGAAATAGGTGACGAGCACTGAGTAATGAACAGAATTAGTGAATCACTAAGTTGTACACCTGAAACTAATTTAACACTGTATGTTAACCAGAATTAAAATTAAACTTTAAAAACACTCTTTAAAACCAACTAAAAATAGTTAAAAGACTGTAACAAACACGTCACCTTGAGAAGGAAGGAGAGACAGGTAGGCTATCTTTTTAAACCATTCTTTTTAAAGAAGCAAAAACAATCAAAACAGTCACCAATGAAAGGAAAGGCCTACAGCTGCATGATTTCATAGTCATCAGGAAAAAGCAAATTAGACAATAATGGGATTCCATACACTCAACAAAATGGCTCAAATGACAAATACCGATGGTAGCAGGTGGAGAAGTACCAAGCAGGGAAAACTGAAACTCGTGTACTATGCTGACTGTTAGTGGATACAGTTACTTTGCAAACCTGGCTGGCAATGCCCATAACCAAGTATGTATCCAAGAGAGGTGAGTGCATCTGCCCATCAAAAGGCAGACACAAGAACGTTCCCATCAAAAGGCAGACACAAGAACGTTCCTAACTGCCTTATTATTCATATCCCAAGTCTAAAAACCACCCAAACACACTATTCAGTAGCATTCTACCTATAATGAGAAGTACAAGAAACCGGACACAACAGTTCACACTGTGATTAGGAGGTTCAAGAGGAGGCAGAACTGGGGCGCCTAGAGGGCTCAGTCGGTTAAGAGTCCGATTTCGGCTCAGATCATGATCTAGTTGGTAGATATGATCCCCACGTTAGGCTCTGTGCTGACAGCTCAGAGCCTGAAGCCTGCTTTAAATTCTGTGTCTCCCTCTCTCTGCCCCTCCCCTGCTCATGCTCTTTCTCTCCTTCTCTTTCAAAGATAAAAATAAACATAAAAAAAAAAAAAAGAGGCAGAACTAATGTATGGTGAAGTCAGAATAAGCGGTTACCTAGGGATGTGGTACTGTCTGGGAGATGGCATGATGGAACATTCTGGATTGTTGGAATTTTCCATATCTTGATCTGAGTTGTGATTACATGCATGAATGCATGTTAAAAACTCTACTGAGCTGTGTACTTAAGGTCTATGCAGTGTACTTCAACAGACATTTTCAAAGTGTTTTATTAAATCTTTTAAAAAACTGCAAAGGGAACTTTACCTAAAGGTATGTCAGTAACAGCTGCAATCCCCTTCATTTCCTCCTCATAGGGACCAGGAAAGTTGCCAAGTAGACCAGGCTGGAAAACAAATAAATTACCCATCATTCGCCTCAAGGGTTGCTTTGAGATTTGTTCTTTTTACATATAACTTGTTCTAGATGCCCCTCCATAGTAAATGACTGAAGTTATTTGTAAAGCACTTCCACATCCCGTATTTCTAAAAGACTCTATGGAAGACTCAATACTGGGCCCTCAGTCTGGATCTCTTGCCTTCACAGCCTTAAACTCGGCTGTTCTCAGGTGTGGTGCGAAGACGTAGGATTGCTTTTCCGGCCTCACATTTCACCTTGTTCTCTAGAGAGAGAAGATAACTGCACTCAGATAACCCAGGAACATCACAACCACCACCCCTTATCTCCGCCCAAACTCACCCTCTCGCCTTGGCACTAGACCCTCATTACTACTTCCTTCCCACACTCCTAAAAACAAATCTGTCTGAGTCATTCGCAAAGCCTTCCGTCTTGATTACTGGCTTCTTGGGCCGTCGTGATGCATTACCACACTCTGGGTGCCAATGGGACCCAGGAACAAACTCCCCGTGGACACACACTTTTATTCACTAACAGTGAGGTAACAATTTAAGCTCACAGCCTTCTGCTAATAAAATAATGTGCTTAAAATTTTTACAAGTCCCATTTGTCACCAACTTTGTCTTTATAGGTCACGTGACCTAACCAAGCAAATGTTTTTCCCTTAGGAATTCAAAGCATTGCACAAGTGGGATATTCCTGCCAATGTAAAGATGACTTACTGAACATTTGTAAACATTTATTACATCCAGGCACTGCGCTTCATATCAGCTATGTGATCTAATCCTCACAATCACCATATAAAATGCCTATTACTACTATATCGTCCTTGATGAGAACACACTGCACACCTTAAGAAACGTGTCCATGGATACAGTTATTAGGTGACTGATCCAACCTTAAAATCCAACGTTTAAAGGGGAAAAACCCCAATGTTGTCTGAATGCCAAGCCTGGGCCTGCTGCCCTCCCACGGGCACAGAGGCAGGAGAGACACGGGAAGAGGGGGAGAGAGGGAGGGGGGAAAGGAAGAAAGGCGGGGGAGAGAGAGAGAGAGAGAGAGAGAGATTGATTTTCAAGCAGACTGCATGCTCAGCACAGAACCCAATGCAGGGCTTGATCCCATGACCCTGGGATCATGACCTGAGACAAAAACCAACTGAGTTGGACACTCAACCAACCGAGCCACCCAGGCACCCATGGGATACCCTCAATCAAAAGCTCAGAGAACACAAGCATGAGGGCTGACAGGTGTGGTGCCTGGCGGGTGCAAGGGTCACAGGGAGGACAGGCCTAGAGGGTCCAGTCGCCAGGACACAGTGATGCTCAACCAGGAGTGGTTTCAACCCCCAGGGGACATCTGGTGATTTTTTAAAAAAAATTTTTTAAAGGAGCTGAAAACACAGAGTCTTCTTGCATGACCAGGAGGGAAATGAACTGATTTTGTGAATATACAGCTACAAGAAACACACAACCCAAGTGAGTTTCACAGCCAATGAGCTGGGCTGCATATGTCGTCCGGCTGTATGGAGGTAGGAAAATGTGTCCTGGGATAGGCAGGCAAAGTACTGAAGAAGAAAAAAAAATCCCCATTTTTAAAAAAAATTTTTTTTAATGTTTTATTTATTTCCGAGAGAGAGAGAGAGAGAGAGAGAGAGCGCGAGCGCAGGGGAGGGTCAGAGAGAGAGGGAGATACAGAATCTGAAACAGGCTCCAGGCTCTGAGCTGGCTGTCAGCAAAGAGCCCGATGCGGGGCTTGAACCCACGAACTGTGAGATCATGACCTGAGCCCAAGTCGGACTCTTAACCGAATGAGCCACCCAGGCGCCCCAAAAACCCCCAAATTTTCAATAGTGAACTTGAAAATGTATAGTTGACTGTTGAACAATGTTGAACAATGTGGGGGGTTCAGAGCTCCTACCCCATATATAGTTGAAAATCTCTATATAATGTTTGACTCCCCTAAACTACTAATAGTTTACTGTTGACCAGAAATCTTATTGATAATATCAATAGTTAACACATATTTTGTATATGTATTTTTTTTAATTTATTGAACTTTTTTTATTTTATTTTTTGAGAGACAGAGAGAGCACAAGCAGAGGAGGGTCAGAAAGAGAGGGAGACACAAAATCCAAAGCAGGCTCCAGGCTCTGAACTGTCAGCGCAGAGCCCAGTGTGGGGCTCGAACCCATGAATGCAAGATCATGACCTGAGCCAAAGTTGGATGCTCAACCGACTGAGCCACCCAGGTGCCCCTTATATGTATTTTATACCGTATTCTTACAATAAATAAAATCTAGAGAAAAGAACATGTTAAAAAAATTAAAAGGAAGAGAAAATACATTTACAGTAATTTTTTGAAAAAAATCCATGCCATGTATAAATGGACCTTTCCAATTTAAACCTGTGTAGTTCAACAGTCAACACACCATATGAGGGGAAGGAAATGACACGCTCCCAAATGAAATATATATTTGTCCAATGTTCTATAAAATAGTCCATACTTAAAAAAAAAAATTAAGGTGCAGTAAATTGCCAAAATTTGCCATGGTATTTTGTGTCCTGTTACTCTAATACTACCAGGCCCCAGAATTTTAAGTGCCTCTAAAGTTGTGACAGGTGTTCTAGAATCAGTGCAAACTCATCCAAATTCCATAGAAGAGGCTGTCAAATTAGGTCTTTAAATCCCAGAGCCTTTTCTGAACTGTGTGTATATGGGGAGGTGTGTATGTTTAAAATTTATTGTGGAAAACAGTAGTTCTTACCAACTTTTGATCCACTATCTGCATAAGTTTTCCACTAGGCACAAAAGCGTTTACCATATTCTTCATGGAATTCAACAAAACCTTTATCTGAAAAATAAATTATTTAATTAATAAGAGACATAAAACGTGTGGACATTTAAGATTAGTAATGGTAAAATGAAAACAGATCATAGACTTTCTGACCTATTCATGCATAAACAGAGCACTACTTGAAAATATTTTAATATAATAATACACAGAATGCACCTTTACTAGGCTATTTGGTTAAGATGAAGGTAGACAATACAGAAAGAAACAAAGGCAAAGGCTAGGAAAAAGAGCAGAAAATTACAGAAAAATGACATCTTTTCTTCTATTACCGTTAATGGGAGGGAAGTATCAAATCTGTTTCCTTAAAATACCTGGTGTGTACTCTCATGAAATGCTCTTTTAAAAATGCAATTATATTTGGTAACGTCGGAAAGAGAAGATTTAACAATCAGCGTACCGCTGGTGCCTTGTGAGCCATCAGTTCATGCCATCTTTTATAGGGCGGCAAGTCGAGATTTATGGTGTACCACGGAACTGGACCCCTGTAGCTGTAAGGAGAGGTGCATCACCATGAAATGTAAAAAGCAGTTTTTTGATGGGAGCTGGACAGTTACATCTATATGGAAATATCAGAGGCATAGTTTTAACCGCAATACAGACGATGGTTCTCAAACCAAAGTTTGCAGAGAAGCTCTCATTTTCCCACCCGAGTACTTCTGCCCTGTGTTGCATACGCAATCACACGTGCTTTCAGAAATCTCAGAACAGAGTTATACCTTCTGGGAGATTAAGGTGAATGGGTGACATGTGAAAGAATCAATGTTTGCTCAAGAGCCTCATGGCAATCTGAGTATCAGTACTAGAAAATATCTGCTTTGGGGGCACCTGCGTGGCTCAGTGGGTTAAGTGACTGACTTCAGCTCAGGTCATGGTCTCATAGTTGGTGAGCTTGAGTCCCATGTAGGGACCTGTGCTGACAGCTTGGAGCCTGGAACCTGCACCGGATTCTGTGTCTCCCTTTCTCTGCGCCCCTCCCCTGCTCCTGCTCTCTCGCGCACGTGCTCTCTTTCTGTCTCTCTCAAGAACGAACATTAAAAAAAAAAAAAGGAAAGAAAGAAAGAAAATATCTGCTTTTTTCACCCCTCCTAAATCTCTGCAAAGGTTTACTCCAGGCTCTGGGCACTTCTCTGCCTGGTTCCCCAGTCTATCACCACTGTCAAATCATGTCTCTAGCACTGGCTGCAGGTAAGGTCATCTTTTAAGCCCCCAGAAGTGGCACAACATGTATTAGCTTCCCGTGACTGGCTTCAAGAACGTTCCCTACTCACTCAGCCATGTGACTCTTCCTGCCATCTTCTCTCTCTTCTCATGCTTCTATAGTCAGTCCAAGGCCAAGCAGTGTTCCATCAGATGTATTCCCCAATTTCCTACTCTTCAACTGACACAGAGCAATTTCTACGGTGAGGATATCGCAACATCCACTCCCTTATCAATGGAGGCGGGCCACATTTCCAGTGGATGAACTCTACCACTGTTTTCTGTAGCTGCTGAAACAGTATCTTCCGCCTCTTGTTAGTAAACTGAAATAGCCTCTAAGGGTGTGCCATTTGGTGATTTATCAGCTCAGAACTAAGCCTAAAAATAGCCAGCCTCCGTTCCCGTATTGATCTGGTGTGAGCCACAGTAACTGATACCTATATTAAAAGACTGACACTTAATTCCCAGATAAAAGCTTAACATGAAAACAAATTAATTCAGTTTCTGACTGATGATAATTTCAGAGGCAAAATTCTGTGTGACAATTCAACAAGATGATTCTTGTTCATCCTCTCAGAGGCAGGTGTTCCCAGTGGCCTCCCCTCCAGTGTGCACTTAGATCTCCATGTTTACTAGCAATGACGCAGCAGTGGCCCATGGGAGCTATCCACAGTGGGAACGCTGCCCTAAGATAAGTTTCCTACCTATGAACTCCAACAGCTGCTCCTCTCTTTAGACTACCCAAAAAGCCCTTAACCTCCTGATTCTTTCTCAGTCCAGAGCCCTGGGTAGGCTCAGGATTGCAAAGAAGAAATAGAGAGGAAATAAACTCATTACAGGAGATGATGAGGTCAACTGGGCATGGGGAGACCCCAGAAACCTCTCTATAATAATAATACCTCCACTAATGAGAATTCTTTGAAAATTCTTTTGTTAAAATGAACAAATAAAGCTATTTTAATAACTAGAATTTAGCCATGATCCCACATTTTATTTCACATTAAGCATTTTCTAAGATATCTAAGTATTTAACATCTCTACCTCCAATTCCTAGAGGAATTCCTGACCTTATGAGGCCAGTGACGATTACATGAAATACACAAAAGGTACTCAGCAGTACTGGTACTCAAACAATAGTAATTACTAGAGAACATTTTCCTACTTGACTACAAACAATAAACATCATTCAATTACTTCTGAGACTTGGTAACCACTATGTCCAGATCATCACAGTCACGATTAACAAGTGACTGAAGCCATCTGGCTCACCAGGTGGCTTGTAAACTAGTCCAAGTGACATAATACACGCACATACACATCAGAGGGCAGAGCCCAAGCACCAGGGAGCAGGAGAAAATAAATGTTAATGAGATCTGGATGGATTCTGGGGGTGCCCCGCTGTCAGTCCCCAGATCTCCAGCAGTTATTTGACTGGGCAGGCTGGACACACGGGTGTTTCTCTCCTCCCGCACAGATGCCCTGGCAGAACTCCGGAAGTGATGCATTTGGTCAAAAACAGTACAAGAGGATTTTGTTGTCATTCAGAAGTAAATGAATAGCATGCTCACCCCTCACACCCCAAGTCACATTTACAGTTCAGAGAAAAGGATCGGAGTAGAATGGAAGATTTTTATGTGGAGAACAGGCTATTGAGGCAGGAGGAAATCCAGTGGGAATACCAGGGCAAAAATATTTACATTGTATAGATATATAAGTACAAGATTATTTTTACGTGTGGGCTTTGCACACCTGCATGTGTACACGTGTATACACATACATACACTCAACAACCTAGAACCAAGCAGGGAAGGTCTGCAGGGTAATCAATTCATAGACACCGCTAAGGTACACATGAAAGGGAGTAGAAAAAAAGTCTTAAACATGGTAGGTATTCATCACATGTTACAATGAACTGTGGCAGTGACACTGGCCAGGGGATGCACGCACTCAGTAAGGCACTGAAGGCCAAGTTGGTCCCGGTGTTTACACAAAGGCAGACCTCCAGAGAGCAAACCATTACAGAGGGCTGGACGGTGCACTGGCTTTAGAATAAGAGAAACGAATTACTTTTTTTTTTTTTAAGTTTATTTATTTTGAGAGAGACTGAGACAGAATGAGACGGGGAGGGGTAGAGGGGGGATCCCAAGCAGGCTCTACACTGTCAGCACACTGTGGGGCTCGAACCCATGAACCGTGAGATCATGACCTGCACCGAAATCAAGAGTCAGATGCTTAACGACTCTGCCACCCAGGCACCCCAGAAACTGATTACTTCTAAATTACTCCCTGCCAAATATTCACCTCTTTCAAGAGAAAGGTTAGTAAATCAAAAGAACGGTGTTTATTACAGTTGCATGTATCTGGGACAGAGGCTATTTAGAATATATAACTTAGGCAAGTGCAGCACAATATATATATAACTGGAGTGCTACAAAATTTGAAAAGGGGAGCTCTGACAGTGCCCCACCTTCCCCCCCAACTGCCAACCTAACAGGAAGAAGGGGCAAGTCCCAGCAGGGGAAAGGCTCCCCTGGCGACAGCCCAGCCATCCGAGAAGCCACTATTCTTCCAACTCCCAGTTTGCTCTGGGCGCTTTTTATTTATAAGAGCCTTCCCAAATTCCCCTTTCCTCTATAAAAGCCTGTTCCTCTCCTTTGTTCTGCAGATTTGCCTATGGTTTCACTATAGCTTGCTTGTCCCTCAGTAGAATTCTCTGCTATTCCTGAATAAATCTGTATTTGCTGGTAAAACAACGTGCAGATTTATTTTTAAGGGTCACATTACCTGGTGATCAGTAGTGGAAAACCCCCAACAATCCCCAAGCTAGTGAGCAAACAAACAAGTGCCTGTACCCAGAGTCAACTGGGCTCCCTGCTTTCTTGCCAATCCTGGGGTTTCAGGGTAACATTTCTCCCTGATTCAAGCTCCCCTCTGTGTCCAAGCTCTTCAGGCTTTATTAGGGATCTGTCTTAAAGACTTGCTTTTTTTTTTTTTTTTTTTTTTAAACCTGAGAGTACTTGTTGACTCCTTTACAGCACGGGACTGTTTGTGTTGTGAATGTAACGACCTTCAGTCTGATTCCTGTTTAGAACCAATTGTCCCTGTTTGAACTGTACCCGTCTGACCAGGCTGACATTGCTCCCGACTCATTTTGGGATTGGGCCATGCCTGCGGGAATGTACACTAGCCTTTGGTCCCACTGCTGTTTGGAACTGGGCTGTTCCTACTGGAAACATACTGGCCTTTGGTCGGATTGTTCTGGAACCAGGCAGATCACGTTGAAATTGTACTGTTTGGGAACTTTTCTCTTTTCAGAAAAACATCTAAAAAAAGGGATCTCAGTCACAAAACGCTCTGAGGGTACCCAGCCCCTACTGGGGCTCCTGCTGTTTTCTGTTTAAAAACGGATCCATCTGCGTGCACAACTAAATGGATGGAGTTAACCAAATGCAATTTAGATTTTCAATGGCCACGGTGGGGAAATTTTGTCTCCCCAAACTTGTTTTACTCAAAAGTAAACCAGAGAACACACCTCGTAAAAACACAAACAAACCTAAATAGGATGCCTATTTTATCTATGTATTTATTTCTGAGAAAGAGAGCGAGTGTGAGAGAGCGCACGGGCAAAGGAGAGGGGCAGAGAGGGAAAGAATCTCAAGCAGGCAGATGCCTATTTTAGATGGTGCCTTGAGACTTCTGAATCATTTTAGGATCCTGAGCTCACCTCTTCGTAAAGTACTATCTCTAAATTAACTGCTGTAACAAATGAAAAGAGTCAGAATGGTTTCTGATACCTCTTTCTCTCCTCCTCCACCTTCTTTGCTCCCAGACTCGAGGCAGCCACCTTGTGTCAGGCCCCACATCAGGTGACACTTCCCTTTACTCTCACTGCCAAGCCTCCGCTGTCCTCTGAAATGCTCCCGAATGCCTCTCCTGAACCTACTAAAACTTGCCTCTTTACAAGGGACTCTTCTGAGGCTCTACAGAAACTCCAAGTTTCTTACGTTCCCTGCACCAAGGGAGCCAGGCAAGCCACACGGACAGACTTCTCGAAAGTGACTGACAATCCCCGTAAGCTTGCTACTGAATTCAACCTACGTATTCAAACTGAGCAGTCTAGTTTCTCAGATTTCTATCCAATAGTCCACACGCTTATTTGTGAGGGCCACAGTGGATGAAACCAGCCCGCTGGGAACACCCTGAAGGACATTTTAGGAGAAACAGACTCCTAACTTTGGCAAGATGCTGGCGCACTGGCATGAAATCCGCAATGAACAATGACAGTAGCTTT